TCTTTGAATAGATTATCCAAATTAGTTGATTGAATAGTCAAAACTTCTTTTCAAGGTTATAGAATAGATGAAATATGGATAGCAGTATAATCCAGAATGGGGGCTTAGTTTTATTTGGGACTCGTTTTTAACTGGGTGTACTTACATCCCAGATTAATGTCCATTCACGGAGTCCGAAATAGGGAGAAATACGCGTTGTGGATTCTACTGCTGGACACATTTCATCTATTTTATGTAAACTTATGTCATATTAATCATATATCAAGGCAATCTGTACATGATACCCATATGCAAAACAAAACCGATCACATTTCAGTTAAAAGTATCAACAACTCGAGAGTCTAAACCATTAAAAATGAAATTAAAAATATAGAGATTGTTTGAATCAATCGTTTCGTTTAAAGTTGAAGAGTCGTTTTTTTAATTATTTGGATATAATCAGAGAAGGGTTTTTTGGATATTATAATAATTTAATGGTTGAATTCATGAGTCGTTAGGAGCTAGACCACTATGAAAAACATGGAAGCATTGGACGGCCGTTTTATTCGACTATGGGACTCCTCAGTAGTGCACATTCACGATCTCGTTTCGCGAGATATGAACCCAGAATCTGTCAGTCCCGCGCGCGAGCGCTTAACCATTAGACCACTAACTGCTGAAGCCTAGGGTAAATACCACTAAATTAGGGTACATGTAGTCCAGCAAGAAGCCAGGTGCATGCTTCATTATATATTTTGGGGTCCTGATAATGATCCTTCCTCAGGTTCACCTACGAAGACGTTGTTACGACTTTTACTTCGTCTAAATAGTCAAATTAGGTCATCTTCTCAACATTAGTCGAGCGACAAAGCCACTACAACGACTTCACTAAACCATTCAATCAGTAGTACCGACGGACGGTGTGTACAAAGGGTCGTCCAATGCTTCTAAGTTTTCCATGGTGCTTTAGCCTAAATTGACTCATGATTTCAATTATTTGGATATGAATATATGGATATCCGAAAACAAAATGCATTTGACCTTTTCAACATTAAATCACAATTACGTATAAATTAAATTAACTACATTTATTCACACTCATGCAAATGCACATAAATCTGTTTTAAATTTAATTATATTTAACCTTAATGAAATGATTAGAATTGTTTGTATTGTATAAAATATTTGATCTGATTTATTCTACTCTGTTAATCATATTGATTGCTGGAACTATTCACCATTGTCTGTTATAGATATGTCCAGTATGATGCCGCTTAGTATATCTTATGAAAGATACAAACATGTCAACATTTGATCATTTTATAAAGATTCATACACATATACATGGTCTACGTCCCTGTACGATCTGTAACAATGAAATTAATGCGAACTTATTGTTCAGACGTGTGTATTCGTAGTTTATATTAGTGATTGAGTTTAACTCGACAACTATTAAATACTACGAAGCAATGAACAGTTGTTTCGTTCACGTATGTGCTTTCTCGATAGTGAACATGCGTGACTTCACCAGAGATCAGTATTAAAACCTTCATGTCTTATAGAGAGAACGTTACTAATACATGGCATCATTCCATAAAATTCTTGACTTTAACTGAACTGTATCCGTAGGTTCATATTGCCTGGTTGGTGTTTGCGCGATGACCATGATCATTAGTTGAAAACGGGTGACATGAATCAGTACTTTTTTCGAAACTTATCTCTTCTTTTCTAAATGATTTCTCTCATGTTTAATTTTTCTGTTTATCATTGGCACTACTATTGCTTTGACTCTTGGTGTTCTTCTGTTTACTTGTTTCGTTTTGATAACTTTGGAACTTCGCCTAATATACATTTTTCTTAGGTTTCATGTTCATTGTGATTGACCGATTGATTGATGAGTAGGTTATGAGCTCGAACCCCTTTTTACGTACTTTGATTCGGATTACTGACTAGTATTATTGCAGTGAAGAGCATAGGTGAGGACAACCAGTCATATTCAGCAAAAAATTAGTTACTTGGTAAAATAGAGAAACCATAATCTAATACTTAATTTGCAAAATGTTCATTGATTGTCTCAGACTTCACTGTTCCTGCATTTCCATACCAATTGCTTTTTGTTTCCGATCTTCCTTTCTTGATCTTCTTAATCTTCTACTGCCAGACATTATATTCCTGACTCGCGTTATATACTACTTATGTCGATATAAGTAGCACATACCACAGCATAACTAGCCCTTATATTTGAAATTAGTAAATATGAGCTGTTGGGTTACAATCGACCGTTCAATAGCATTTTGTTACTTACAAAACTTGAGGGTCCTGACTGAAAACTCATATTTGGTCGTACATATATTCTGTTGAGAAATAACAAATAAGAAATAAAACACAGTTATTTAATAATTCTTTGTTCTCATTTGTTTTCCAATCGATGTCAGTCACATACGTCATAATAAAGTTTATGTTCTCGTTATATGAAATTTCAATAAAATCTCTGAAATGGTGAATAATCGGTCTTGTTCCTATCATGCATTTCTCACAATCATATATTCAGTAAACATTAGAATTTGTAGTTTACAATACGAACCGATTTCACTTAGACTACCATTGAACCTCAGGAAGCGTTGTACAGCTATTTCTTTTTTATATAAAGATCTTTAGATGTGCATATCTATGACCCTAATAAGTATTGAACCCAGGACCTTTGGGCCTTACGATGAATTCAGGGACTCTTAAAACGATCTGGATTAAATGATAAATATTTCTACCGATACACTTAAACTGTCTTCCTAGCCGACTTATATAACCCCAACTACTTCTATATATCAGCTGGAACACTAGAGAGAAGACCCGAATTGCAAGTAAAAGCTTTACTCTGAGTTTAGTTCGTGTACAGAAAAATGAGGATATTTATGGCGTTACACACAATCTCGAGTTTCTGAAAATTTCTGGCACCTTGCTAAATATTCGTATCAGTATGAGTAGATATCTAGTCAAAACCGTAGCACGTGATCCTACATTTTCTAGACGTCTCTTCGAAACTTCTATTCAACAGTGATTGTATTAAACGTTTCCTGGAGTTTTTAGGCTTCTATAAACTTTGACGAGAGATATTTTAAGACTTTGCCAACATTAATTTAAAACCGATTTTTAATGAATTATCATTCAAATAGCATTAATGAATAATTTATGATGTAAAAACTTGAAATGATTAGAGATAAATCGTAGAAGTAATTGTTAGACACAGAATAGATGACATATGGATAAATATTTACGCTGTTAGTTATTTGATTTTAAATCTGAAAAAAACCCCATTTAAGTTACTCTTAAAAATTCATGAATTACAGCATGCACTGCTTAATCTTCCCATGCTTATCACTTTTGATTATCCTAGTAACTAAATATTGGTACGTTTTGCTTAGATTTTAATACAAAATACAAACTACTTTTCACAGCCTTTAAATGTCCTGTTACGGTCGAGAGTGGGGAGAGTCCATTCTCCCTCTCCAAATGCTTTCACATTACCACTCGTATACAGCCACTGTCACGGATGTACTACTCACTGCCTTCCTGTGGCCAGACACTTGTTTACAAAATTGAAAGAATAAAAAACTCAATGTCCGGTGGAAGCTTAAACTGAGTTAGGGTAGGGAACATCTACTAAGGGATGTGGGAAAACCCTCATTTCAAACCAATGGTGCACATGGACTCCATTGTCCTAAGGAAACAAACAACATATGAACGTATTGTTGGTCACCGACTACCATGAGACTGCATCTCCTAAAGTTGCTCTACCGCCTTATACATTCGAGCCCCCAAATGCCTTGGTACGGCCGAGAGTGGGGAGAGTCCGCTCTCCCTCTCGAAATGCTCTCACATGGCCACGCGTATATAGCCTCTGCTAGGGAAGTCCTACTCACTGCCTTCTCGTGGCGGGGGTGTTGTTTACGAAAATGAGAGGACGAAAAGCGAATGTCCGGCGCTTTAACCGGATTTCAAACCAATGGTGCACATGGGCTCCAGTATCCTGCGGGAACAAATGGCGTATGAACCAATTGTTGGTCACCGGCTTCCATGGGACGGCATCTCCTTACGTTGCTCCACTGCCTTGTGGATCAGACCGTCAGGTCGAAGGCTCGGGGTGTGGCCCCCTAAGATAACCACCTGCTTCGGTTTGGGCACCCGGACAGTATCACAGCCCTCACACATATCAAATGAGATTTGTATGGCGCATATGTATTTGGTGCCTCTTTGTACCAATATCTATGTGTTGAAATAAATAAATAAATTATACATTCGACCTCTGAGTCAAAGGCTAGAGGAGTGGCCCTCTAAGAAAACCATCTACTTCGGTTTGGGCATTCAGGAAGTATTTCATCCGTCACACACCAGATGATGAAGTGTGAGCATATATATTTTGTGTTTCCTTATACTAATGTTTATGTGTTTAAATAATAGTAATAATAATAATTATCATAAAATTTCAAATCTTAAACCTGATTGAAGCGTTAGTCAAATATACCTTTATCCTATTTAGTGTTTTTGTTAGACAGTTTTCGCTGTCTTCTTAAGCGATGTCATAATACGTAATATTCTCTGCATTTATGTCTTAAATAGTCTCTTAAAATATCACCTCACTTAATAAAGTAAAAATTATCTTCGAACAGTATTATCTGTACCAAGAGTACATAGGAATTTGTAGGGTCTAGCTGGTAGCACACAAATAATGACACTTTGGGTGAAGATCAGACTAGTATGTGTTGACTGGATTGATAAATGGACGTGAAATTGGTTTCCGAATGGATTATCTGAGAGCAACTTAATCTCCTTGAGAACTTTACACCCTGGGTAATGGACCGATTCAATATTTTATGTGTTTCAATGGTTTCCTCTTAACATATATCCGTTTATAATGAAGACAATCCGCTTCACATAAATGCGTTTTACTTAGCTTATTTTCGCAATTCAATCTCAATTCTTATGAGATATATAATACTATACTTTATTTATTCATTTCGTTTCAGTAAATCAATCATCGTTGTGTCCTCAATACATTTCACAGATCAATAATTATACATATGGAGCCTCCACTTCATATCATCAACATATCTATTCAAAGCCACCGCACTCATCATCATCACCATTACTCAGGAATAAACGTTTAAGTGATTCACATTCACCACCCCATATAATTCCAGATTTACCAAGTTTATTAAGATTTTTTGATCGTACTGGTCTACAAGTACTTTGTCGTGCTGCTGGTAATCCTACTCCACAAATTCGTTGGTTCTCTTTACCAACTAATGGTCGACCGACAACAGCTAGTGTAGATCGTCTATTCACTAATGGTGGGAGTAGTAGTAGTAGTTCAGGAATTATCGGTTCAACTGTTAGTCCTTCTGCATCATCATCGTCTGGTTATGCTGTTAATTATCAAACTATCGAATTTCAAAATGATGAAAATTATATTAGTGAACTTGGATATAGCAGTCGTGTCAGGTAGATTTCACTTTGGGTTTATGTTTAATTGAAATGTTTTTTCACACCTTTCCAATATGATCAGAGAAAGAGAGGAGAATAAGAGTGATACCATTTCATGTATATTTGCCTTAGAGTCAAACTTTTTGTGTGCATATGTAATTAGGGGATATTGACACTACTTAGCCGCTCAGACCGAAGTAGATAGGGGTTTAAGATAGAACCTGTTGACAACTGATTTATTGTTGATCTGTCACTTAAAAAGATATTTAGACATCGGTCATTAGGTCACTGGTTCAGATCTCCTCCCTTTTACTTCTGTTTCGTTTGATAGTGAATAATGGTATCATTGGTTACTAAATCTTTACTCGACTTAGTTACTTATATTGTTTAGTATTCCTTGGACAATTCACTCCACTCAACTGGTCCCGGCTTGAACTAGAACAATTGTATTCCAAAACAAAACCGCAAGTTAACTAAATTGATGCTACAGTAAGAAAAATATTAGTATATTTATAATGTTTACACAAAAAGATTCTAGAGTCTTCTCTTTTTATATGTTATCGCTGATTGCCTAAAAATGGTCGAATCAGTGTGCAACAACCTAATTCTGTATGAAACATTTTTTAATTTAATGTGTATCCTGCTAACACTAGTCCTCTCTTAACTTTCATACACAGGAAGCGTTGCTCGAAGCCAAGTACTATGTTGCATTATTTTAATCATTACTTATTATCACACTTGTTTGTGGGTGTTGGTGCGCTACTGGGCCGTCTAAATTGGATCAAATGACTCTCTTAGGAGAGCACCTCATGGGATATTGATGTGAAGTTCTAATCCACAAGGAAGAAACGTCAAGCGATTTTATTTCCGTGGTAAATGGTGATCAAAATAATGTCGTACTTTTTTATCTTGTCAGAATCCTGAACTCTATGTATATGTATCATTGGTTAGGAATCAAACTTTTCCAACTATCTTTGGTGGACCTTACGTACCCATCAACCTAGGTTTAGCTCCAAATTTTCAGTTTCCATCCTTACTTTCACAAAGATACTCGTTCACACGAAATTAATAAATAGAACTTCTCTAACAGAGGTTATAAACTCGTGACTGTATGTGAGGATTCCGAGAGGATTGGTAATGTCCTCGTCCATCAAGAACTCCTTGCAAAAAGATAGTGTGTGGCTGTCCTCAAGCAGTTATCCTTTGAGTTCTGGAGTCACGCTCCTAAATTGGCGAGATCACACCCTGACTGAATACCGTTTTCAAGTTCCTCAAGAAGAGGTATCCTTCCATGTGGGTAACCAGTAAGTTGCAATCGCCTTAATACCTATAGCACCACCCAAATTCACCTTGTTCACGGTTCGACCCCTTCGTAGATTAGCTTCAAGTTGGCAAACACTTCTCAAAGTCATTTGAACAGTCGCTCAAGTTTACTCCCCTGAACTGTATCTTCGTCTTATACTGTGTTTGTTTGTTCTTTATGTTTTGTTTAGAGAAACACCTCAAGCAGATCATCATCAGGAATTCTCATCCGCATCCACGGAAAATCTCTTACCATCGTCATCGTCACCTAGTCAACAACAACTCAATACAAATACTGTCACAAGTAACAGTGGTGGTAACAGTGCTACTGGTACTATCACCAGTTCAAATAATGTCATGAACGATATAAAACCAAATTCTAATAATCAAATACTTGTTGGTAATGGTTGGCTGAATTTCACTGCAACACGTTCATCAACAATGAGAATGGTATTTTTTTGTCAAGCTGAAAATTATCTTGGCCAGGCTAGATCACGCAAAATGGTGATTCATCAAGGTAATATTTATTGATTTCATAAATTCTTTTCATCTTTTACTGATGTTTGCAGTTTTCTTTTTAAAAAGCGCATTTCTTAATTTTGATTACATAAGTTTTAGAGATTTTGAAGTTTGTATCGTGGACTGACGTCTTCTAACTGGTGGGGATGCTATTGAAAACCACAAAGCGTTGGATATCATTATTATCAATGATGACTGTCTGACTTCTTTCAAGACTGAACTATATTGATTGCAACTTTCACTATATTCTTGAGTGCATGCACATCGTTCTTGTTGTCTGCTGGATGCTTGACAATCGTAGTTTTAAAGATTTAATAATCAGTAGAACGTTTTAAGTAGAATGCTACAAAGTTTACTGGTATATCTGAATGCAGTTGGAGTTATGACATCGTCATCGGATATTAAATCTTTGGTTATTATTCTCAATTTATTTAATAAAAATGTATTTCAGTTCGGTGTTGCTCGATTGAGTCATCATAAGGAGCAACCCTAACTACCACTTTAGGTTATCAGACAGTAGTAGTAACCGATTTCTTCAGTACTGATTCGATCCCACCGATCTAATCAACATAGTATCCACTGTGCTGCGCTGTTAAGTGGTTGGAAGTAGTCAGCAACTAACCCTGGATCCCGATTTCATGCTACTTGGCACTCCGTCGCCAATGCTTACGTGCAAACTTAAGAGAAGTGATAATCCATTCAGGATTCTAAGCTGCATCACTCACTTTCATAGTCTGAGGTGTTATCAGTTATCTATTCGGGCTGCCATATGCCTTTACTAGACCTATTTTAGAAATGAGATATTTACATTTAATAATTCTATGAGCCGATTTGCAATATAATCACTAGTCTAAATAACCCTACGTTGCGTAGACTCTCTTTTGGATTTAAATTGGTTGAAGGCAGTTGAGAGGAAACCATGCATGTTATAAGTTCCATGGTATTTTTCAGTATTTTTCTGATGGTTTCTTCTCAATCACCCACTGACGGTCAACATATATCTCAGAACAAATATCCATTAGTCGTTATCGCCATACAAGAGTTGAAGGACGAAACAAGAAATCAACAAGATAAATGCCTAATGAATCGAAGTAATTTTAGTATCCAATCATAATGAGAAAGACTAGATATTGAAAATATGTTTCGAGAAGACAGAATAAAAAAGTATAACTGAACTCAACATCTTAAGAAATTTAAAGCCGTGAGTTCCCCCGCATCACTGTTGCCAATTCTGAGCTATACCATTCAACATCAGTTCATAATTGTGTTTATCTCATAATCACTAACCATGTCTATATTTACTAATATGGTTCAGGCCAGCAGTCTATGGTTTCATGAATTGATACCACGTGTCTGAGTTTGGTTGTCCATAGTTTTCTTCTTACTTCTCTCATTATTTTATAAATGTTGTCTTTCCGATTGTAGCTGTTACCTTCACATAGTGGTCATCCTTCTTTCATTATCACGGTGATCCAGTTGAACTAAATCAACTGTAGCACTTATTTCTTTAGATCTTACCATTAAAGGTAGGTCGGTTGGATATGGTATAATAAAGCAGTGAACGTAAGGTCCGAGGGTTTTATTACCAACTGAATTGAACTGTAACATCAGTAAGATGTTTTCTTCAAGCAGTCGATGTCTGCAACAATGCTGTCTTGCTACAATGAAAGGGAGATTTAAAAAGGTCAACTCTAGAAATAAGGTACATCACCTCAACCCACTGATATTTCTGTCAGTTGGCATTGATCTGACGGAGCTAACCTATGAAGGTCTACTGTCCAAAAGACCGTATTTGAAATGCTTCAAGCAGTTGTCTCTCGGGCATGGCTTTTAAGCCCCCCAAGTGTTAATGAGACCACATCATATCCGAATTTCCTTTTAGGCACCACACAAAGAAATATTTTTCTGTGTTGTGTTCAGTCGGGAAGCTGTAATCTGCCTCATATCACTGACGGCATATGAGATCTCATTCATCATCACTGACTTAAATGTTCTTTTATTTAAAATGATTTAAACAAAACGGATAATAAGATATTTAGTTGTTATTGGCATTTCTTCATTTATTTTGTTTCTTTTTTTAAAAAAAAAATTCATTTCCAGTTCCTATGCCAGATGAAAATTTGAAAATAATCTACAACACATTCCCAATTAAACCAAGACAAAAAGCTGTTATTAGTTGTCAACCTGAACAGGGTATATTCAATCGATTTTTAAAAGTGAAATATTGGGAAGTTTATTTAAATAAAACATTAATTTCAACAGTAGATCATTCATGTAAGTTAATTTATTTGACTTGTTGTTGGTGTTGTCGTGTTGTTTCTTTATAAATTTCAATTTGCTATTTTAGAATATTTGAAAATCCCTTTGTATAAGTAAATTTTCTAAAGGATGAGCTAATCAGCAAACTCCAGGTTCGAGCCCCGTTACACTTTGATTTGAGCATTCGGATATAAATGAAATATTAATCACAAATATCATCTGAAAAAACTGTTGAAACACTTTCATATTCATTTATTTATTTAAACACATGAACAGTGGTATAAGGAAGCACCAAATATATATGCCCACACTACATCATCTGGTGTGTGTGACGGATGAAATACATCCTGGACGCCCAAACCGAACTAGGTGGTTTTCTTAGAGAGTCGCTCTTCTAGCATTTGACTCAGAAGGCGAATGTGCAAGGTAGTGGAGCAACATGAGAAGATGCAATCTCATGGTAGTCGGTGACCAACAATACGTTCATATGTTGTTTGTTTCCTTAGGGCAATGGAGTCCATGTGCACCATTGGTTTGGAATGAGGTTTTTCCAACTCCCTTTAGTAGATGTTCCCTACCCACTAACTCAGTTTAAGCTTCCACCGGACATTGAGTTTTTTATTCTTTCAATTTTGTAAACAAGTGTCTGGCCACGGGAAGGCAGTGAGTAGTACATCCGTGACAGTGGCTGTATACGAGTGGTAATGTGAAAGCGCTTGGAGAGGGAGAGTGGACTCTCCCAACTCTTAGTCGTACCAGAATATCCTGCTTGAAATCAGTAGTGGAAATGCAGTTTTGGTTGTCTGTCATATTTTTCAGTGTCCAACTTTTTATCCTTTTTTTAAGTGACCAAGTAGTGCTCATTAGAAAGTAATTTTCACCAAAGGCATAACTGATAATCTCAATGAAAAAGTGTTTTTTTGTCGACACAGAGTTGAATTAACATTTTGAAAAATATCTTTACCCCATCCATAACACATAAATCACTGAGTTTCCATTTCAATATATTTTGTTTTTAGTCGACCCTCAAAGAAATCACTTTATTAGTTATTCACTTAATAATAAGTGAGCTTTTGGCGTACAAATTGTGAAATAGAGAACGATTTCCATACATGACTCTTGCTATATCGTTATCCTTTTATAACCCTATCTGGTTAATATTTCATTGAATTTGTATATGGAGATGTTAGGATCAGAAGACCATTCTCAGTCTTTTTGAAGATTAGTCCAATCGTGTATTACTTACTTACTTACGCCTGTTACTCCCAACGGAGCATAGGCCGCTGACCAGCATTCCACAATCCACTCTGTCCTGGGCATTTCTTTCCAGTTCTGTCAATTTTTTTGTTCACTTTTCTCGTCTTTCTCCATTTCTCGCCGTAATGTTTTCTTTGGTCTTCCTTTTTTCCTTTGGTCATGAGGATTCCATGTAAGGGCTTGCCTTGTGACGCAGTTGGGTGCTTTCCAATCGTGTATAGCTACACTGAATTCCCATTATATCACTGATCATTAAGTATAGCCATGTTTTATAGGCATATGAATTTACGAGGGTTTATTAGTACAATGTGATGATTGTCCAAGTGAAACCTATTCATGATACGAATCTTAATGTCAAAAATCTTCAACTACTAACTTCATGAGGATGGTAATTCCTGAAGTTCTAGTGAAAAAACTTTGGCCAATAGAGTTGATTCATATTAGACGTAAGATAAATATCACAATTGACAATGGATAGTGGTTTCTCAATATTACAAATTGATTAAAGTTAAAAATGAGAACCATTGAAACGTCAACTCAATTATATAATGTTTAAGTGTTTTCCATGAGGCATGAAGGTTGTGGGTCTGCATTACTCAGGAGTTCCATACTGGGATGAAACTATTGTTTAATCCCTGATTTCTAATAATATCTCATCTGATTTCTATACACGATAAATATCACCTGATAATGGAATGAATTTCCACTAAACCTCTACACTAAGGCAACAATAGTAATTATAAACTGAATTCGGCAAATTTAATTTATGCGAATTCATAATGGAAGGGTAGATTAATGGGGCCTGAGTTTAGACCTTCCTTTACTGTTGTAATATAATCACTAGCGTCAACATAAATTCCTCAAAAGTTTGATTAGAAACTATAATAATTGATTTTAGCTCCACCATCATCAGCTAAAGTGTAACAATGGCGTGTCATAATTACATATTTTTATAAGACCAAATAGCTAGACATATAGTAAGCTCGAATTTTCAATGCCTATATAATTGATATCAAGTCCTGAAATCATTTCATCTAATGAAGAGAACTAACAACAGCTTAATTATTACAAGTAGCACTTGTAAACTGTTTCTCCTTAACCTATTAACTCCTCATCAATACTCATGCTATAGCACTCTACTACCAGGAGTCGAATTTCGAAATATTCAACCTTCACTTTTAACTTATTGAATCAATCAATATTTAATGGATCATAAAACATTCTTCCTAGTGAGATGGTGGAGAAGATTTTGTAGCTCAGGTAGATGATTTTGATGAAGTTTTATTCTCTGAGCTGGATGGTTTGGTCGTGGAGCATTCAGAAGAACGATCAAAGCTCCACGACCAAATCATCCAGCTCTGAGAACAAAAACTCCATCCAAAAACATTCTAGTTTTTCTTTCATTCATTATGCACTTGAAATAAATCATAAACAATGTTGTTGTTTGTTTGTTATTCATAATGTTTTTATTCTTAAATCATCTCTGTCCATTTGGCATTTGTCCATCGATCGATAATAATTGTAATTATTTATTCCTTTTATATTCTCACGTGAATTTTTTGTTTTTCACTCGAAATATTTCATTTGGTATACAATTCGTTTGTGCATATATGTATATATACACATGCCGTATGTGCGTGTATGTGCGCTTGGATATACACACTATCCATATATGCATATGATGGCATGGATACTCGACTATGTGAAATTACGCCTACGCATTATTGTTAAATTGTATCTTTAAATTGATTGGATAATTTATGATTTGTTTTGTTTGTTCTTTAATCAACCAATCAAAACATTCGAAGTTTTTATGAATCAGTAAACAAATTATTTACTGAACGAATTCGAGACAAATTGTCATGACATCTGAAAGATGTTGTGTGGAGATCGTTGAGATCATGAATCGATCCATGTTAAATCACCATTGAAAACTTGAAAGCAAAGGATGATCGTTTCGTAATAGTATGAATTTCCTCAGCAGTGTGTACATCCACAGTCCCACACATACGGGACTCAGACCCAGGACGTTCTGTCTCGCGTGCGAACTGTTAACCCCTAGGCTACTGAACTGGAATCTAGTGGTGTTAATGTTTAAATTCAATCAATCCATAGTACTACCCAACCCTTCATCCAATATCTGCGGTGGATAACTGTCTCACATCCGTTCAGTCTTTCCAGGTTTTCAATGGTGATCTTGCTTAGATTGACCCGTAGTTTCAACATTGAACAGAAATTATTTTGTTTTAACCTTGACATTGCTCAATCAAATGTTTCAGTACATTTTGGTCATTTTTTCGCAGCTACAAAGTAGTCAGAGTTTAGTCACTTTTCCTTTATTCAGTGTATCTTCAATTCACCAAAATGGACAGATATGTATTGAGTTGCGAAACATATAGAATAATAACAATAACCAAAGTAAATTCCCTCAGGATTTCTTTTAATGATAAATTCCAACCAATCAACACGCAACTTAAATCCTAAGACTCTCTATTCATCCCATCCAACTATGTGGCATATTCTATAGATCAGTCAGTTATTCGTTATCATTGACGTAAAGTTTGACTGTGATAAACAGTGGCTCGATTTATCATACAATGAAATAAAAACAACCGAATGAACAACAAGAGAAATTGTAATAATTTAGCGACCATGTTTACAAACAAAGGCTGCACATTGCAAATATTGTTCGAAAAGACGTATGTATGAAGAAATACTGGAACTGAAGATTTAAAGAAATATAAAGAGTGGATGTATCTGCAGCGTCGTAAACGATTCTAAGCCATGCCACCTAAAGTGTTTTGTCCACTGATCATGATGATCACGCGAACACTAAATAGATTTTATCTATCAACATGGCGAATTCAAACTGTTCATAGCTTGTTTTTTTTCAAACAAAAAGAGTTTCATCGCAATCAGGACTCAGTAGCTGAGTGGATAACGCGATAGTGTTTGAAGCGAATGGTACTGGTCTCGAGTCCCAGAGTGAACATCAACTCTGAGATGCAGGTACATCCAACTGAGGAGTCCCAAATAGGACGAAACGCGCGTCCTGGATTCCACTGCTAGCCACTATCCATCATATTTAAATACTGTTGCTTAAATATCTCATATTTTCACCGATTTCATATTCAAATCAATTAATATTGAGTGCCGTCGCATGTTTTTTATGGGATTATGTTTAATAGTAAATATATATTGTTCAGAATGTTTGTGTGGTCTTTGCACTAAAATTTATATTTGTGTTAGATGATTGTGTGCGATCGATAAGAAGTAGTGGTTCCAGTTTTTGAACTTGTTGGGACTCGTCAGCAAATTACGGCGTCTGAAAAATTGACCAAATTAATGATAGCCCCCATAAAATTAGGACCGATGTCTGTCAGCATCACAATCATTGGTTGAGTCAGTTAGACTAGTGGCTATTGTAAAAGCTGGCTGATAAGTTTTGATCGGCATGTAAAAGTATACAAACATGATGCTAGTCATTCATTACTCAGTAGTCATTTAGTTTGGAGACCAATCTAACGTAGAATGATTGTGAGTGAGTGTTAGTGACATGATTTATACGGTCGTATAATTGGTGAAACTAAGAATATTATCATTTCTATCGATTTTAGAGTGTGACCATAATTTTTATAAGTTAAATGGTTTCGTGGTGGTTTTGTGTTGTATATCCTGATTTGACTTTCATTAAAATTTTCTCGGACGCACTCAGACACACTATCTTTTGCGTTTATTTGTCTCCACTCCGTTTGACTTGATACTATTAGCTTATAAAGAACTTATTTATTTGGCTTTAAATCATACTAATTATGTAGTATAAGGACCAGAGATACATTAATCAGTTTCCCAGAACCGGAGTTGATGGAGAGTGAGGAGTTTGAACTTTTAAATTAGTAGTTGAAGGTTGAATTGTTGTAATTATCGTACACTGATAGGATTAGCCAGGTCCAAAATTCATTTCCACTTACTTCAGTCTAGGTAACTGAATAGTATCGATTTGGCCACGTATATTCCTAAGGCAATCACAAAACTGCTCAAATTTATTGAACAATTCTACTTTTTTTCCGGTTGGTTGGGATTACTTCTGGTTTGCTAGATTTATGAATGCTTGAAGATGATGATGTTTTTGGTTATTATATGTAGAGATCTGTACTAATTCGTTTTGTTCTGCTTGTTCTATCTAGAATATTTAGTTTTCAATTGTTCACCTTCTCCATGTGTTAGCGGTCAAGTTTTGAAGTGTTGTGTGTCATTCCCGTTACCCATATATGCAATAGACTCAATCGTATTAGAATCGTTCGTGTTGTATACCAAACATCAACACATACATAAACCTGTGTCTAGTCAACACAGTACTCAAACGAATATTGTCATTCACTGATAACTATTTTTGGATATTCCCAGTTATCTATTTTGGACTTTTTTAGAATTTCCTTTTTCATGTAATTCAGTGTTTCAGTTTGTTGTTATTTATGGATCATATTTAATGTCCTTTTTCTCCAGATGGCCGTTTCAGTATGATCAATGTAACTAAACATCCAGAATTACATATTCGATCAATTACGGAAGCTGAACTGACGTCCATGGAAGTTCGATGTGTTCTTCAATCGATTGTCGATGAATCAGTCACTGTTGAACGCCCGGAACGTGGTCGGTTACAACGATTACAATTCCGTTTTTCATATGCTGAACTTCGAAGTGTCGGTAGCGAGATAAACATTTTAAGAGTGAGTCACGCTTTGATATAATTGATATTTGGTTAAAAGGTTTGTGAAAATGATTTAAAAGTCTTTTAATAGTCGTTACTTGACAGCGGCTGGATAAAAATTCCGGTTTCAATTGATAAAACCCAGGACGTTTTGATTATACAGCGAATTCTTCGACTTGAAATCATTGAGTATTGTCATTCCGCAATATAATATAATGTAATATCATCTAATAATACTGGTTTGCTAATTTCTTGATTAGAATGAGGGTCTGTAGAATTTGTAGTAATTTTTAATGGTTGAATTCATGAGTCGATCTAAGCGAGGTCACAATTAAAAACCTGGAAGCACTGGAACGCCGTTTCTTCTTAGTGTGAGACGCTTCAAGAATGCACATCCACGATTCTACATGCGGTACTCGAACCCAGAACCTTTAGTCTTGAGTGCGAACTCTTAACCTCTGGACAAATGAGCCGGCATCCAACGGTGTTGAAGTCGGATCGATTGAAGTCAGACATTAACACCGTTGGATGCTGGATCAGTGGTCTAGAGGTTACGTGTTTGCGTGGAAGACCGAGTGTCCTGGGTTCGATACCCCTTGGTGCGGGATCGTGGATGTGAATTGCTAGGGGGTCCCATAATAGGATGAGACAACTGTTCATTGCTCTCAGATTTTCCAAGGTAGTCTAGCTTGGGTCGACTTGCGAATTCAACTGTGAATATGTATTGATGTAGAGCTATGCTGGAAGACTAATTGGAAAAAAACTCCTATTTATTTATTTATTTATTTATTTATTTATTTATTTATTGATAAACCTCTTATTTGAAGGGTTAATAGTTTCTTTGTCGTAAATGGCAAGATTTTATAATTTTTCTTTTTTATCTCTTCACGTTTCATTTATTTTTCAGGGCTCTACAATTGAATTACCTTGGGCTGTCGAAGGCGAAGGTCGTACACAAGTGGATTGGTATTACTTGAACGAAGCTAGTCGTGTCAGACAAGCTATCGCTTTGGATTCGTCAACCACCACCACCACTACGGGTAGTGGTAGCAGCAGTAATTCCGGTTCATCCACAATGACAACTATATCAAATTCTTCTGGAAGTGGCAGTAATCGACAACATACTAGTGAATTACCATGGGGTACTAAATACGAATTAGTAGACGGTGCTTACGGCAATTTACGACTGATCAATTTATCAGTGACTGATTCTGGACATTATATTGCCGAATCAGTTCATTTAGGACGTTCACTACGAATAAAATATACGATACGAGTTAGAGGTAGGTAATATATATGCGCAAAGTTAAACAATTCCTCATAATTGTGTTTCGATATCTCATCTGCATTAATTTTGAATCTGATTGTCTAACATTATAGGTAACTATAAAACTTGCTTGTAGAGGGGTAGGCTCCACATGACCAACGATTATCTTATTTATTAATGAGATTTGAAAATAATTCTGATATTTTGATGGACAAACTGTGTTTATTGGGTTGTCGAGAGCTTGTTTGGTTTGTAGCCGAGTAGTGAGTGCTTATAAGACGGAATTATGGAATTCCATACGCTCCTCCCCTGCTGAATAGACGTGTGATTTAGAAGACAAAATAATTCATATACAAGAATGAGTTGTCTCATATAGGTGAAAAAATTACACGGTTACACACAAAAATGTTTCTGTGCAGGGTTCGTCAGCTGCATGCACCTCCGTCTGAGTCTCTAAGTTTATATGAAGACTCAAATCTTGTCTTTTTTGCTTCCATCTTGTTGTGTCTCACTATTTGGTTCGGTTTAGCCTACGATAATTGTTATTGCGAACAATCAAGATAATTGTAATACGAACTCGAAAACTGGTAACTCTTGCGAACAACTCTTCAATGACTATCTCCGATGATGGAACTTAAAAAGAGGGGAAAAATTGGGAAGCAGACTTGACATTGAACAAAGTTGAAGACGAATTAAGATGGAACAACTCTGCATATGATAACCAGGCATGATTTCGAGGCACAGAAAACTTACCGGTCTAATAGTAGTAACAACCAAATCATCAAGCAACTGAGGTTATGAGGAAATAAGAATTAGAAATTGTGAGTCCGTATATCGTCACAAGAAAGGTCTAACGTTTATTCACAAAATTATATAACCTGGTATTCTGTTAGTAGTAAAACGTTCATGCATTATGCACTAGGCTGCTGTGTACAAACAATCTATTAATGTGTTCGACGATTAGTAGGTTTGAGTTCCAATATGAACATCGACATTAAGACTCAGGAGCACTCATTTAATGAGTCCCAGATAGGATTCCTGTATTTCATTGGTATCTACAATCAATCTATTCTATAAAAAAACTTATGTTAAAACGACTGTATTTAGGGAGTCCGCACACAGTGCACCACTAAAGATGAATCAAAACTCAATGTTGATTAGCATTAACCTTTACCAAGAAAAATGATCGAGAATATCTATAGCTCAAGCTGAACATTTTGACGTTGTTTTGTTCTATGAACCTTATGGTTTAATCGTGAATCTTTCATTTTCTTTCTTTATAACACCATCAACACACACTTCAATAAGAAGTGAGTTGTTAGAATTGTTCCACCATTGATTCAGAATTCAATTTGTTATTGGCCATAGGTGTATGTTTGTTTGGGTTGCTTTCATCATTGATCTAATCTCTGACTTTAAAGTTGTGTATTCCTTTCCTTATTGCTTGATAGATCGTGTTTTTTTTCACTGTCTAATGATTGATACGTTACAAGAGTACTATGACATTTAATTCCTCATCTCATTTCCTTCAGTATTAATTTCATATTAAATAGAAAATCATTTCAATGAATAATCCCATTAATTTCTCATCTCTTATTTATTTCTAATAGCACCTCTTGGTGTAAAAATTACACCAAATCGTCGAACTGTTGATTGGGGTAGTCGTGTTGAATTAACATGTGAAGTAACTGGACATCCACGTCAATTAATTTATTGGTTACATAATTCACGTTTAGTTCCAAGACGTCATCATGTACGTCATATTCCAACACCATTTACATCATCAACAGGGATTAATTATAATAATAGTCCATTGAATTCAATATCTGAAAGATTAATTATTGAAGCATTTAATTTAGATGATATTGGTGTATATCAATGTATTGTTGAAAATGGTCATCCAACTGATCGATTTAGTTTAAGTATGAATGGACGTCAATCTTCTGATGATTCTATATTTTCATATTATGCTAATACTATGCCTTTATCTACAATGATTCATTCACAAAATAATACACATACTACTACTACTAATAGTAATAGTAATAATAATTCTATATCAATAAAACAAACTCCGGATCAATTATCTGAAAATGATCTAACAAGTCAAACAAATTCATTTTCTAGTCTTGAAAGTGTTGGTGATCTAATTGATAATGCACAAGCGACAGCTTTATTAATGATGGGTAAAATGCGTCCATCATTAACATGGCAAAATCCAGCTGTTGAATTAGGTTCATTAGCATCACAAGTATTATTATCATTACATATGGGTACTACAGATGCATTATTAGAGTGTAGATTTGCTGCTAATCCACCACCACAAATTATATGGTATCGTGATGATAAACCAATAATATTTGATGATTCAAATGTTCTCTCTGGTCAAGTAATGTTAGATGAAGGAACAGCTTGTACAACAATTACACGACTTACAATTAATATTCGCAAAGTAAGTGATATATATATATATAATACATTGATTTTCATATTATTCTACATATTTTTCGATTGAGATCATGAACCGATTGATGTTAGACCACCTTTGGAAACCTGGAAACATCGGACGGCCGTTTCGTCCTATTGTGGGACTCCTCATCAGTGCGCACCCACAATCCTGCTCGCGTGATTCGAACCCAGGGCCTTCGGTCTCGCGCGCGAACGCTTAACAAACTGGAGCACTGAGCCGGCATCCAATGGTGATAGTGTCTAAAATCAACCAAATTGCGCGACCAACTTCCGTTGTACTGAGGTAGATACCTATCTCTAGCTGACATGGATTAGCTCCACTGGTCACGGCTTCTCACTAGAACTCCGAGAATTCCCTCACGAAGCTAGTCACCAGTGAGCACATGTTGATTACCAGTATAGGGGTTGTGGTCTAACGTCAATCTGTTCATGATCTCAATCGAAAACTTAATAATCTCCACAACCCCTATACTAGTATTCTACATATCTTGAACCACAGTGAGTGATGTCGACTTGTATGTAGATGGTAGAGTGGCTGCTAAACTAAGATATGACATCATTTTATGAAGTTATTGATTGTTAAACTGAACCATGTTGGTTGTGGTCTCCATGATTATTATGATCAGTGGTTGAAAATGTTGTTTGACATCGTTTTTACTGATATATTTACTCTTTATTTTCTTTTAGATCCTGAGTTTCAAATTTCTAGCCTAATTTTTTTTTATTCTACTGTCGATATCAGTACTGTTTTGAACACTATGACATTTCGTCATGCTGGTATGGTGTTGTAACTTAAAACAATACACATATATACCAGGTTTGATGTTGCTTAAAACTAAATAAATTATCATTCTTGACTTTCTGTTCTTTGATGTCAGTAGTTGTTTTGTCTCTTTTACTTCTCATGTTATTCATTTCTTCTCAAACTCTCCTTGTGCTGATTTGAGTTGTGACAAGATGTCCTACCTATTTTACAAGACCTTGTGACATATCGACTATATCGAAGCATTCTTGACAGGATATACGTATACCAACTAAAACTGGTTTAATTTCAGTCGAAAATATCAATAATGCGATAATCTGAGACGATTAAACATTGCATTAAAGTTCATACTCGTTACACAAGTGAACTGTTATATAGACTCAATCGCTAAGCGGATATTGTGTTAGGCATTTTATATGAAAGGTACTGAGTTTGAAGCCCAGAGTGAACATCGATTCTGAAATGCAAATTCGTCCATCTGATGAGTTCGAAATAGTACAGAACGCACTTCTTCGACTCTAATTTTAGTAACGTTCCAACTATTCTATAAAATGATGATGATGATGATGATGATGATGATGATGATGATGATGATGATGATGATGATGATGATGATGATGATGATCGTTTATTTACTTTGCGTGAAATGGCTCTCAATGTGAACCTACATGACACTTTGTGTCAACGGTCGTGTTGATTCAAGAGTACTATTCACCATGAAAATATGTGACTAAACTCAGGTTCATGTATGTGGTTTCGAGATACATCTTATGATTAATTCTATCAATACCGCATGATGCATCTTTTACTCGGATGATTAGACATTGACTTCTAAACTGCTCTCCAGCTTCTATGAATATTCTACTTTTGAACACGGGACAGAAGTACCTTTACTTAGGAAGTTGAGAATAAAAGTGTTTTTTTTAGGATAACATATGATCTTGAGACCCTAAGATTTGGTTATTATACAATTGAGATAATAAAATCATAATTCGTCGTTACCCAGTATTCATGTGGAAGTTTCTAAAAAACGCTGATTGGTCGAAGCATTTTCAGCATTTTACTGTGTTATAAAGAATTTATCGTGAGTTTATAAAAGGCTTCCAAAACCACTCAAATCTAAGTGAAATCGAGTTAGAACCTTTGACCCTACTGGTCGTGAATGCATTGTGCTTCAAGCATCAATCCACCGCCAACGTTGTCAATTAAGAAAAAGTTGATAAGTTTGTTTCCTGTTTACTATTCCAGGTCGATTGAAACTCACTTAAATTTGTAGATACATAAATAGCAGTCAAGTAAGTGGTCAATAATACCTTATTTTATGACAGGATGCACTAACACGACATTGTATACGTTCTACTTACTTAAGCCTGTTACCCCTCGTGAAGAATAGGCCGCCAACCATAATTTTCCATCGCATTCTGTCCTGGGTTCTCTTTTCCAGTTTTTTCCGGTTGCTGTTCATTCTTTAGATATCCCGTCTCCAATTCTCGGTTTTATGTATTCTTTGATTTTCCTCTTTTCCTTTTGCCTTGAGTATTCCAAGTTGGTGCTTGCTTTGTGACTCAGTTCGATTATTTATGTCCTATGTATTTCCAGCATCTTTTCTTAATCTTTCCAGCTGAAAGGTGGAATGTTCTCTGCCACGGTAGATTTTTGCTAATGGTATCCGGCCAGCGAATGTAGATTATCTTGCGTACGTAGCTCCCCATTATCTAAACCTTTAATTCGACATAGACACGAACGGGTTACTTATTACACCAAACTTGACTATCGTAGTTTAAAATTGTCAACTGGAAAGTTTGAATCAAATCTAACAGTTGATGAGGATTAGGCGAGACATAAATGGTGCCGAAATTTTTTGTGTACGCTGAGAATTCGACATTCTCATCATGCGTCATAGATGGTTACACAAGATTAACATTAATTTAGTGTTCACGTAACTTGCCAAAATATCATTTTCATAGACTTAATATCACTAGCTAAACTTAATTAGTCCACCCTTGAAGCACCGAATGGCTGTTTCGTCCCGGTATGGGGCTCCTCAGAAGTGGCCACTAATGACCGGCTTCTAGATATAATTCATTGAGTTATAATGAGAAACAGCGTTACGTGTGACAGTCATTCAGTTCAGATAATAGATGGTTGCGCAATACTGTGTATTGATTGAAGTTAGACATTAACATCGTCGGATGCCGGTTCACTGGTTTAGATGAGTTAAGCGTTCACGAGTGAAACTGATAATCCTGTATCTAATTATCATTAATATTATTAAAGTAAATGTTTAGTTCATACTAACTTCCATACTGACATATTTCCGATTTATTTCTTCATTTTTGTTGTTTAGTTGCAAAATTTAGATGATATGTGGACATTTGGTGGTGAATATCGGGCAGTAGCTGAAAATTCTTATGGTCAAGCAGATTGTCGAACTTATGTGTTGATGGATACACCGCTTCGTCTACGTCCAATGGATATTGGAAAACCGGCTATAGCTGGTCGAGCCTATACATTAAAATGTTATTTTATCGGTAGTGGAATTCCTACAGTACGTTCTATATGTATCGATGATATGTGACAGGTTTATTAGACTTTATCAAACGATAGTTTTCATTAGGAATTGACTGACGTATTATCAGTAATAAATCATTTAAAAAAAGGAATTACTGGTGATGAATAGACAAGTATTTTGTTTCACTATGAGATGTCTACATGAAGACTTTTGTAAATTTGTACAAATCTTCACAACCATTAATGTTTATCAGGGGTGAAGGAATTGTGAAGATTATTGAATTTTGTGGTTCAATAACACAGAATGATCTTTGTTAGATAAACCTTTGTCAGATAGGAAGTAATGAATAGCTGTTTCTTCTTAATATATGAGACTATTGAATAGTGGGCGTCAACAACGACCCCGATGTAAAAAGCTACAAACTTCAACAGTTTATACAACTTTCCTTATTGAAAGAAAAGCGTCAAATTCTTACTAGTTACTTATTATTGGAGGGTAATTCTTAGTGTTCTAATGATTAACTGTATTTAGTGTAATCAGGTCATATCAGATGTCTGATAGATATCATCGATGACAAAGGATTTTGTTTGAAAAATAATACCACAAATGCACTAAAAATAAAAGCCATCTGATATCAATTCAGATTTAGTGCTCACTGCAAGTTCTAAGGATCTTGAGTGTGATTTTCAAAGGAATCCTATACTAGGACGAAGTTTTAAAAAAAATATTTTCGTATTTATTTTTGCTATATCGTTTCTACTTTACAAATTAGCTTCAGTGGCATCGTATAAAAAATGGTCATGATCTACGTCGTATCCCTGTGGATCATCGACATCAACTATTAGAAAATGGACGTGTACTTCGAATAACTGAAGTAAATCAAGAAGAAGATGAAGCTGATTATCGTTGTACAGCTAATTTAGGCGATATGACTGCTAATACATCTGTATCATTGAAAGTTTCACGTAAGTGATCTATTTTCACATATATATTTGTATTCAGTAATAAACTATATGTTTAATTGAAGAGAGTTTTGTAAAGATCAGTGTTTATTTTATAGACTGTATTCATCACGCATTGATTTTAGTCAAGGTACCATTAAAACCTGGGAGTAATAAATAGATATTCAGAAGTATCAGAAATGAAATAGTTGTCACCATTGAAGTTTATTATCCGTCGTATTGTATTTCAAAATAATTGAATTTGAAATTGTACCATTAAATACATCCAGTGGTTTTGTTAGGTAAGTGTTCTCCCTGAAGCCTGATGTTTCTGGATTCGATCTGTAGTGAGATCATGTGTTTATACTGATAAGAAATCCTATATTAGTCCGAAAGAGATACTCACTACTTCTTGGTTTTCAGTAGCATATCAACTAATATCAATTTGTGATAAATACAAACTATAAATTCTAACGATTGCTATAATATATAATGTATTATGTGAAGAACATCGATCGGTAAAAGAAATAGGGAATTTAAAATAGACTGACCATCGAGAATAATGGATTATGATCGAGAGTTTATCACCGACTTATTCGGATCGTGATGACTTCCTATAGGATTGACCAGCTGACGAATGTTGTAGCGTAGTCTATCATCATAGAAAAAGAAGTTCCAGCATAGCAAACGAGATACCTCCAGTTAATTTTAAGATAGAAAGTACTATACAATTGACTGACTAAATAAACGAAAACATAGCCATTATTACTGAATACAATACGCTTAGATGACTTGACAATGTGGAGTTTATTCCTAGCCTTTTCAAGGAATATGGATAAATAAATTTCCCTCAAAAATCCCAATTATCACTATCTGAAATTTAATTGGTTTATCCTTGAATTACAGTCCTACCAGTATTTCGATTGTATGTTTTTTTCTGCTTTATAAAATTTCTTTTCCAGACGCTCCTCGTCTATTTGAATTACCACAAACACGACAAGTGAAAGATGGTCGTGATATGTTGTCGTATAGTTGTGCATTACAAAATAGAGCGGATAAACCTTGGTATGCATGGTGGGAATTTCAACGTGAAGGTACTAATGCAATTGTTCCGTTACCACCGTTTAAAAAGAATGCATACGATGGTTTCTCAGTCTCGGTAAGTTTTAAACTCATTAAAATCACTGATAGTTGTACATTTTAGTATATTTATTATATCTGGCTGGGGGTAAAATACAGGACTTACGTTTCACCCCATCACTGATTCGTCATTTAAGATCCAAGTAGGTATATGTGGTTGACGAGTCCCGAATCAGATGAAAGCCCTGTCGTCGATCCCACTGCTAGCCACAAAATATGTGGTGAAACTTGTGACATAACTCTGTATCGATCCAATCTGCTTAAAATCCACACAGTGACTGATCAATTAGAGTCTTCAGTATCATTAAAAATGAACCCATTTTAGTGATATTCTGATTCTATGTCATATCTGAAAATCGATAAATAATGGTATATATTCCTTTATATCAATATATATATATATATATATATATATATATATATATATATATATATATATATATATATATATATATATATATATATATTCCTTTCATTATAAGCTTCCATTCGACCTATTGACTAGTATTCTACCATTTACTATTCTTAAGGATATCCAGTTTATTGATTATCGACTCTCACAATTACAGCCACTTTTTGGCTTGATTTTGTGTAAATATTATTTCCTGTTTTGTAGTGTGATGTGGTCTATTTCGTTGGTATATAAACCAAATATGTTTGAACTAAATGATTCACATAGTAGAAGCTGTTATTGGTGTTCTGGACTTAACTGACAGGGCTAGGAGGAAAAAGAACTAATAAGATCTCTGGACTGCTCATACGGTCGATACGTCATTGGTTTGGCACAGTACTAAGATTGTATAAGTCATATTCCGATTGACGAATAAGTCAAGTGATAATTAGCCGGGTTTAAAGTTACAACAGTTACATAACTCTAAATATTATTACACACTTTGTTATATTCTATAACCTGTAAATTATCACGTAATAAGATCGCTAATTAGAACACGACTTGTATATGACTGTGACTCTATGCTAAATCAATGATGCGTTAATCAGTATGAACAGTTTAGAGTCAATTTTGATTCCTTGTTGGTTCCTCTTGCCTTGCTCTGCCTATTCAGTCCAGAACATAATCTCAGCTTCCATTATATCAATAATCTGTTTCAAATAGTCCATACATAGATCCTGACAGTTACTACTCATTTACTTTTTGTTAGGATATAACATCTATATTACATGAAATTGAGTTTACTTGAGAAAGAGAAGATTGGTTAAGCTTTCAGGTTTTTGTCCAGTTTTGAACGGAATTCTGAGTAATAGTAGTTGTGTAATGCAATGACTTAATTATGCAAAATACGGTTATTAGGTTACTTACAAGTTAGAAGAACAATGATTCCTAAAAAACCGTTGTAGTGAACTCTACTCTCAAGAATGTTTGTAAGTAGTGTGTAGCGGGATGTTGTGTCAAAGTTGCAACAATTGTCAGACAGAGTGAAGAGTTTCAATGCATCAAAAACACAGCGTTGGCAGAACACTTGGAATAGGCCAGTCGAGAAAACATTTTGGACTGCGGAATACACCGTAAAAATGAAAATGGATGATTAAAAGCTATGTATATGTATTATGTAAATACTTTATAACTTCCTGCAATAAATATATATACCTACTGCCTATTGACATGTTTTATACTTTCAGAGTTTGTATATTTTCTCTATCCAACTTCGTTACACAATCTTTTTATAGTTTGTTTGATTGTTTTAGTAATAAGCTTATGATCTGGATCAGAATAGTTCTCAGTGACCCAGATTACTATCTTGGGTCCCACTATCCCCTTCATACATATCTTTCTATGTTGTTTTCTCAAATTATATTTTCACGGTTTAGTCTTTCTTTTTAACATTTCTAGTACCTTATTTCCATGTTTTTTGTCCACCTTGTCATGTTGGCAACTTGGGCTGATACTAGGTTCTTTGTTGATAATACCTTTCTGTTGTTAAAATAAATGTATACATATATCATCCATAACTTACTTCAGCATGACCCTAATCAGAATGGACCTAATTATTCGTTAGCTGTTTGATATTTTCTTTTTCTCCAAACATCCATGTTTTTTTATGAGTTGTTCATTAGTGAACATATGCTTTGATAGTTTAGTTCTAAGCTTATACATGAAGTCTGTCAATTTTGTTTTTCTACGACAATAAATATTTGTCTGTTTGTTTTTAGTATGTTGTCTCAGAGAATGAAGTTATACCATGGCGATTACCTGATAGTTTACGTGAACGAGTACCATCATTTGTACATACTGAACCAAATTCCGCTGTTCATGTTAGTGTTAATGAATTACGAAAAGATCAACATCATGGTAATCTGACATGTGTTGTTGTCAATGAAGTTGGAACTGATAGACAATCGATTCGTGTCACATTTATACGTACGTCTTTCTAAAAAAAGTTATAGATATGATTAACGATTTATTTATTTCATGTATGTTATAATTTATTTATTTATTTAAACACAAACATTGTTACAAAGAAGCACCAAATATATATATACTCCACACTTCATTATTCGATTTGTGTGAAGGCTGAAATACTGTCCGGGCGCCCAAACCAAATCAGGTGGTTTTCTTAAAGGGCCCACTACTCGAGCCTTCGATCTAGAGGTCTAACCCACAAGGAAGTGAAGCAACGTTAGGAGATGCAGTCTCATATTAGCTGGTGGCCAACAATAGGTTCACATACCACTTTTTTCTCTCAGGATCCTGTATCCCATGTGCAACATTGGTTTGGAGTCAGGGTTTTTCAGCTCTTTTTAGTAAGTGCTCCTCCCTCATTAACTCAGTTTAAGCCCCTATCGGACATTATTTTCGTCCCTTCAATGTCGTAAACAACTGTCTGACCGCGAGAAGGCAGCGGGTAGGACTTCTCTGATAGTGACTGTATACGCCTGGCCATGTGAAAACATTTGTACGGGGAGAGCGGACCCTCTCCATCCTCGGTCGTACCAGAGCAATAATAATAAAATTACTTGTGAAAATTCAGTGGAAGATAAAGAAAAATGGCTCAGAATCATTTTTTTTAAACAGTTGATCAGCACTTTTAAGGACTATTTGGAAAAATCTAGAAACAACAATATCATGGTATTTGTTAACCTTAGAATAAATATTTAAAGATTTTTTATGAGGAATGTTGAGGTTAGACTTTAGAGAAGTAAAAAGTAATAGATAATAAATCAGCAAAGTTCGGTGTCTTCATGGATTCAAGGTAGCTGGGACTTGTATTACATAAACCTTCCGGGGTTTATCACTTATCATTCAGTAGTTATTTGTGCAGTTCATGAAGTCTCTAACCGAAGTTTTGAGCTACATTATTTGTAAATTACCTAGTTGGAATCTACGCCATAATTGTGATTAGTAGCTAGTTCTGTTAACCTCGATCTTGATTTTTCATTGTTGACCTTTAATATGTCGTTATCTGCCGCTTTATTTTAATTGCTTCTCCAAAGAATCAGAATGGCAACAAAAAAACTATCATTCTTAGATTTACTGACTTCCAGAACCAACGCAGGAAAACTGGAGACTCAAGTGTATCGGTATCCAACCGACATGGATCAAATTCTCAACTACAGTAGGAGCAACCTAAGAGCTCACAAATTCAATTGCGTGCAAACGTGATTCAAAAGGTTGAGAACATACTCCGGTAACCCTTGCAGCGCGGAAAAATGAAGAGAAATATTCAATGAATATCTTCCAAAGGAATCACTATCCATTATTCATTAAAAAATATCGATTGAACTAATCAGCAGAAACGAAATCAAGTATTGAAACCAACAAACAGATCAGCCTACCATAAATAAAGGGCGTAACAGAAATTAAAACGAAATTATTGAAGCCTTTTGGAGAATAGGTATAGCAACCAAACCATAAAAATCACTTCAATTAATCTTATGCAAACCAAAGAACGAAAAACCAAACATTTGCAAAATAAAATACTATATCGGACAAAGTCGACCCCTTCTTCATCTTCGCTTTCATAAACATCAATTAGCAATCAAACGCCATAACATATGTTTGCTCATATCAATGCATGTGGACAACTGCAGAGACATACAACTGGGAAAATGTTGAAATATTGGATAAAATGAATACTAAGAACATCAGGAACTTTTTAGAAGCTTGACACAAATCAGTCAGTAATCAACAAACACATCAAAATCGACCCGATTTATCAAGTAATTGGAAAAATCTATATATATATATATATATATATATATATATAGGATCAAGACGCAGACAATAACAAGTTAAAGGTCAACAATAGTAAATCGAAATCGAGGTCCATAGGACAAGCTGTTTCTCATAGGTAGAGAAATTCGAATACTTTCCTTCTATCTGAAGTTTGTGCTGAAGATGTTCCGAAGAACAATTAATGCTCCACAACTAAACTGTCCAACTCAGAGAATAAAACCACCAAGGTCATCTACCTGTGCTACAAATCTGCATTGTTATTATTGTTTACTATAATTTTTTGATTAATCATATATAGTTAGCATTTTGTTTTAGTAAGGTTCCTATTAAAGGGATAGAGTGGCTAACCTCAAACCCAACTCCCTCCTTTCATCTGTGCTTAGGACCGTCAGTAATCCTAGAAGGGCCTCAGGCAAAGTCAATTAGTCACTCGTACTACTTATAAACTTTACTATTATTATTATTATTATTATTATTATTATTATTATTATTATTTAGCTGAATTGGAATTCGCTATTCGACCGCCTAATAATCAAGATGTAACTCTTGGACAAACAATTTCAATTGATTGTGCGGCTAAACCATCAGATTTACAACCAGTTGTTGAATGGAAATATTTACAGAAAAGTAAGTGAATTGTTTGTAGGTATGAATTTTCAAAGGAATTTATACAAACAATTTCATATATATCAGAAAGGGGTTTTATGGATATTATAGTAATTTTTAATGGTTCGATTCATGAATCTACCAAGGCTAGACCACCATGGAAAACCTGGAAGCACTGAAGGCCGTTTCGTCCTATTATGGGACTATTCAGCAGTGCGCACCCACCATCCAACTCATGGAGTTCGAGTCGAGGACCTTCGGTCTCGCGCGCGAGCGCTTAACCTCTAGATCACTGAGTCGGCACCGTTGGATACCGGGTTCAAATCCCGCGAGCGGTATCGTGAGTGCACACTGCTGGGGAGTCCAATACTAGGACGAAGCGGCCGTCCACTGCTTCCAGGTTTTCCATGGTGGTCTAACTTTAATGGACTCATGAATCCAATTATTAAATTTCATATCATGAATAAACCATCACACTTTAATAGATCACTGTTATACTGAAGACAGTATGACACTGATTGATCAGTAACTTGCAGTTATTATCCATCAAAATTTTTTTCATTTCTTTGTTAAGCATTCTGTTTCATAATGGTTATTCCATTAGATACATCAGTAATTTCCATGTACTTATATTAAATATTAAATATTCGACAAGAAACCCTCTTAAAGTTAAGTTTTATGCTATTTGATACTCCTTAGTATGACGTAATTATAGTCTTGATGGAACTAAGCCTATCATTTGGATTTATGTCTAACGAAATACCATCAAATTGTAGTGTACTTGATATCAAGTCACTTATACGTTGCAACTTGGTTGATACAATTCAATTAACACCATAGGAGGAGACAAACATGATGTTGGTTACTCCTCAGTGACTAATCATTCTTACATTAAATTTCGCTGTTTTCATGAAATGTTTCCTCGAATTTTCTCTCTTTTTTATTAAAAAAAACAATTAGCAACTGGATCCTACGTTAGTGTAAGTCAATTATCTGAAGCAACAAATGGACGTATTGGTCAATTATCTAATGGTACCTTATTGTTATCTAATGTAGATGAATCGGATCCAAGAGAATTTCTATGTTTTCTTAAACCAGGTAGATTATCAACTGCTGCACAACGTAGTTCAGCGGTTAATTTAGAAGTACATGGTAAGTTAATTAGTTCGTTTGTCAAATGATATGAAGTTATACATACGAGAGGTTTATATATTTTAGTACATAAAATATATGTGGTTTAGTATTCCTATCGTATTTATGTTGATCTGGGTACTAATGAAAACTAAAATACATAAGACAGCTGTTTCGTCATAGTATTATGTCATATATGGAGTCGTGGCTGAGTAGATAGAGCGTTTGATTGTCAGATTCTAAGTCAAAAGTTAAAGCCCTCACTCCTTATATCTTCGGTCTAGGTAACTAGATATTATTTCTTGCCTTATTCAACAGTGGAATATGTACATTCTGATAGGATACCTCGTTATAGCAATTCCTTTCGACTAAATAGTTAAAAGTCTTTTCTCCGAAAATATGATACACATCAGCATATAACTGAAGTGCATGTTTTGATGTTAAAGAGAAGTAAACTAATCAACGAATTATTTTGGAAACCTATATTGTTAGATCAATAGGGTCTAGTTCATAAGAATCTTGGTTTCAAGGTTTGATACGAGGTACTAATTTTGAATGAAATGATATACTCTGTAATATCCAAACTCATGTCATCTGATGTCACTTGTAAAGATTCTACTGCTGTAAAAATATGTTAATCTGTTCTTAAGTGCATATTCGCTTAATATTCTGAATGCTCGTTTCATCCTTCTAATATTTCGTCAATTGAGGGGATGTGTTTAATGTTTTAAAGTTCACAATTTACTTATTATTTTCAATTTAGACTGAAAACATTCTGTATAAACTTTTTCACACTTGGCTGTTTGTACAGATTGGCCTTTATGAAGAATAGTTTCGATCATTTACTGAAAACCACTATAAATCAAGGAGTATTGACTAGCTGTTTCGCTTTCGTTTGATACTCTTCAGAAGTACACACTAGAAACTGTGCTAGAGACAAAACACATAAATGGATTATCGGTCAACCGTTAATTTTTTTATTTAAATTCCCCTTTTTTCTTTATTGATCATATTCATTTGTGACATTTTTTTCTCTCTGTAATATCTACGATAGTGCCTGCACGTATTGATCCATTGGATGCTGTTGAAAAAGTTCGCGGTTCTCGATTCAATTTAACTTGTAGCGTTTATGGTGATCCGGATGATTTAAAAGCATCTTGGTATTATCGTTTATCATCAAAATCACGTTGGCAAATTATTGATAAACCATGTGTTGTTCCATTGGCTTACGTTGATGGTGTTGCCCGTAGTAGTAGTGGTGGTGGGAGTACACAACGTGGTAGTGATGGTGTAACATTAGAACCTTCTAAAACCGATGATAATATATTTTCTGATCTTCGAGATTTGTCATTTGATCCCTCAGACAAGTCATCACCATCACCATCTACAGAGTTTAACAGAGATTGGAGTCCTAGTTTAGCGGATTGTCAGAGTTATGCAACAGAAGGTTTAGAAAGTGGTATACTATTTCGTCAGGTAAATGAGGAATATATTCTTAAGAATTATAAAACTCACTTGTTTGGATCATTTATTTTTTAGAATTATGTTCTGTCTGTCAAATATTCTAATCTAATACGGTTCACTAATTAGGTAATCGATTGTGCCAAATTTGAGTAGGGTAACCTCTGAAGACAATAGAACATAGTCACTTAATATCACGAATTGATTGGATTTAGACTTGTATACCATCAAATTCTTACTCAATGGCCTGGAGTTTAATCTTTCGTGTGCGAGACTGAAGATGATGAGTTCGATTTCCACTGATAAGGTTGTGGATGCACACTGCTGTGAAATCCTATTCTGGTACTAAACTGCTGTCCAATGCTCCCAGACTTTCAGTGGTTGTCTAATTTAGTTTGGTTCGTGTCTTTAATAACAGTTGCTTGTAAGCTGAACTTTATGTTAAGGACTAGTAATAGTTGACTGTCAAAAATGAAGAACGCGTAGTAATTAATAGAGCTCGGATATTCAACCCATTAGTGGAAAGATAAGTGCTTTAATAACACCAGAGCGTCACTCTTCTCGATTGATTTACTCTATTTTGAACCATAATTTTTGTGTATGTGAGTGGTTTTTCTAGTCGTTCAAATCAGAGTAGGTGAGGTTAAGTTCTACAATCCACTGTTCGATCACTTTTAGTCATACCTAGGTTGATCATAACTAGGGAATTAGCTGAGCACTTTGAGCAATTCACCCGTATTTTGAGGGTATCATTAGCTGTGGTGGGTCCCATGGCTAATGAGATATTGGCACGGATTGAGGAAACCCACTAAAGTGTTTGTCAAATTACGTTACTTATGGAATAGACTAGATGTCATCATTATTTATTCTTTTGGAAAAATGGTAATTATTTGTGCAAATTTTTATGCCATAGTAGACGTGATTATGATGAGCAGCAATCATTGAAAGTGTCAGAGATTTCTCAGATATCAGAATTCGATAAACCTATCTGAAATCAATTAATTATCATTTACAGATTTCTATTGTAATATGTTCAAAACGTTCCTTTGTTTCGTCCTAGCTTGGTTGAGTTTCTTGTCATAGGATCAGCAAAGTGAATAATTCTCCTTGTATCACTATTAGAACTAGTGACTTTTTACTTTACCAGTGACACAGTGACCGGTTGACAACGGTCGAGAACTTAAACCTAATTTGGGTATGACAAATTGAATTACTGTATACATTTGCCAGGTTCTACATCGCATTTAACTGACTGACTGACTAACAATTATTATTCCACAAACTCTTTCCAACCCCAGCGACCTATCAAAAGAGGATGTTGGCAAACAGATAACTTCCTCGTGGTGTAATTATACTTATAATCCAGACAATGATAAAAAGTGAATTTCTAACCGCGGATCAACATAAGTAAGGACATATAATGTAGGTGCCACTGCTCCAAAAGTGGAAGGGAAACTGAATGATGTCAGTAGTTAGTTAAAAATCTGTCAAAGAAGATAATGTACGAAATGAGAGTTTACAAGTAGGAGAATATGAGAATACAATAGTCCAACTGTTTAACAATTATACAATCTAAAGATTAAGCGTTCATACACCGAGACTGAAGGTCCTGCGTCCGATTCCCGCGTATAGGATCGTGGATAGGCATTATGGAGGAATTCCATACCAGTACAAAATTGCCATCCAGTGCGTCTAGGTTTCCAATAGTGATCTAACTCAAATCGGTTCATGATAAGATAGGAAATAGGATAGGATAGAAAATAACATATTAATCATAAGTAATATAGTTCACAATTAATTGATGGGGATCGTAAAAGAATTTATATAACTGAGTTATATTGTAAATGATTTTGTATTGTTTCTATTAATATTTCCATCTTTTAATTAAAAGTATTGTTTGAACTTCAACTAAGAGATCTGCACCTAACATGATAGTTTAGACTAACAATCAATATATTCATAGGTTGATGCAATGAGCAATTGCATATCCATTTCTTTGAATGTTAGTTTTAGTCGGTCAGTTTTAAGCAACGTAGAAAATGGCACATATGTGTTCCAGTCCAACTTATTTTAACAAATCAGTGCAAAGAAACTAAATTATCTGGACAAATATCAAAGAATCGAAAGTAGTAACAGTGTTAGTAGTACTAGTAGGAAATATTAGAAATAGAATGAAGAACGAGTTATTTGAATTGAAGATATAAAATAATTTCAAATCTCAGGATCGTCGGGAAAACAAAGGATGAATATATTTACGCCACTACGACTGATTCTGATTCATTTCACATAATATATTCAGCGATTGATTGAAGTTATCACTCGAACTCCATCCAGGTGGTTAGTATCTATTAACAAGAGTCAATGCACTAGTCAATAACTTCATAGATTCAAGTGATTTTCTGATCTAGGCATCCATAACTTTCTTTTAATTCACTCCTATACCAGCCGTTAATACGCATCGAGGTAGCCGGTGGTTTCACATACATAAGACATATCCCAACTACATATTTTTATTTATTTTAATATATAGATATTGGTACAAGGAGGCACCAAATACATATGCGCCCCACAAATATCATTCGATATGTGTAAGGGCTATAATACTGCCCGGGTGCCCAAACCGAAGCAGGTGGTTTTCTTAGGGAGACACTCCCCGAGCCTTCGACCTGAAGGTCTGATCCACAAGGTAGTGGAGCATCGTGAGGAGATGCAGTCCCATGGAAGTTGGTGACCAACAATTGGTTCATACACCATTTGTTCCCTCAGGATACTGGAGCCCATGTGCACCACTGGTTTGGGATCCGGTTAAAGCGCCGGACATTCGCTTTTCGTCCTTTCATTTTCGTAAACAACACCCGTGATGCGAGAAGGCAATGATTAGGACTTCCCTTGCAGAGGCTATATCCGCGTGGTCATGCGAGAGCATTTCGAGAGGGAGAGTGGACTTTCCCCACTCTCGGCTGTACCAGGATCTCACTATCTCATTAGCTAATTTGCCTTACATCTAACCTCAGGATCGTTCATTTTCTCAAACCTAATAAAGATGGTTTAGATAAACAATAACAAACAATCCTATCAGTTTCTTACTTTGTTTATATGTATATGTATATATATTGATGAAGTTTTGTTCTCTGATCTGGATGGTTTGACCATGAAGCTTTATCTGCATATATATTTGTTACTTTATCACTAGGTTTCATTTTTTAAACCAAATAAACGGGGTTTAGATAAACAATTACAATTTTTAAATTTAAAAGAAGTTCATATGGGTGAATATTTATGTAAAGCTTCTAATAAATATAATCGTAATTCACGTGGTCAACCAATTGAAGTAGAAGCATTTGTACGACTTACTGTAATTTGTAAGTTTTATTATTAATTTCATTATTACATAATATTCATTATGTTTATTCAATGAAACGTCGTCATTTAGATTAACATTAATCTCATCTAAAAAATTGTATAATGATGATCAGTGTTATACTTGACTTATTGTCTTTTCTTTCTACATGGAATAGATTCAATTAACAGATGTTCTTATTTCATTGCATAATCCAATCATTTAGTGGAGGTTTTTGTTCTCTGACGTGGAGGTCTACAGCACAAACTGTTACTCTTATGTGAAGTAATGTTCCTTATGAGATATGAATACAGGTCAATTGACTTTCTAGTTAGTTTATCGCTGAGCTATGCGGGATATCACTCACCTCTCGTAGAAGTCAAATGTATTTACAATCGATTGATCAATGAATAGCGACTCATGTTATCTCTATTTTCTTCAGAATGGGGAATTGTGGAAATTGTAGTAATTTTAACAGTTGAATTCATGAATCGATCTAAGTTTGACACCCAGTGAAAACCTAGAAGTACTAGAATACCGTTTCGTCCTGATGTGGGACTCCTCAACAGTGCGCACGTGGGACTCGAACCTAGGATCTCACATCTTGCGCGAGGATGCTTAATCTCTAGACTACTAAGCCGGCATCAAACTGTTAAAATTACTACAATCTCCACAAATCCCCATACTAATAATAATCATATGCTCACAAGTGACTAGTTTCAAAAAATAATTCTTAGAGTTGTAGTGAGAAGTAGTGACCAGTGGAGTCCAATCCGTGTCGAGTATGAGACAGTTATCTACTTCAATCAATGAATGAAGGGTTTTATTTTTTTCTGTTTATAGTGTCGATGACATTTTATTGTTCTTGTTAAATTATAATCACTAGTTTAAACGTAACTCAACGTCATATCCACTATATTTTGATGTTAGTTAGTCAAAGGTAATCAGTAGGAGACAAACACTAATGGTAGATTAAAGCTATCTGATCGGTCGGTAGATATAGATTTCTCCACAAAACCAGCTGAATTTGTAAGCAAACATCATAGTGGCGAATCCAGATAACCTATCCTTTTTTGATGATCCTTCGGCAGATATCTTTTGTCCTATAAGGAATAATAACACATATGGATTAAGTGAATTATCGTTTCTCTTGAATGATGTTATTAACTCTAATGTTTTTATAATTATGATTATTGTTTTCGATTTTGTATAGCTGTCCCAGATTCTGTTCAGTTTGTATATAATAGTTCTAGAACAACGGCTACAAGTGTATCATTTTCATGGTTACCACCTTTACGTGATGGAAATAAACCAATACGTCAGTATAGAATTCGATATTCACATTCAGAGCCAAGTGCTAATGGTCCGATGTCGTCTATTCAACAGGTGATTTGTTATTTGAAATATCGATGTTTGTTTTATTATACAGTATGTTTAAGAATTACACGAATCGAGGTCAGTACAATCCTTGGACACTTAACTAGGAATCATGAATATGGATCCTGAGAAAGCTTGAATGGTTTCGAATTTATCAGTATGGGTGTACTGATAAAATATTCACTCTTTATCTGGTTCTGAAATATAGAAATGCTTGCTAATGTGTGTACATATGCTTTTATATTTTGATTTTAAAATAACATTCAAATCTGTTGACCGAGAAGCTTCATGTCACTATGTGTCATTAGAAAGCGTGCCCAAGAAATGAATTCACCTTGTATAGGTTCTCTACTCAAACAATACTGGTTATGACATGCCATCTTCAGAAATAATAACTTCAAGTAGTATTCATCAGGGTCATCCACTTGCTCCATTTTCATTAAAATTTTTCATATATATATTTTTTAGAGATGTCACTTTCGTCGTTTAACTTATTGGGAATCAATCTCCTAACAGGAGATTTACTCATCAATTTAGAATACACAGATGACATAGTCTTGTATGGTGAGAACTTAGACAAATACAGAGTACACTGATCACCTTGATCAATAATCCATGTATGTTTGGGATGCGTTTTTCTCTCTCTAAATGTAAATATTTCCTTGGGACTGGTTCGTGTCAGCGCCTGAACTATTAATGGGGAGTGCAGTGGTTAAGTACGTTAACCACTTCACATATCTTTTAAAGTTCACCAGCCCTGGTGGGTTGATGTTTGACCAAATCTCAACATGAATTCAAATCTCGGTTGATGTTTGCCAACTTGCTTCACTAGTGGCGTAGGCAAGATAAAAGGTGTCTGTCAATCATAGGAACATGCAAACCTCGGTTGCACAATACACATTTGATATTACTTTCTTTCTTCATTTTATAGCCTAATGTTACAGAAATTGATGTATCTGAAAATCAACATCATATTGAATTGAATAATCTTCGACCGTATACAAAATATCATATTACCGTGGCTGCAATTAATGATGTTGGACCTAGTGTTGAAAACGCTCTCGCGCTTACTACTCAAGAAGCTAGTAAGTTTGTTTATAAATCTGGGTATTGTAGATATTGTTGAATCGGTATTGAGATCACGAACCAAACTAAGTTAGGCAACCGTTAAAAACATGGAAGTGTCAAATAACAGTCTCATCCTAGTATGGGACTCTTCGTCATTGCTCGTCCACGACCACACCACTTGGAAGCAAACCCAAGATATTCGATTTCGTACACATACGTTTAACCCGTAGAACAATGCTCAGGAATCCAACGGTTGACGGATCTAACTTCAAGCAATTTGGGGTGTTTTGTGGCCATGTCCTATCGTCTTCAGTGGATATCTTCCCCACACCTGACACAATTGACTACCTGGTTAACGAATCCTTGGTTGTCGTTATTCTAAAAAGATGTTTTTTTTCTTGAGGAATATGAAAAGAAGACTGGATGTATATTGTGAATGCCGTGTCGACTTACGACCATGATCGTATTTATAGCTCAATGAATCAACTGCTTGAGACCAGTCACACGCGACCATTTTGTGAATGATTTTTATTAGCTTAGCTTTTCACTTGTCAAATTTCATCACAGCTATTGTAAATCTGTTAAAAAAAGATTGGGCATGCTGTTCTTAAGTGTTGATTTTCACTGGCTTCTTCCATTTATCGGGAGGCATTATCTCAGTGACGATGATGGTTATCCATGAGAAACATTAGTACTAATATCACATCTCTGACGTTAAATTTGCTTCTCTTTAAATTGTTTCCCTGATGTAATTAGATATGTCAGTATGATCTATTTTTAGAGATTTTCCCCTTATTCATTTTTTGGTTAGCGGTATTATGTTTTAAAGTAGAGCCTTTTTTCCACTAATGGTTGGTTGATATTTCTTAAATGTATCCGCTTAGTGTATTTTTTTTCTATCGTCTTCATTTATGTTCCATACTTGCTCAAGCATAGGCTTTGACTTTTTGTATTTTAGTGATTACTAATGTTCTTATTCAAACTTGAGGGTTGTTAAAAATGCATCAGTGGTTAATATTTTTTGGTTGCACATACTATGGAAGGATCTTTCTGCGTGAGATACTTCGAAATCAAACTGGGTTAGAAGTGATGGAAGCGTAACTCCGCAGTCCAAACAGAGAACTTCTTGATATCAGTCACAGATATCTATTTTGTAAATTACTGTTATGGTTCAAGTTCCATAGTTTTGAAACCTTACCACCAAAAAATTTATGAGATATGATATGCTGTTTTATATTAACGTTCAATCTTATCAAACTTTCTCTTTCATTAAGAAACGCACCATCGCTGAAGATGTTGGGTATCCATGGGAGCAATACAACTTAACTTTCGGATCTTAAATTTACATTTTCCAGTCTTTTCTCTATTCAGTCGATCACTTTGACAAGAAATAAGTTTTCCAAATAACAGCTCAATTTAATCATCAAACGTGGTAAACCTGTCTATCATTTCAAAGTTGTTACTACAACCTATTCGTTCATATAGCAATACGTATAATGAATACGTTTATCTACTCAACTTTTGAGTAGAAGTACACAAGCACTCTTCTAGAATACTAATAAATTTACTTAGTATTCATACAATAATATAATTAGTCAGTTAGAATGTGATAAAAATAGTGTATTCACAATGGATTGATCACTGGGTGGTGGCCAATGTCATGTGTGTCAAGTCCTTATTTAGTGCAGATCGAATGCTATCGACCATATTGCAATGTGGCCACCAGTCTAGGCGACTCGACACTGCGTGCACTGTGAAGCTGGGTGACACGGGATCGAATCCGCCAGGGGGCATCAGTTCCCTCAATATTACAGGTATATCTTGCTGATGAGTGCCAAGTAGCACGAAACCCGGGTCTAGGGTTTCCTGTCGACTACCTCCAACCACCATCTAATCTCAGAAAAAGTGTATTCTTGTCGAACACTAAACGGTACGAACAAACTTTATATATTATTCTTTTTTAATATTCTATACCATTGATCTATCTACCCATGTAATGTGATGATATCTGTATATATTGAAAGAGATCGTATAATTAATATGACCTTAACTGGTCATCTAATAATTTTGATTTTGATTACATTTTATTACATTACTAATATTATATCTTTATATCATATAAAATAATCTCAGAACCAGATGGTCCAGTTCGTCGTCTTATCGCCAATGGAACTGCTTCTGATACAATTATAGTTAGTTGGGATAATCCAGCATTAGAACATTTAAATGGTAATGTTGATCGTTATTGGATTTGTCGACAACGTATTAAAGATAGTTTATCAATTGAAGAATTAATGGAACTTCCATGGCCTGAAGACCCAAACGATGAACACAGGTAGGTTTTGTTTTTCTTAAATAAATCGCATTATTATGTGAAACATTGTTCAAGAATTTTTTTTAAAAAAGTGTTGGCTCTCAACTTCAATAAAGTTTGTAGGTTCAAAACCGGATTGATCAACTTTTTTTACTTAGTCAGTTATTTGGTATCGGTGATCAATACAAAAATATGTCCCGCGCTTTAACTGGATCCAAAACCAGTGGTGCACATGGGCTCCAGTATCCTACGGGAACAAATGGCGTATGGACCAATCGTTGGTCACCGGCTACCATAGGACTGCATCTCCTCACGATAATCCACTGCCTTGTAGATCGGACCTTTAGGTTAAAGGCTCGGGGAGTGGCCCCCTAAGAAAACCACCTGCTTAGGTCTGGGCATTCGGGCAGTATCACAGCCCACACACAAATATAATGATAATGAAAATGTGTGGCGCATACATATTTGGTGCCCTCTTGTACCAATATTTATGTGTTCAAATAAATAAATAGATAAATAAAAACACAAATGGTGGGTACATAGACTGAATTCAATAACATATATCAGTGATTTAATTTAAAAAAATCACTTAACAAGGGAACTGTTTCAGGGGATCAAAACCAAGACATGACATAAATTCATGTAGTCATTGACTGTTGATCTAAGTTGTATTGGTAGATGCAGACTTGTTGGGGATGTTAGATCCTCTGAACTTACTTGGTGAATGCCTTATTTTATAATTCTATTTTAAAATTTTGAATTTCTTGTTTTCGCGCCAAAAGCATCCATTTTCACTTTCTAATCGTATTTCGCACTTGGGAGGGCCCTCGATGCTATTGGTTCGTTATCTCTTTTAATATGCTATTTTCTACCGTTTCCCAAGGACATTTTTATGCTGTATATATACGCTTGTGTTGTGCTTGTTGTTGTTGTTGTGCATGCTTCTGACTTTTTTTGTAATATATTTCCCTCTTCCGAACTTGGACTTCTCTCTCAAGTTAACGGGGCTCGGACACATCGGAATAGTTAACTTATTGATCATTGTGTAACAGAGTCTTCGTTCCGTTATCAGATTTGGTGAACTCGTTATTTCTTCAAACATAACAAGATTACCTGACTGAGGTCCACGAGATAGTTGTGATCAATGCTGTTGGATGGAGACGTTGTATGATATGCGTCAAAATCGATCAAGTCGGTAGAAGCGCATCCCCTTGTTACCTTTCTCTAGATCTTAAGTTTTGATGTTTCTTCATTCATAAATACTTCAAATGATTTTGGTGTTCAAATTGATATAAATTTACAACAAATAACATTTGCCCTGTTAATGTATGTTGATTCTACTTACGAAATCTTCATTGTATCTTGTGGCCTTGTGTTGTATTAATGTATAACGTAATGACATATATATATATATATAGTCAGTTGATAGAATTGCTACCATCTCAGGATAAACATTTGATTAATTAGTTCATCACAACTTTACAGTTGAGGACCATGAAGATAGTTTAATTCAATAAGTTAACATGTCATGCTAAGGTTTTTATTATAAAAACTAGAGGTAACCCTGGTAAAGTCTTTTTCCATTTGATTTCCCTCAATCTATTACTTACTTACTTACATACGCCTGTTACTCCTCGTGAAGGAACATAGGCCACACACCAGCATTCGCCATCCAACCTTGTCTCCAGCAATCCTTTCCAGTTGTTAGTCATCCTTCCCATATCTGATTCTATTTCCCGACGTAATGTGTTTTTTGGCCTTCCTCTTTTCCGCCTTCCTTCAGGATTCCAAGTTAGAGCTTGCCTCGTGATGCAGTTTGACGGTTTGTGTAGTGCATGTCCTACCCATTCCCATCGTCTTTTCCTAATTTCCTATTCAGCTGGAAGCTGCTTTGTTCTCTCCCACAGAAGGCTGTTACTAATGGTATTCGACCAATATACGTTGAGTATTTTGCGTAGACAACTATTTATAAATACTTGTACCTTCTTGATGCTGGTTGTAGTAGTTCTCCAAGTTTCAGCTCCGTACAAAGGAATCCACTGTCTTGACATTCGTATCGAAGATTCTCACTGTGATATTGGTTGAAAGTTGTTTTGAGTTCCAAAACAATTCAATCTATATTTACACAATATTGTCACTTCAATTTATGTATGGTACATCTATTAGTTTCCTTATTGAAAACAAGATTTTATTCTGTATAATAATATTGATCATCTTACAATGGAATTCTTCATTAAATTCACAAATCGATCATTGATATTTTTTACTTTCAGTACATCAATGCGTGGTCGTTATAGTCGTGTACATTGTAATTTGATTATAAGACAAATGGATCATGAAATTAATGGTCTACCAAAATTCACTGCTTACGCTTTTCGTGTTATTGCTATGAATAGTAAAGGTCTATCACCTCCAGCTTATACACAAACAAGAACTTTAGAAGATTGTAAGTTTACTTTGTTTTGTTTTCAGCTTAATGTGGTTTTAGTATTTAAGTAGTTGAAGTTAGTTAAAAAGAAACCCTCTTTGATATAGGTTTCTTAGTACTTACCACTTATAATCAGCAAAGTGTACTTTTAATCTTGGGGCGGGGGTGATTGATGCGCTCTCTATGCTTTCCAACAGACTCTTAACGACCTAACATCAAGCCATAGTATTCACATTGCAACTTGATGGCTGGAATTGGACGCTTATCTAAGGACTAAATAAATATAACGCTACTTAGAGGTAATCAACATAAAGCTTTGGATAGAAATTCTGTGCTCGTTAGTATTTGTCAACAAGAAATAACTTATTGGGACTCGAATCAATGATTAGAGTCTGATTTATTTACTGCTTACCTATTGAAGTCATGGTTGTGATATATAAGAACTGTGATATGTGTACTTGCTCACTATTTAATCACTTATCAGTAATCGACGTCGTCTATGCATGGTGTGCGCTACTTATGCCGTCAGATATAGGTAATATGTAGTAGTAATTGGAAGTGGAATGTTTACCAGCATAAGATTGAATTAAAGAGAAAAGGAAGGAAAACAGGAAGCAACCGGAATAATAGCAGGATTGGAAGAATGATGAGGTATGTAAAGGACAACTCAGGAAAGATGTGCTAACGATGTGTTTAATGTATGACTTTTATATTTTACAAAGGCATTTTATGAATTTGCGTAAAACAATAAATCGGTTTACCTTAGCCAAATCTTCGTTCACAACATATGTGCGGATTGTGTAAGAAGAAGAGGCCCTTCATGTGATAACTCTAATCGCATAACATTCAGATTGACAGTTATTTCTTTACAGCTGTCATTTGTATTTTCAGCCGTATGAAGCTTTGTGTAGCCAAATAATTAATGGTTAATGATTATGCGTATCAATGAAATTATAATTGTCGATCAAAGTGTTATGTAGTTAGAGTTATTACATGAAGTAATACTGAGTTAGGGACGGCCAAACTGACCAAAACGTGGCATCAGTCCTTGAAGTAACTAACTTCTAGTCTGAGCCATATTGATATAAATATGTAGTATATGTTCTCCCACATTGGTGATGTTTTTCTCTTAGAGGTTTGTTAAAAAGAAATAAGCTTTGATGATAACTCATCTCCAAATTTTGACTTACTTCATGCCAATCCCCCACTAATTATCATGTTTGGTTGTCATTATTGTTGCTTTTTTTCCGTCTTCCCCACCTCCCATAACAGTACCGCAAGCTCCTCCTGCAGATGTGACATGTGCATCTCAACAACATAGTATCACTGTTTCTTGGAATCCGCCTAACCCTGACACGATCAATGGGATTTTGACAGAATATCATGTTAGTTATTTTGCTGCGAATGAATATGGCGGTGAGTTGTCTTTATTAGTTTTTTCCCCATGATGTTCATGCAGAATTGTGAGATCCAAGTAATCTAAACCATATATATTTAACAATATGGGGTTGTGAAGATTGTTGAACTTTATTGATGTCATGAGTCAACCTAAGTTATACCACTATTGAAAATCTGGAAGCACTGGATGACTGCTATTTCCTATTATAGAACTCCTTAGCAGTGCGCATCCACGACTCCACATGTGGGAGTCGAACCTAGGACCTATGGTCTCGCAGACGGACGCTTAACGTCTAGACCGTCTATCACGAAATGACAGCTGATACTATTCTTCACATTTCAACGTCCAAGAAGTGTTTTGTATTCATAACTTACAGTCGTTTTACTGCTTATTTAGGGAATAACTGGACATTAGAGCGTAACTTTCATCAAATATTTCATTTCAAACGCCTGAGATTATTTGCATCTTCGTGCTACAAATATTGTTAATGTTCCCTTTGAACATACACAAATATGCTGAAAGTTAGAGTTTATAATTATGTGTTTAATGGAAATTGCACTGTCATATTCAGCACTCATCCACTTAATGAGCAGGAAAATGATTCAAATTGCTTGGTAGAACACAATGAACATTGAAAGCATTACAGATAATCTCACTCCCTACCTCTGTCTGTTACAAACACATACGAATGAAGTGTACGTACCCATATATCTGGTTATTAAAATTTGCATAAAAATTTGTCAATAACTGTATTCATTGTTCTTGTATTCCTTTTTATTTTTGTGTAAACATTAGATGAAACGAGTTCAGTGAATCAAGCTGTAAAAGGTCAAACTACAGTGACTTTAGCTGGTCTGTTAGCCTATACAAATTACACTATCCAGGTCGCTGTTAGTAATCGTAAAGGACGAGGTCCGGCGTCACCAAGAATTATTTGCTTAACTAAAGAAGCTCCTCCAGGTGCACCAGGTACGTATTTATATCTATCTGTTTGTCTATGTTGATCGTTTGATAATGTTGGCCATTTTATTTCACGATAATATTTACACAATACCATAGTCCACTGGACCCTGACCGTAGCTATTATCTTGATGATCTGGTCGAGTTTGTTTATCATGATGACCCAATCGACATACTTTTAGTGAGATACCCCTTTTTCAGTCCTTATTAATTTATTTATTTGAACACAAATATTGGTACAAAGGTGCACCGAATACATATGTGCCACACAAGTTTCTTGATTTGTATGTGGGCTATGATGCTGCCCGGGTGCCCAAACCGAAGCAGATGATTTTCTTAGGCGACCACACCCAGAACATTTAACCTAACCGTCTAATCCATAAGGAAGTGGAGCATCGTGAGGAGATGCAGTCCCATGGTAACCGGTGACCAACAATAGGTCCATACAACATTTGTTCCTTCGGGATCCTGGATCCCATGTACACTAATTGTTTGTAATGAGGGTTTTCCAACTCCCCTAGATGGACCCTCTGTGTCTACCGACCCAGTCAAAGTGCTGGTCATTCTCTTTTCATCCTCTGAGTTTTGTAAACAACTGTCTGGTCGTGAGAAGGTAGTGAGTAGGACTTCCCTTGGAGTGACTGTATACGCGTGGCCATGGGAGAGCATTTAGAGAAGGAGATCTGACTCTTTTTACCCTCGGCCGTACTACGGCATTTCTGGGTTTTCACTCCTATTACACCATGTAAGTTAGTTGCAAAGCGGTTACGTTAAAAAGTGACAAATTCAACGCCCAAAAAGGAACTCGTACTGCCAGGTGTACAGAGGTGTGACGTTAGTAAGGTCTTTACTTTGACCAACTAGCGTTTTCGGAGATGCTCTCTTCCAGTAACAGAAGGAGGTGGCTTAGGAAAGGTCGACCGCGAAAACACCACGCTTCACCTTCTCTAATGAGTTCCGTCACCTATGACAAGAGCTTAAAAATGCGTAGCTAACGGATCTGAATTACTCACTAAAAGACCATGCGTGACCGGCTTTTAGCGGTTACCTCTAGGGTTTGGTTTTCAGATCCTTGAAATCATCACTTTACCAGTTTCTTTTCAGGCCCCACAAGAGGTATCCTTCCATTATGTGAAGAGTACTGTGAAGCGACAACTGCCCTTATACCTATAACTTCATTTACGATAATCTTATTATAATCAAATCCCTAATCATTCAAGTTTGACGTAATGAATTAAAACGTGTTAACTCATTTTTAAAAATTATTTCTGACTGTATAAATTGAACAGCTAGCTATGAAAACGTTTATAAAGTACTTAAGTGTAGTTATAAAATAGTACTGACATCATCCTAAGCATAGTAATATATATGACACTTAGTTACACTGATCTAAATTGTATCGGCACAATGAATCAGTACAGACTAATTCCTTTTTCGTTTAGTTTAAAGTTAACTCATACAGTTATGTTGAATAAATCTAATAGTCGGATGCAATTTTATGGTCATTGTCCAATAAAACTATTTCATTCTGTAGCATCAAATAGTTCTGAGAATGATTTGCAAGCGACTACCGATGTTGAATTTACACATGAAGTACCTGTATATTTTCCGTTGGTTAGGATGAATACGACAAGTGTTTCGTGCTAAAAACCAGTTCATCCTTTCAGGAAATGATATTTTCTGGTGTGGGTCTAGTTTGGATGATTGTTTGGGATGTGTTTCTTGTTATCGAAACACAAATTATTACTTCCAGGTTGATTGATTCCAGTATTTAGTATAATTATATGAAGTCAAGTAAGCTGAATAATCGGATTCATTTTAACATGCTTAACATATGCTCAGTATATTAACATATTGCGTAGGTCAGACAGACAACTTTTTTTGTGGGCCCCAATAGTCGTGAAATACGAACGGTTTCTCATCAAAGTCTCTTAATTGTTTGTTCACTTGCGTAACGATTTGGTCAAAGCTTTAGCAATCCATTTTGTTCATTGTAACTGAATTAGATATAATGGATTGTCTGTTATTCTTTTTATTTGTAGAGTTCGTCAAAGTGAAACCGATTAATTCATCATGTATTGTTGTTTCATGGTCACATCCTCGTAAACCTCAGGGACAAATGAAGAGTTATTGTTTAGAAGCTATACCATTGTTAGATACTGCACAGGATGGTTTTATTAATCTTTTTGCTTTTCCTTCAATTTCATCATCTCCATCATCGTCATATAACAGTAATGATAATAATAATGATCGTGCTAAAGGACCGTGCGTACGACCAGATTTTACAAGCTCATACAATTACTACTTTTACTGCGGTAAGTAGTTAAATTGCTTTTTAGGTCAATTTAAAGCGATAAATGATTGTACTGTCCAATGACCGAAATCGATTTGTATTTAGTTCGTTTCCTCAGGATCCTAATGTCCATATTCACCTCAACTTCATAAAAAACGATGCCGAGTGAAGTCAGTGAATAGAATTTTTTTGGAGAGCGTTAGAAACGTATGACTTTGTGTGAAATCTCCCAGAGAAGACGAGTCGACTCTCTTCAGTCCCGACTGTACCAAACACATTCGTTAGAGCGGGACTCAACAGTACAATCCATTGGTGTTGTGGCTCTGACTGCAGATTATGGAGCAGCGAATTATCTATCGGACCAAAGACGCGTAAAACACGTAAGAACGACCTAGAGTCCTGATTGGCCCTGCTTCCCTGTCTAGCCCAGCCAGTTGAGTCCAGAATGCAAGTCTCAGCCTCTGAGATATTAATCATTATATTCCAAGCGTACTCTGTTTATATACCACTCAACCCAAACACAACGTACCGATAAAATAGAAAATAACATTTGTACAATAATTAGCCAGAAGTGGCTGTAAATGAGGGAGGTAGCGATTAACAGATAGGCAATAATTCATGAATGGTAAATCGTACAATAATAGTTCATAGGTCAACATAAAGCTCATAATAAGAGGGGCATGAATATGAAACAGTTTAGTTACATAACAATTATACGATAAAAATATACTCATAATATTGGTCCATAAATGGATACCAAAAATTACCATTCATTATTCTCATCGGGATACAACAATGGGTTCAAAGTAGGACCCATAAACCAATAAGCCGTTATCGTCCAACTGTTTTTGACCGTAACTCACCTCTCATCATTCATCTTACTTGTGACGTTACGTATGTAGTCTATACTTAGGACTGAACTTATCAACTGATCGATATATCCAACCTTCCCCAAGTTTGGGTCAGACGTATCTCTTATTAGTAATTTATTAGATTGCGGTAATAAATAACTCGTTCTAAGATATCTAAGGAAACACTTGTTCTATTGAATTCCCAGATTGATATAGCTGGTGAGTAGTAAGCAATATGAAAACTAAATATTTAAAGCATCTCATTTTAAGTCGTTTTACACTCCAGATTGACTTTAGTATTAGGAAACAATCGAAAACCAAGGGTATCTAACAACTGTTTCATCTTAGTATATGGTACTCCTCAACAGTATACCTCTATCAACAGTGATTGAACTGAAGACCCTTAGATCCTGTGGGAATTACTTTAACTTTAAACTATTAAGTTTGAATCCAAAAGTTTATTTCTTATTTCAATCAGTTCGCGGTATTGTGCAATCATCATCCATTGCCGTTGATAATATCTTATTTATCACATAATTAATAGGTACTTTTGTTTGTTAAAGATAGTTGACATTATCTTCATTATTTCATATAATAATGTAGGTTTAATTGAAGAACGACCATATAATATATCTGTTCGCGGCATAAATCAATTTGATGGTCATAAAACATGGGCAGGACCTATTCGTCCAACTGCTAATCGTAAGTTAATGTATACTTGTTAGATTTTGTGTGTGTGTGTCGGAGGAGGGGTATCTGTCTGTTGATGGTACTTATTATTTTGATCAAGAAAAATTATTTTTGATTGAGATCATGAACCAATTGATGTTAGACCACCTTTGGTAACGTGGAAGCACTGGACGACCGTTTCATCGTTTTTGCCTCAACAGGAGATTCATTGATAATCTTTGTAATATCTGTTGGTACATTTTACCTAAAAGAAATACCCAAAGGATATGTGTTTGTCTTCTTTTACTTCATCTTTCTGTATTCGTCAAATGGGGACACATTTGTTCTATATCTTATTTTGATGCATTTGTTCATTGATATTATTTTTTTTAGATATCGTTTTCTATCATTGCCAAGTTGATAACCTTTCGTACATTCTTATTACCCTTTGACTGTTGCGCAACTTTAAATTCTTATTGACTTTTAGTACCTCTGTTAATGACGTAATAGTGATCTATTTTCATTATATATTACTGTAATATAAAAGAATTGAAGAATTCTCTAAGTGAACGTCTTAGGTAATATCAAGATCATTTGGGTAACACAACTGAGAATCAATTAAACCGGTACTGATTCTGTCACTGTTTCACTTTCCTTAGATTTAAAGTTTTAAGATTATTTTAAGTCCGATACTCATCTCATTGTGTTAATGTTGTATGGTAATTTGAACCGATGTGCATATATATCACATTCTAGATTGATGATAATTAATAGACCATTAGAAGTTCTAGTACACAGTAAAAACATATACCTATCGATTTCATCAAGTCGAAAATGAGGCGCTTAATAATCTCTGACATTGAGTAGTATTAGTAGTATAGTGAACGAGGACATAACTGGGGACAATCGAATATATTTAAATATGAAACTATAGAGTATTTTGGTAAAATTTGAGAACCATACAGTAAATACTTCATTTGCAAAATGTCAATCAATCATCTCAGACTTGATTGTTTTTTTCGTTTCCACATCAATCATTCTTTGTTCTCGTTCTCTTTTCTTCGAAATACTTAACCTTCTGCTGCCAGATATTTCACTTTCGATTGATGGTACATACTACTTATATCTATCGATATCAGTAGCATACACCACAGTAGTAGTGTAGTGGACGCTAATCAGAAGCATGATTTTAAGTAGTGTGTAGCGGAATGTGGTATCGAATTTAAAACAATTTTCAGACAGAGTGAAATATTTCAATGCATCGAAAGTACAGCGCTACTAGAATATTTGAAGACCAGTTGAGAAGACATTTCAAACTGCAAAACATACCTGAAAATGCAAATGGTCAATTGAAGGTTATGTAATATGTATTATGTAAATACTTTGTAACTCCTCAAAATGATCATATGAATGGTTGAAATCTGAATTGGATACTGAAAAACAGAATGATTCAGATCTTTCATAATCCTATTGATCTTTACACTGAAAGAGTCTCAGTCAATGAAGAAATAATCGTCGTATACTTGATCACTTCCAATTTATGTTTTCAATGTTAATATTATCCCAGTTTATCATAAAACTATTCAACATTATTTGTGTTTGTTTATTAATTTTTTTTTGTTGTTGTTAGCACCAATTGGAATTATATCGATTGGTGGTAAAATAATTGCACAAAACAAAATGAGTATTTGGATGGATTGTTTAATTATTGGTGGATATCAACCACATTGGATATATCCACATGATGATCTTGAGTAAGTTCTACCCTCTCTCTCTCTTTCTCTTTCTCCCCCTTTTTTCTCTTTTCCCTTTGTTTCATTTTCTTGCTTTTTCCTCTCTCTATTTCATTAATGATTGTACTACGTAGTATTTTACTAATATGAGTAGTAGGCATTTCTTGTCATTAATTTTAAATACTATTGTGTGTATGAAATTACAAACTAACTGAGTAAGTGTTTAATATAGTAACAAGCTTAAAATCACCTTGATAGGTGGTTATCGGCCAATTCTTAGTCAATCAGGAAACCTTCTTTGTAAGTGGACAGTATTATTTTGTTAAGTATGTCAGTGATACTGCCTGCGTGTGCAAACCGAAGCAGATGGTTTTCTTAGGGGATCACACTCGAATCCTTCGACCTAAAGGTCTGATTCACAAGGAAGTGAAGCAACGTGAGGAGATGCAGTCCTATAGTAGCCGGTGACCAACAATAGGTTCATACGCCATTCGTTTACTCAAGGTCCTGGATCATATGTACACCAATGGTTTGGAATGAGGGTTTTCCAACTCCTCTATGTAGATCCTCCATATTCAGCAACGCGCTTAAAGCGCCAGACATTCTTTTTTCGTCTTCTCAATTTCGTAAATAACTGTCTGTCCGCTTGAAGTTATTGAGTAGGATTTCCATTGGAATGACTGTATACGCCTGTCCATGTGAGAGCGTTTGGAGAGGGAGAGCTAACTCTCCCCACTCTCGAAGGTACCAGGGCATTTGAGAGCGATTTGTCTTTATAAATATAGAATGTCTACCTTTCCATAAAGATTTTCAGAAGTCTTCAAATTGTTTCTCAATAGGATTGGTATGTTCATCACGAACTGACATCATTTCTATTGTAAAAACGTTCTTCAACCATATGGATGAATGAATTTAACGCAAAAATACAAGAGGAATTATCTCATTATTTCATTTATAAAATATAATGCCACACAGTCAGGGTTTGTTCTAGGATTAAATATTTAGGATTAGGATTTAAGGATATTGTTTATTTGTCTGTAATAATATCATCTACAGTAGTAGAACTAAACACTTCATATGTTTAACACTATCATATCACTATAATATCACTTATTATTCCTGTTAACTATTGTAATGGAAATATTTTGATATGAGTGTCTTTGAAAGTGTGTTTTTACATGTTTTCACATTCTAGAATGTATCATCACTATGTGTACTTTTAGAAATGAAAAAAGAAGTAAACACTTATAGAAGTGGTGAAGAAGATTTGTAGCTCAGGTGGATGACTTTGATGGAGTTTTGTTCTCTTAGCTGAATCGTTTAGTCGTGTTTGAGTGTGTGTGTGTGTGGGGGGGGTGATGATGATGGAGTTGTTGGATGAATTTGCTAAATGTTTCAATATTCATGAAATTTCTCTTGACAAAGTGTATGTTGGCGTTCCGAGGAGTGCTACAAATGGACGTAGTGGGATGTTTGGTTTATGTGTTTTCGGCCTGCCGTAGAATCGAGTGAGCACTGTTTCATTGGATTTCATTCTCCATTGATCTTGCTTTGTTATTTCTCCTACTTTAAAGAGCTTGTTTAAAGTCTTTGAGATTCGGCTGTCTAACTTTTTAACTGAATTTATGTCCATCGGTTTGTATGTACTTTTATCCTCAAGTAGTTCCTCAGTTTTCTTGATGTATTCTTCTTTGTCCATAATCACTGTGGTGTGTCTTTTGTCCACTGGAACTATGACATTATCTTTTCTAGATCAAACCATCCAGCTCAGAGAACAAAGCTCCATCAAAACCTTATTGAAGTCTTTTACAAGTGTTCAAAACAATCTATTCTATTAAATCTGGTTGAGTAGTATAAACTCTTTGTTATCTACAGGCTACATATTAATTTTATGTCTATGAGAAAAAATACTATATTCAAATAGATTTGATCTGCACAGTCTACTTACTTAAGTTATTGTCATGATCATATGTTTATTCATGACTAACTTCAAGATAGATTGGCGAAACTTTAATGAATACGTGTGATTGATAGTGTTCAGCCATGTCAGCAATGAGACAGTCATCATCGGTGTCAATAAACAACAGTTAGATGTATAAACCATTGAATTTCATTTCAATGGTCTAAAGGTAAAGCGCTTGTGGCAGTCTAGATGTTCTAAACTTAATCTCTACAGTAGTCATGTTGCTAAGAAATTCTAATATCGATTACCTGTAAACCCATAAATACTCATAGCTTATTGTAGTAGGAAGGAAATCATAATTAATAAATTGAATCTTTATCAGTTCATATTGGGTGGTCAATCATATCTCACTTTTCACTTACCATATATCAAATAATTAACAAGGGAAAGTAATGAAAGGCTAACTACACTCTCTTTCAGTTTGCATAGCATAACAGATCAAGTCAGAAATACTGAATTATAAATGAGTTTGCGGTTCAATTAGTATGATAGATATTCATTATAACTATAGTGTTTTATTTTTAAGTGTCAAAGTGTAGAATTACTTACTTATTTACACCTATTACCCCCAATGGAGACATAGGTCGCCGACCAGCATTCTCCAAGCCACTTTGTCCTGGGTCTTCATTTCTAATTCTATCCGATTGTTATTCATTTTTTTTCATGTCTGTCATGTGTTCTTTGATCTTCCTCTTCTCCATTGGCCTTGAGGATTCCAAGTGAGGGCTTACCCCAAAGTGTAGAGTTAGTCACTATATATCTATCATCTGATAGATTTTAGTTGTAATCTGCTTCTATACTCATCATCCTCGTTGGGTTTTTTTTGGTATTTCATACACTTTATTAATGTTTTATTCTCTTGAAACTTCTCTTACTTTTAGAGATTTACATATTATGGATAATGGTACATTAGTTGTAGAAACTGCACGTGTTGCTCATAGTGGACATTATAAGTGTTCCACTGTATCTGATAGTATATCATACGATTTACTTGTACAAGGTAAGTCTATTTAGTGTGTTTTTTAATGTGTGTAAAACAACGCTGTTTGTTCATTGAGTTTAATTGATTTTATGGTTTACATTGTAAACTGAATTTAGTTAGACAGCTAGTAAAGATCAAGGGATATTAGATAGCTATTTTGTCCTAAATAGACATTTTTCCACATTGCTCATTCACTTCACTATCTCGTTAGGGATGTTATCTACGACTTTCACATCTTGCAATACGAGCACGCTACCATTTGACTCTTGAGTATTCTATATCCGCTGGTTTCTATTTCCGACTTCAACCAATTCATGATACAGCACAATCAGTTATGCGTTACTTTCCACGTGGTACCTATTTTACGCCTGTTGTCAGTCAGACAGTCAGCTACAACGTAGGGCCAGGCACATATATACATCGGCCCAAGTTCTCACACCTCATTAGCACAACAAGATTCATAGAATTAATTCAGTGGTGATAATATGTAAAAGAAAGACTGCATATAAGGAAATAATACAGGAAGAAAGAATTGGTTCGTAGAAAGAAAGATATGAAGTGATTTTAATCTCATAATCTAAGGAAAGATAAAGAGTGTATGCACCGATGCCATTGTGATCGATTCTGAGCCATGTCATACAGAGTTTCCAATCATTGGTTACGATAGTCACGCGAAACCCAACCAAGTAGTCTGCATCTACCAACATGGCTCAGACTAGAAGTTGGTGACTTCAAGCATTAATGCCACGTTTTGGTTTGGCCGCCTCTAAATTTCTTCCAACCATCCCGAACACCGTTTAGCATTGCGCTTAAAGTTAATGGGCTTGTGAGCACATGATCATTTTCATGGGTGGATTACTCTTCTGATGTGATCAAATAATTAGACACGTAATAACTGCATAGTATCCTCCTCCTTGGTTCTCAAGATCATTGTCTAGCTATCAATCAGTCCATGATGTTAACTGAAAATCGATTCAATATACAAAATACTTTTACATACTACTAATTAAGTTATTATTCTTTTTGGTGTTTCTTTTTAGAAATCCTTGAAGGTAAGTAACAAATCGAGTGTTTAAATATGTATTTTTTATGTACATACTATTAGATTGTTGTATATATAATGCATACTAGATAAATGAAAATGTCCGTACTTTAATGTCAGATTGACTGCTGGAAGTGATTGTCAAGATACTTCCGAGATTAAACTTTCATTTTTGTTAGGAATAATCAGTTGATACAAATCTATGTGAATGACATGTCATCTTGATTGAGCAGTATTCATGTATATAGGTTGCTCGTTGATAAACATTTCCCAAGTCCCTTCCGGCATGTCTTTGTGTAATGAACAACAACATAGCATTTATTATCAAATCTTCTATTGTACACTAGGTGATTGATAATAACTCCAATCTAACACATTAAATTTATCATTGCAAAGTCATTACTCACAGAAATACAGAAATATAAAAACAGATAAAGTTATCTATGTAGAGAATAGAATCAATTTGTGAACTCACGTTCTATTTTATAGCCTTGATGTATCCTTTATTTCTTTGAATTTTTATTTGTTTTATTTTCCTGCATGATTAAGTGGATGATTTTGATGCATGTATTCTATACTTGTGTGTATGTTGTCCTGGTATGGCTGAGGGTGGGGAAAGCTCGTTCTCCCTCTCAAAATGCTCTCACATGGCCAAGCATATAAAGGTACTGCCAGGGTAGTCCCACTCACTGAATTCTTGTGGTTAGGGTGTTGTTCATTAAATTGAGAGGACGAAAAGTGAATGTCTGGCTATTTAACCAGGTTATTTGATATGGAGGATCTATCCAAGGGAGCTGTAAAACCCTGATTCTAAACCACTGGTGCATATCTGCTCCAGTATTGTGGAGGAAAAAATGGTATGCGAACCAATCATTGGTCACCAGGTGCCATAGGACTGCATCTCCTTACGTTACTCCACTGCTTTGTGCACCAGACCTCTGAGTAATGGGTTTGGATAGTGACCTCCTAAGAAAACCACCTGCTTCGATTTGAGTGCTCGGACAGTGTTTCATCCTTCACACATATGGAATGACTAAGTGTGGTGCATATATATTTTGTGCCTCCTTGTACCAATGTTTATGTGTTCAAATAAATATATAATTTTCAATATTGCTCATCTAAAGCAGATGAAAAAGCATGTGTATTTATCAATTTGTTGTATAATTCTTATATGTATATGCATATTTTTACTGTTTAGAACCTCCGCGTAAACCAATTTGGCATAAATTCACACCAAGTCTACGTGGTATACAAGCTGAGTGGTTATCACCTGGGTCTAAACGTCTTGATGCACCTATTCTATGGTTTTATTTAAATTGGACTAATTTACATACTGGACAAATGGAAACTATACGTTTATCGGCTGATCAACGTACTTATTATCTATCGAATTTAACATGTGCTACCACGGTTAAATTTCAGTTAAAAGCTGAAAATAAAGTTGGCAATAGTTCACTAACTGATGTCACCTCATGGACTACATTAGGTTCCTGTAAGAATTCCTTTATTTTTCTACTTGACTATCTCTCATGCACACTCATTATCTCCTCTTTTTAATATTTCTTTCAGTTCTTGGTGGTTGGTGGTGACTAACATAAAACTGTGGATCTAGGTTTCATACCAGTTGATAATTATCAATTGAGAGTATCTGAAATTTTTAAGAAATTTATTCTACTGGTAGAATTTGAACCTGTGTTACCGAATTTCAGTTAGATATTGACAATTGATTGATCATTGAATAATAATGACCAATGTCATACTTATCAAGTGTTTAGTGCTGATTGAATTCTATCAATCAAATTATAACATCGCCAACTACTATTGACAACTCAACATCATGATTTGATGTTAGGTGACTGGAAGTAGTCAGCAAGATCTCGTGATTTAATGATTGGGAGATCAATTGATTAAAAACAAACTAAGTAGAAATAGAGAAGGATATACATGTATTACAACATGGTTAAGATTCTGGTAAAAATTGTGAAATCTGTCTATCTCATTCTCAAAGGTTAGGCATACTAGAGGTCGTAGTGTGGAAGAAGATCCATGGTGGAGTTATCATATCAAAATGTGAAGTCATTTAGATTTTCATCACTTGATATTACTTACCATGTTTTGTTCCGCAACTCTTTAATTGATTCATTGATTGTTCTAATATATACGATAACTCAATCCATCGATGCATATTCGTTCATTTCCCATATTGATCATAACTGTTATGAATCACAAAACAAACCAAATATCAGTGGCAGAGTGAATGGATACTGTGTAAATACTCCCTTCATTTCAAATACGTTTTACTTAGCCTTCTCAATTATTGAAAAGGCAAAAGAGAGTTAAAAGTTTATCCCATCGATTCTGTTGACGATAAAATATCAGTATACTTCTTCTATATTTTTTTCTTAAGAACTGATCATTCAAGTTGGGAGGGGGAGGTTATAGATGTCCCAGTTTAACGCCATATACACGGTTTAAAACCTTTCATCTTATTATCAGTTTTTAGTAGGAATTCTTTTTTAGTCGTTTTAAATCACGGACTAATCTTAGTTTTAGACAATTAGTAAGAACCAGGAAGTAGCTTTCTCATTTATGTGTGTGTAACTCTTTAGGTTTCTTGCACATTTGTGAGTTTGTGCCATAGGATTGAGCTATTCTCTTCATGTTATAAAGAGCCTTGATAGTGTCAAGCCCTTCTATAAAATCACTTTTTGCACACTAATGAAAAGTCTTATACGAGAACGAATAAGACCGACCATTACTTCTTAGTTCTCCATGGTTATCTTACTAAAAGCATTTCTCATAAATCAATTGAACATTACATAAAATATTCTTCCTCCCCAATTCACACTCAAGTGGCTATCAGAACTCGGTAGCTAAGTGGATAATGCGATGGTGTTTGAAGCGGAAGGTACTAGGTTCGAGTCTCAGAGTGAACATCAACTCTGAGATGCAGGTATATCCAGCTGACGAGTACCAAATAGGACGACGCGCGCGTATTGGGTTCCATTGCTAGCCACTGTCCATTTTTGTTTAGAATTTGATTTGATCAATCTAGTTCTTCCTTCACATCTTTTTAATCATTGTTTTTTTTAATTTCAGCTCCATTAACTGCTAATGCAGCTCAATTAATACCGAATAATTTACGACAACAATATTCTGTGACATTTAATCTGTCAAATTTTCTCCCAGGCAACGGTTGCCCACCTACTACATACCGTCTATTGATTGCACCATCAGAAGATGGGCATTTTGGTTTAAAACAAACAATTATTAATCAAACATTAACTAGATCAGATCTTATAACAGTAGATATATTAAATAGAGAAAGGTTAGTAGTTTTTTTAATTATTCTGATTTGTTTTTGTATTTTGAATGAGGTGAGAGAATTGTGGAGATTGTTGAATTTTATTTGAAATACAAAAAAATCTAAGTTGAATAACTATTGAGAACCTGGAAGTATCGGGTGGCTGTCTAGGGAGAAACCATGACCAGTGGAACTAATTCGTGTCGAGTAGAGACAGGTATCTACCTCAGTACAATGGAAGATGGCCGCATAATTTCGGTTGAAATTAGACGTTAACACCTTTGGATGTCTGCCAGTTCACTGGTTTAGTAGGTTGAGCGTTCGCGCGCGAGACCGAAGGCCCTGGGTTCGAATCCCTTTGGTGCGGAATCGTGGATGCCCACTGTTGAGGAGTCCCACAATAGGACGAAACGGCCGTCCAGTAATTCGGTCTTTTCAATGGTGGTCTAACATCAATCGACTCATGATCTCAATCAATAACTTAATGATCTTCACAATTCTATACTGAGAACAGAAGTTTATCTAGAATTCAATATTATCAATGATAACAACGTATTCAATAAAGTTTACAAACTTTGAATCACTACGTGTTCAGGTATTGATAACACGTCAGGTCCATAATCAAATGAATAGTTCTTCCTTTAATTACTTGAGTAAGTGTGAAATTATAACACATTACATAATAGAGATTTACCAAATATGTACCAGTAATTATAAAACGAAAATAAATCACTAGTATAGGGGTTGTGGAGATTAATAAGTTTTTGATTGAGATCATGAACCGATTGATGTTAGACCACCTTTGGAAACCTGGAAGCACAACCACAAACCGTATACTAGTAATTAACATGTGCTCACTAGTGACTGGCTTCGTGAAGAGATTCTCGGAGTTCTAGTGAGAGGTCCTGACCAGTGGAACTAATCCGTGTCGGGTAGAGACAGGTATCGACCTCAGTGCAATGGAAGATGATCGCGCAATTTCGTGGATTGGTTGATGTTAGACACTAACACCATTGGATGCCATCTCAGTGTTCCAATAGATTAGGCGTTCACGCGTGAGACTGAAAGCCCTGGCTTCAAATCCCTTTGGTGTGGGATCGTGGATGCTCACTGCTGAGGAGTCACACAATAGAACGAAACGGCTGTCCAATACTTCCATGTTTCCAACGGTGGTCTAACGTCAATCTGTTCATGATCTCAATCAAAAAAAGAAAATAAATCAAGCGCAACGCCCTCAAAATGGAGTTGTTTGAACTAATCAACTTTTTTTTGATAACACACGTATAATTACTATCAGATAATACATGAAGGAAAGGAATAGCATTATAAATAGTAAAACGAATGAAAACATTGAATAAATATGCAAATATTTTTGCGCATAACAATCACTATAAGACCGAATCGTAACTCTGAAAATGAGTGATAATTGCATAAACTACTGAATACATTTAATGAGTAGTACAATTCTGTACACGAAAGAGAGCAATTATAGAAGAAACGTGTCTAAAAAAATCTAAAATAGATTTAAGATTATTTCTGGCACAAAGATAAGAAGATCACAGTTAAGATCAGATATGAAAACAACGCGTCATAGTTAGACATAAGTATCTCATTTTATAACTGATATATGGTATAGAAAGTAAAATATGGTTGGTTATTGAGTATGAATAAAGAGGCACTGTGTTGTATGCTACTTATTTTTGACAGATATAAGTAGTGTGTAACACCAGTCAGTAGTGGAATACCTGGCAGATGATTGAATTGGAGAAGACAGAAAGAAAAACAGAAAGCAATTGAATTATTAACGGAATTGAAAGGATCATTAAGAATGTAAAGGATAACTGAAGGAAGATGTAATGTATGGTTTTCATATTTTAAGAAAGCACTCTGTAATTTTGCATTTGACAATAAACATGTGGCTTAATTTTCCAGGATATATATATATATATATATATATATATATATATATATACCCATTGTCTCCCATTATGATCTGGATAGATTGAACTGCCGGTCGTATTGTAATAAATTCGATTGGCTCACTTCTCTCCGGAACTTGTGCTGGTGATATTGTCCAGAAGGACAATGTAAGCTCTACGATCAAACTGTCCAACTCAAGAAATGAAACTTCAACAAAATTTTATTATGGCTAATATTATAAATAATCGTAATGTTAATGTTTTCCTATTTATTCTTATTTGTTCTAGATGTTGTTACAATGTGACTAATTTGAATTCAGGAGCACATTATCATTACAAAGTTGTAGCAACCAATGCTGCAGGATCAGCCAGTGTTCAAGGTCAATTCTGGACAAGAACTGTTTCAGGACGTAAGTACCTCTATTGATTAGTTGTTCTTGTATTAACAAATGTATCATTTATTCACTAATGATTAACATCAAGAGAAAGTTTTCAGAGTTTTACTTAAAAAATCCGTGACCATGATGTCTAACCATGTCGATTGTAGAACAGATATCATCAACTGCAATGAACGATAGTCACATAATACTATAAATTGTCTGGAGTCAAAAATAAGCATCATTGAAGAACATATGGAACTCTAAACAACTTTCTGTCAACCAATATCAGAGTTACAATCTTCAATACGAACTTCAACACTTAGTTCTATAATACAGAACTGAAACTTTGTGAACTACCACAACCATCATCAAGAAGGTACAAGTATTTACAAATAGTTGTCTACATGACATACTCAACATCCATTGGCCAGATACTATCAGTTACAGCATTCTGTGGGAGAGAACAAATGAGCTTTCAGTTGAAGAGGAAATTAAGAAAATGCAATGGAAATGGATAGGACATACATTACACAAATAACCGAACTGCATGACGAGGCAAGCCCTAACTTGTAATCGTGAAGGGAAGCGGAAAAGAGAAAGGCCAAAGAACACATTACGTTGAGAAATGGAATCAGATCTGGAAAGGATGAATAGGAACTGGAAGGAGCTGAAAAGGATTGCCCACGACAGGGTTCGATGGAGAGTGCTGGTAAGAGGCGTAAGTAGGTAAGTAAGAAGTCAAAAATACAGACCATTGGATATCATTTGAGGGGTCTAAAAGTTAAGTGCTTTGCTATAATTCCTGAAGGTCATTGGAGGAGACGTAAATGGACTCTGTTGAGTAGTTCCCTACTAGAGCGAAACAAATGCTTACTGTATCCGGGCCTTCAATGGCTCTCTAACTAAAATCAGTTTTTTTCTAATACACTACAAATAATCACTAATATTGATGATAATGATCGTTTATTTGTTAACGAAATTACTCACGGTTAATTGATTGTTTAATGTACAAATTGTGTTGCATTTTGAATGTTAATTAATTATTTAAAAGTTAAGTTGCTTAGAAGACTATTGTCTGAACATTTCATTCTGAGATCCATTGCAGATGGTAGTGTTTTTAAGTAATAACATGACTCAAAATCTATCACAGATACATTCAATCTTTTTTTTACTCTTCCAAATCTTAAGTTTCAATATTCCTTCGAACAATACTGAAGTTATACACAGAATATTAGATAATTGTGGCAAATCAATGAGTCTTCATTTATTGAGATGGTTGGGATAGGGCATGTATTATGTATGGCCATCTACCGACTTCCTCGAAGTTTCATGATAGTTGATGTAGGAGTAAGTTGGAAGAAAGCTAGGTTCAATCAGAACAATCAATAGTCCATGAAGACGTTGACTACTGAACTGAGCTTTATGGTTAGAGTCTGTTTTATTATTGTAACCAAAGGTTAGAGACTTTGAATGACACAACTCAAAATCGTTCTCAATGGTGTAATTGTATTCATTTTTTGTCTTCCCTTAGATCCTAAATTTCTAAATTCGTATCTTGGACGACTAATCTTTTTTTATTACCATTAATTCTGCTACAATCTCTACTACTCTGGAATTTTCCCTGAGAATCTGATCAAACTGTATTAATTGGTTACGGTGACTTAGACCGTCGTACACTTATTCCAGGTTCCACGTTGCGTTACACTAATTGACTAACTGATTGGATATTCCTTCATATAGTGTTTGGACTTTCTTATTGTCATCGTTAGTGTTATAAGCTGAATTTCTTTCCTGTTTATTTTGTTAGTTTCATTTCATTGTGTCCATAGGGTACAAGAACTTTGGGCGATGTATTTCATGGTAGTAGATAACCAATGTCGGTTCTTCAGTTTTTCGAAATTCTAGAATTCATATAATCATTGTTAGCTAATTCAATGACTTGGTTGAATGAACCGATTGATGTTGGACCACCGTCCGAAACCTGGAAGCACTGGACGGTCGTTTCGTCCTATTGTGGGACTCCTCGACAGTGCGCATCTACGATCCCGCACCGAAGGGATTCAAACCCAGGGCCCTCAGTCTCGTGCGCAAACGCTCAACTTACCAGACCACTGAACTATCCGGCATCCAACGGTGTTAATGTCTAATTTCAATCGATCGACGAAATTGTGCAACCATCTTCTATTGTACTGAGGTCGATACCTGTCTCTACCCGACACGGATTAGTTCCACTGGTCACGGCTTCTCACTAGAACTCCGAGAATTCCCCCACGAAGCTCGTCACTAGTGAGCACATGTTTATTATCAATATAAGGGTTGTGGACATTATTGTAATCATTGATACAATCATTGAAATAATCTATGACAACTGGTATTATATGAAAATTTCACATTCTATTCTTTTATTTATTCATTAGGTGAACCTGTACTCAAACAAATACATTTACTTGGAAAAGCTAATTTCTTTTTACAACCAACTGTTATTGTACCAACTACAGCATTATTTGCTATTATAATTGTTGTTGTTATTGCATTAATATTCTTTTGTCGTCATCGACGTTTAGAAGAAGATTTATGTCCAAATAAAAGTATCACTGTAACCCATAATGATTTACGATCAAATCAAACAAATAATAATTTACAACATCAACAAACAACAAATATTGGTCATTCATATCATTCTTATCATGTTGGCAGTGGTGGCGGCGGTGGTGGTGGTGGTGATCCACGACGTGTTCCTACTGCTGTTATTTCCACCAGTACTACTAATTCTGGTAAAGGAAGATCATCTTCGGGTCATGGACATGATAATCTTCCACCGATTCCTTCTTCAGGACATCAACAACATGATACAAAATCTACTACAATTGTACCTGTTGGACGTCATAGAACTGGTTTTAAAAGGTCTTGTCTAGATAATTATATTTCCGGCTGCCTCTCTTCTCCAAATATATGTTTATTGTTTATTTTTTCGCTGAGAAATGTTTATATATAACTGAATTACCATAGTTAGTGAATGTTAACAACTTTCGATGTATCGACTTGTCATTTCTACTTCAAACTTTACATTGGACTTCAGTATTAATTCCTTCCTAAGAGCTAATGAATTAATTTAGATGAATGACACTGAGATCATTTAATTAAAAAGTGTGTCAATATTCCTTTAAGTTATTGACTGTTGATGTGTTTGAAGCATGGTTGATAGATTCAGACTGTCACTTAGCCATGATTGATACTATTATCATGGTTGGAGATATTCGGTTGTGTTCTGATTCATATTACCAATGATTTGCTCATTCTTCTACTTGTCTTATATCATCAGTAATAAAAACAAAGCTTATGAATCATACTGCCTACGTGTAATATTCTCCTTTAGTATTGATATTGATAGTACTCTTACCAATTCAATATTCATAGTCCTGTACTAATGGTAGTGTGACGACTTGAATAGATGTAGATATTTCCCATCTACTTTACTTATGACTAGCTAAATCTATGCTTAACAGTTCGATTATTTAAGCGGTAAACCACCGGCATGTTATGAATAAAACGTCATTTTATGTTCAGTTGTGTTTAAAACTGTTTACTTTGATTGAACACTGTCACCATAATAGTTTGTTTTTTACTGTTTTAAAAACATACTACTTTAATGCATATATAAGTAGTTTATCTAATTTCTGTAAATTAACTTGTCGTTTAGTGTAGTGTGATTTTTTCTCTTATTATTATTTTATTATTAATTCAATCTAATGTAGCTGGCTCAATGGTACACGAATGCGTCTTTATGATCGTGGACATCCAGTCAAGCCTTCAGAACAATCTGTACATGTTGGTTCATCTCAAGTGAATAATCATATTACTGGTGATGAAGATGAACGTTTATCCACTAATTCAGTCGATAGTGAAGGTACTATTTCAATGACAACAACAATTTATTTTTCAACTTTCATTTTAATTAGTCAAGATGATTTGATGAATGATGGAATACTGAATCACAAGTTAAATATTTATTAAAGAATATAATGCTGTTATCTGTATAAGAGTCTGTGGAGATTGTAGAATTTTCACAGTTTAAATCATAAATTGATCTTGGTTAGAACATCGATAAAAATCATGAAACACTGAAAATTTGTTTCATCTTAGTATGGGGATCTTTGGCAGTATGTGTCTACACAAAGCCTTCCATCTCGCGTGTGAACTCTTTATCTCTAGACCAATGAACTGGTATTCACCTCAGGGAATGAAAGTTGGTCGGTTAGTATCGTAATTTGAACTTAGACATGTACATTACTGGGTACTGGATAAGGAATCCTACAATAGAACAAAATACCTATCCAGTGATTGTTATTTTTCAATGATGGTCTAGTTAGAATCAGTCCTTGGTTTAAACCATGAAAAATATAATGTTACCTTAGCACTAGTTTGTGTTAACATCTGAACACTACAATGAAGTGAAGTGTATTGACCACTTCACCTATCTAGGAAGTTTCATAATCCATGGTGGGTTTATATTTGACGAAATCTTGGGATGTATTGGAAAATCTCAATTGGTGTTCGGAAATCTGCGTCACTTGTGCAGTAGGCGAGATGTATACCTGTCATCCAAAAGACAAGTATAATACATAATAATTCACTCTGTTATATGCTTTGTAACTACGATATATGGTCTTGAAAGTAGACGATAGGTAGAGGCTTTAAGATTTTGATTATATGTGTTTTCGAAATATTGTTCTCATTTCGTTAGAAAATCGAATATCTGGTGTTGGGTTTAGACAAATGTTAGTACTAGGAGAAGATGGCAAGCTGGTTAGTGAAGTCGTTTTTCAGCGATATTTGTCTTTTTGACATAATGTGTAATCTAGTTAACTGAATATATAATACAAACGAATTATTACGTTAGCAAACTTGTTATTGCTGACTAGAAATTAGGAGTTTCCAAACACACAATTGATGCATTTACTAATAGGGAATAGCTTGTATACGGACTTAGTACTAGTTCTAGTTTTTAAAAAACGTATCTCATCAGTATGAGGACCTAGGATCTTCAAGTGTCATAATGAACACTTTCTTGATTCAATGTCGGATGAAGTGATGGTCTCCCACTACTCAGAACTTAACTACTTGAATCAGACGCCTGCGAACCACTTTTTTTAATACTTATCGAGACAAAAAATGAATTCAGTTTGTAATGTAAAGTATATTCCAAATGAACAATTTCCACAAACATTCCCTACTATTAATATAAAATCGTTGAAGTATTGGGCGTGGCTACAATTGAATCAGGTAATTCGATAAAATGAACAATGAAAGATTCACAGCCCCCAAATGCCCTGGTACGGCTGAGAGTGAGGAAAGTCATCTCTCTCGAAATGCTATCACATGGCCTTGCGTATACAGTCACTGACAGAGAAGTCCTACTCACTGCCTTCCCGTGACCAGACAGTTGTTTACGAACTTGAGAGGACGGAAAGCGAATATTCGCCGGGAGTTTTAACCGGGTTGATGGACACGGCGAGTCCACCACGCGTATACAGTCACTCCAAGGGAAGTCCTACTCAATAACTTCAAGTGGACAGACAGTTATTTACGAAGCTGAGAAGACGAAAAGAGAATGTCTGGCGCTTTTGGCGGGTTGCTGAATATGGAGGATCTACCTAGGGGATTTGGTAAAATCCCATTCCAAACCAATGGTGCACATGGGCTCCAATATCCTGAAGTAACAAATGGTGTATGAACTAATCATTGGTCACCGGCTACCATGGGATCGCACCTCCTTACAGTGCTCCACTTCCTTGTAGATCAGATTTCTAGGTCGAAGGCTCCGGGTGTGGCTCTCTAAGAAAACCACCTGCTTCGGTCTGGGCACCCGGGCAGTATCACAGCCCTCAGGCAAATCAAATGAGATTTGTGTGGTGCATATGTATTTGTTGCCTCCTTTTACCAATATCTATGTGTTCAAATAAATAATAAAACAAGTAAAAATCATAGATAATACATTCATCTTTTAGGATTTACCTGATGAAATTATTTTTGTATACAATAATAAAACTTAGGTAATATCAATCCGTATGCAACGTATGCAGCAACCGGTTTCGGTGATCGAACAGATACAGTAGGTACAAGTGCCAATCTAACTGGACCTGCTGTTCCTGGTAGTGGCGGTATCAAATCTTCAGTAGTTTCCGGTCCAGTAATAGATAAAAATATGATCGGACCAAGAGGTGTGCGATCAACACGAGATTTAAACATGAATCATGGAAATCACAATGTGAATATATCAAAATCATCTTGGAACACTGTATTCAGACGTGGTGAGTTTAGTTTTCCACTTTCATTGGATCCATGCTGATAACCTTTTTATATTATGACTTATTTCTATAATTCAGCTGATTTAGTTTAGCTTTATGCTTTAATGAGTGTTCCTGTGATTAGATAGTTGTCTGCCTGATGACGATTGGGGCGTTGACTCAAAGATGATTAGAAATTTCGGCAACTAAACAGTATAAGTAGTTTGTATGGAGAAAAAAACAGTTCCAAGATAACTTTGGAGATATGTTTCGAATCAGATTATGGGTTGAACTCAATAAGAAATGATTACTAGTCAAATAAGGCTACACATTCAGCGGGATTTGAATGAATGATCTCTTTATTACTGATATTAGTTGAAAAGTTAAGCGGCACTAGATAAGTAGTTTTTTTCTTAGTATAAGACTCTTCAATCAGTGAAGTTTGACTTTTTTTCGATCCAATAAATTTTGCCTTGCTTAAAATAGTCTACATAACATGGGAATTTTGAAGTGTTTTCATAGTATGCAATGGAACCGATCAATATACCCTCTTGATATGAGGATAGACTTATTGTCGATTTTTATCGACCGTCTAATATCCAAATAAAGTACACAGTGAATGTAATCGATAACATTTTAACAGCATTGAAGATTAGACAACTACTTATTGACCTATGAGTAATGAAAGCATCTAACTTCTACATAGTGGGTTGATCACAGTCCTAATAACTCACTAGGATTTTTTCTGACTATAGTAAACTAGGTAAAATGTATTTAGATCTTTGAAGGATAATTAAATTTGTTGACAAGTAATCCAGTTGGCTCGAAATGCTGGTCTCTGACTTTTAATACTGTTCAAGTGCATAATATTCATACTAAACGTTTATACATAGTTCAGCTTTCTTTCTATCCTGTAATGTTTTTTGATTTTTCAATGTTTCTCATAAAAAAAACATCATTCTAGGTCTTTCAATTCCTTCAAACCCAGACTCTATGATCACTACTATGTCTGGACATCATTATCATTATCCAAATTTAGATTCATCGATTGGTAATTCTACACTTGGTCGTCCTCATCTTATTCGTGTCGGTTCTAGTGGTCGATTAAGGTTAGCTCAGCATATGATTGATCCACGATTAGTTCCACCATCGACAGCTGCTCTTATTGATCCAATGATGCTTGGACCATATGATAATGGTACACTGGAAGGTAATGATTCAGAAAATACAGTTGATGAATTCGTTGCAAGAGGATCAGTATTAGGTCCTCTAAGAAATGGAATAATACGACGAATTAATTCATTTGAGTCTTTACATCAATTGCCAAGAGGACGTAAGTGTATATTGCTTATTACTAAATTTTTTGTACCATTTTTTCAGAGATATCGTTTTTCTTTGTCAGTAGACTTCTTCTTGTAATAAGATCTGAATCAAAAAGCTTAATAGACTAGATGGATGATTGTTCGTGAAATGGGAACAGTCAGTAATTGATGCTGAAATATATATATATATATATATATATATATATATATATATATATATATATATATGACGAGGAGTTCGATCGATGAGCAGAAAGACTTAAGCAGTAAACTGGGAGTTCGAGTGTTGATTTATACTGCTAATCATGCAGACGTATGATGATGATAACGCGTTTTCGTCAGGTAACCGGTATCTACTTCAATACTTTGTCTTCCCAACTGGAGAATAAGGTTGGACAATGTCTGCCCTAAAAGTAACACAATCCAGATTGCCCCATGGGTTTACGTCGATAGTGGTACAGCTTTTGAAGCAGAGAGCTAACATATCTACAACTATTCATAAAACGGCTGTATACAACCGGTTTCGGATTACTGTTTATCCATTGAACTCTGGAGCCAAGATTTCAGGTTGGAAAAACCACCTTTAATCCAGTTTAATTCTCAGGTCCTACAGAAAGAAATAGAGAAGTAGAGGCCGGTTTAATACTTCTAATAGCACTCATCTTGTGATGGAGCATGGTTCCTCAACGGTCTGAGGACTCGACTTTCAACCGCCGAGCCATAAGCTTGAACTACGCTTTACTTAATTGTTCTTGAGAAGCTGAATAATGTCTCTAACTTTCACAAAATTCCAAGCACATACATACGTAGTTGGCTACTGAGTTGTATTGGTTACCTGAAAGACATTGGTTATAATTAAGGTGTATCTCACTTCTTCTCTAATCACAATCAACACTCTTAGGCATTTCACAAACTTTTTGATCTCCGCCTATGTTCCGACAGGTTGCACCCCGGATGCGATCGAGGATGAGTTTTATCACCAGTTAACAGTTCTTCTACGGAAAGTGCGTTCGACAGATATTGTAGTACTAGGTGGAGACTTGAATGCTCAGGTTGAGCGTCTAGGCACAGAAGAGAATCGTGTAGGTAGCCAAAAGGTACTTTTTGGTCGCAGGTCAGATAACGGAGACCGTTTACTGAAACTGTGCACAGACTACAACCTGTTTCTGACTAGTACTTACTGCTGATACAGTCATCGAGGGTGCGCTACTTCGTATCCTCTCTCTGCATCTCAAATCTGAACTCAGATTGATCACATAGTGATCAGCTACCGCTGTCGTGGTTGTTTACAAGATCGCCGCTCCTTGTGGAGTACCTATCTGGACTCTGATCATGCGTTTGTTTGCGCTAATCTTACCTTACGTTTTAGTAGTCAACAAATTCGTCATTCTAAACGGATCGATGTCAGCGAATTAGTTACAGCTTCTGTTGCAACTAATTGTCGAACCGAGCTAGGTTCAAGGCTAGCTACCATCCCACCGAAAAGTATAAATGAGCATTGGTTGCGACTGCATGACGCCATAAAAATGGCGAGTAAAATCGCTTGCGGCTTCAAGAAACGTTCCGCTTACAAGCAGTGGGCTTCTACAGACTCCTTACAACTTATTGGAACCCATCGGTCCACTTCAGGTGACCACGAGTCTGACCATAAACGACGACTTTTACGTAATGAAATTGTTTAAAGCTTACGAAAGCGCAGAGGAGCTTGGCAGTCGGGGCGTGTAAGTGAGTTGCAAGCGGCTGCTGCACCTGGTAACTACCGGAAGCTTTTTTAACTCATCCAAGTCACTGGTAGCAAGAAGTCTGGTGTGAGTGGAACAATCTGTGAAACTGATCGGATGCCAATCACTAAAATCTACAGACGTCTTGGATGATAGGGAGAGTTTTTCAAGGTGCAGTCAACTGGTTTGCTGCCCCGACGGTATCTTCCAGACCGTCCTTTCTTACATAACCCATGATGACTGATCCACCTAACGAGGCGGAAGTCTCCAAGGAACTCCAACTCCTTAAGCGCCTCAAATCACCAAATGACTTACCTCTGTACTTCTTAAAGATGGTGGCGACTTTCTGGTTAAGGAACTGAATTGGGTTGTTCACAAAGGTCTGAGGATTAGACAGTGTTCCAACATCATGTAATGATTCGATAGTTACTCCTATCTATAGAGGGGGCTCACGTCGTTTCTGCAAGAATCTAATAAAATGAAGTGAATTCATGTTATTTTCCTTAAATCTCTGTTCTCATTTACTTTAATTTGATAAATGGGGATCATATGTAAGTTGATTATGAATGCAATGGTCTTGAGTGCTGTTAGAGGTATGAGGGCGGTTATCACTTACTGTTGCTCACACCATGGAAGGGTTCTTCTGCAGGTACCTGAGAAGGAAATTGGATTGGAGATGGTCTTAGTGACCTGAGAGCGTGACCGCAGTGCCCCAAATGCCCTGGTACGGCCGAGAATGGGGAGATTCCGCTCTCCCTCTCGAAATCCATGAGACCGCATCTGCTTACAGTTCTCCACTGCCTTGTGGATTAGACCTTCAGGTCGAAGGCTCGGGGTGTGGCCCTCTAAGAAAACCACCTGATTCGGTTTGGGCACCCGGGCAGTATCACAGCTTTCAGACAAATCAAATGAGATTTGTGTGGTGCATATGTATGTATTGCCTCCTTTTACCAATATCTATGTGTTAAAATAAAATAAGGGATAACTGCTTGAGGTCGGTCACACACGACCTTTTTATGGGTAATTTTTGTGTTAGCTCCGTACTTGTTGAGACCTTACCGCCGGAGACGGATATGCGTGGGATAAGGCTAGGTGTGCATTTTTAGGGTCGACCTTTTCTAACCCAACCCCTTTTTGTGGGAAGGCAGCATCGCTGTCATGCTGGTCGTTTGAAGGAAGCACCTTACTGCCGTCACACCTCTGTACAGTCAGCAGTACGTCTTCGCCCTCGGACCTTGGGTTTGTTGCTTTTAGTCTTCAACCGACCTGTCTGACATGGTAGGACCTAGGGGAACGGTTGTTCCAGCCAGTATAGCTCGATTGGTTCATCACGATAGACAATCCCGACCACCACATCAAGGTAGCAACAACGATCGGGATTGTTTCATTCATGTAGTGGGGTTAGACAGAGTTGTCTAATCTCACCATTCCTCTTCAACTTTGCTATCGATGACGTTCTGAAAGCAGCTTTGATAGATGTAGGTAATGGTGATGTGAATTTGTTGCCTAAAGAAAGACTTTCAACCTTGAGTATGCGGATGTTATTGTCTTAATCTTATTGTCTCAATCCATGCAATCCGCACTTAATCAGTTAGTAATTAGTTTCCCTAGGTATGGTATTTGCTTTGCGCCTTCGAAGTGTAAATTAATTTTACAAGACTGGCAGAACTCTGATCCTGCAGTTACTCTGGGTAGTGAGCAGATAGAGGTAGTCGAGAAGTTCGTGCATCTGGGTAGCTGCGTAAGTGTCGATGATGACGTGAGCGATGTGATCAATCCACGTATAATGAAAGCCAGAGTGGCTTATGCCAATCTGGGCCATGTTTTGCGCCTTAGTGATGTTAGTCTGGCTGTATAAGGTCGGATCTACAACGCGTTGGTGAGAGCAGATTTGCTCTACGCTTGTGAAACCTGACCTCGGAGTTGAGGATATTAGACGACTCTCTGTGTTTAATCATCGTTGTCTGTGAAAGATCGCTGACATCCATTGGCAACACCATGCTAGTGATTCAGAGATCCGGCATCATTTATTCTGTCACAACGTTGATAATTCAGTTGGAGTCACCATCTTGAAACATCGACTTCGGTGGCTTGTAAATGTCTTACGAATGCCGTCGGAGAGAAATCCACGTAACTTTCTTTTACTTCCTTCATGTAAATGAACGTAACTGCTTTAACTTAAAGAATTCTTTCTGGTTGTATTATTAGTATTTCACTGTCATACACTAATTTTTGTTCAGTTTTGTTCTTTTTTTATTATATGCACTTTATATTCTCTATCTCTTCATAGCTTCATTATTATTATATGCCGTGTATGTATTTGGTAATCTCTTGTACCAATGTTTGTGTATTCAAATGAATAAATAAGATACCTGGATAGATAACTGACCTTCTAATCTGCTGTTTAACAATTACAGTCATTATGTTTGGTGACTGTTTATAGCTCTTAGATCACATTGTTCATAGACCTTAATAATACAATGTAGGAAGTAAATGCAAATAGTTACAATTTTTAAATTTCATTCCACTTTTTGTGTTACCCTTTGTTAGATCTTGAGGATCTTTTACATATGAGAAGACCAAATGAGACAACCTGTTTTGTTTTGAAGTTAAATTATACTACCTGAAATTATCTCTTTTCTTTTATGTTTTTTTTCATTGAAGGTTCACGAACTTATCATCAAGGTTTTGCAGCTTGTATACCAGGTGGACGAACGTTACCATCAATGGGAATTAATGTATCAGGATCTGTTGTTGGCCCAAATGCTTCAGTTTCATTCTATGAATCCGGTGGTACCAGTGGTATTCAACCATCTGATCCATCTGTAGCATATCGTGGAAGTGTACTATCAAGTACAACAGTCTCGTCAAATCATGAAGAATTGATGCAAGCTTATGAGTATGGTAGAAAGCATCAATTAAAATCATGTCTTACTTTACCGTCAAATACTGTTATACCACCTCATCTTGTACCATCTGGTAATCTTGGTACACATTTAATTCCTACACATATAGGTATGGGTCTTGATAATTCCCATCATCATCGTCATCGCCAACATCATCCTTCAACTGGTGCCGTTGTTGTGCCTCACTCAACATTAACTGGAGTTACTGTTGGTGGAATTGGAGAAGGAGAAATCAGTGGAGAATCGGCATCGAGTGATGCAACTGATTCAGGTATTCGACAATTTACTCAACAACCACCTCAACCGGATGAAGCAAGACATGCTACATGTGAAATTCCATTTGTTTACGATGGTAAGTTTATTGTACTTACTTACACTTGTTTCCCTTTGTAAAGCATAGGCTTCTGACTATGATTCTTCAAAAAATCCCGTTCTAGACTCTCCTTTCTAACTATTGTCGAATGCTATTCATTCTTTCAATGTCTACTCTCTTCATTTATCTTATCTTTGAACCTACAATAACCCTAGAAGGGTTCTCGGTGGAGTTAAGTTTAATGTTCATAGTTATATAATTTACCCTTGTGGGCCACGGTAATTTTACATTGGTTTTCAGGAGAACCAGACACCATCCGGACTTTCAAATACAGCTCAACCCCGTTTAGCAGGGGAACCAAACACCGTATAGGCTTTAACGCTACAATCTGAATAGTACATCTCAATCCTGTGGCGCAATCACACAGGTACCAAGCACCCTGGTGGACCAAAGTTTAATGTACATAGTACAAAATCGATGACTTACTATGATGCTTCAGTTCACTTAATTTACTTAAAAAAAAGCATATTAGAAGATACTTGATTTGTTCATTAAATACTCAAACTTGGTTTATAAGTGGTTTATTGTACAAATAAAAAGGCATATCAATCTTATCCTTAATTAAAATACTTACTAAATTTTTGCTATGGCAACACATTTATTCCGTGTTTGTTTTTGTTCTTCCGAACATATACATAGAAACTCATTAAGATCAAGCCTGTTAACTGTCTCAATGTTACTTTATGTTTAATTGTTTCAAATTCCAAAGAAATAACAAGGATCAGAGAGAGAGAGAGAGTCCCATACTAGAATGAAACAGCCGTCCAGTGCTTCCAGGTTTTCCATGTTGGTCTAGCTTCAATTGACTCATGAATTCAACTATTAAATTATTGTAATATCCACAAAATCCCTCTCTGGTTATGATCATTATATACTCACTAGTGACGGTCTCCATGATGTATTTCCTGGAGTCCTAATGAGAAGCCGTGACCAGTGAAGTTCAACCGGGTCTGTTGTGAGATAATAACTCATTGATGACAATGGTGGACGGTGGCACAACTTCGTGGATTGGTTCCAGTTAGACATTAACACCATTGGATGCCGGCTTAGTGTTCTTGTGGTTAAACGCTCGAGCATGAGACTGATAGGTCCTGAGTTTGAATCTTGAGAGGGCAAGATCATGGATGCACAGTTCTGAGGAGTCTCATACTAAGACGAGACGGCCTTTCAATAGTTACAGGTTTTCCATGACGGTCTCGGTTTAATTGACTTATGAATTCAACAACAACAAAAATAAGCCGTATTAATAGTTCAATTTGTGTTACTATATTTCATCCTCATATAATGTGATACTTATCTCCTTCCCAATATTGTTAAACTCTATCAGTCATGGCTTCTTGCTAGAATATCCACCTAAAGATTTTCAATTCGATCCTTGATGATGTTATAAGTGCATACTGATAGAAGGTTTCATACTAGAATAATAATACAGCTAATTTTCAATGGTATTATAAGTAACATTAGTTCATAATGGTAAAGAATCTTTTCTATATGTTACATCTTTCAATAACTCCATAGACTGTTACTGTGATTCACAATCTCAAATTAACTATGTTGTTGTTGTCATTTGTAAAAATATGAAAGTTTTATGTTATAGACTAGTAAAGTTAGCATAGTATTGAAACATGATACTCTGTCTATGAAAGTATCCTTTCGTTTTCAAGTTCAAATTGACTTGTTCTATGATGGATTAAATATCATGTGACGAAATCATCAATAAGAATACCGATTTCTATGACTTTGTCTCTGTGCTAAACCAATGACACGTCAACCAGTATCAATATCCTTGAGTCAACCCCGAATCCTTATTGATCCTTCTTGCCTAGTTCTGCCCATTGAATCCAGGACACAATCTTAGCCATCATTGTATAAATGAACCGTGTTGAGGTTAAGCTAAAGATGATATTAATGTAAATATAGTAAATAGGTTGATAATAATATGAATCTTCAACTCCTGAAGTTGTTGGAGTATATGCTACATATATCCAATCACTGTCTGCCTCAACGCCCAACATTCATTTAGAAAATATACGATTAAAGGGAACTAAGGCAGAATCAAGGCGTCAATCATATGATATATATAATTGCGCTGCGTTGGAACTAAACTCGTTAGAAAGGATTCTCCCGGTAAATTTATTGTTTTTATAACTTAATGTCCAGATTATATAAAATAGAAAGATATCTCTACATATCTTTTTTGTATAGTTAATCGACTGACTTCACGACGTATGGTTCCTATCGTTGGTGGTGGTACATCAATACATCGTGGAAATGATACTTCCTTATTTAATCATTCACGTACAAAATCTAATAGTAATCGTTTACAACAATCAAGATTTGTAAGATGTAATTCTGATTGTCCATCAGATATGACAGATACATACGCTACAGTAGATTATAATGGTATTACTAGTGGTACTGTTATTCCTCCACCTTATAATTTATCATCAACACAACAAAATTCAATTCGAATTAATCAATTAACAACAACTGGAGTTGGTGGAATTCAAAAAAATTTATATGAACAAAAAATGGAAAATAATATTATACCTCGATCTTATCAACCACTTCCTGCACCACCATTATCTACAATTGCATAGTAAGATATATATGTTTTGTTTTATTCTATGAAATTCTATATCAATCAAAATTAACAGTTTATATATATATATCGGATTAAGCAGAATGTAGCTAGTAGTGAAGTCCAGGACTCACGTCGTTTTTTGCTATTTTTGAGGCTCGCCAGCTGAATATACTTGCCACATCATCGAGTGAATTGACTGTTCGTTCTAAGGCTCGAACCCAGTAACTTTAATCATAAGCCTTAAAGTGTTATTCACTTTATTTTACATATACACACCAGACACTAATCCATAAAATAGATTTATAGCTCACTACAACTATTTCTATTTGATTAACTTTTAAGTTCCTAGCAACATACTACATTGGTTAAACATTAACTAACAGATTGTTATAACTTGTGATTTGTGTGCCCTGTTAATGTATACGTAATGATACCACCAATTAGAGAACATTCAATTATCAACCGGATCAATGACGTATCAAACTTGTTCGAGCAGTCTAGAGTCTTTATTGGTCCTGCTTCCTGTCTAGGCCTGCCTACCTGTTAAGTCCAGAACACCAATCTCAGCCTCTGCGATATGAATCATTTATTTCAAGCATACTGGGTTTATGTACCAACTAAATAGACCACATCGTACTGTAAAATAGGAAACAACATTTGTATAAGATTTAGACAAATGTGGCTGTGAATGAGGCAGATAGTAATAGATAGAGAGGACATACTTTAAGAATGGTAAATCGTATAATAATAGTTCATAGGTCAAAATAAAGCTTACAATAAGAGGGACATGAATATGTATAGTTTAGTTACCCTGCTCAACTTTGGGTATGTGCTAAATAATATTTATTGACAAAGAGTAGGTGAAATCTTAAAGGAACTGTCGCTCCTGTCTCGCCTGTCATATTCTAATTCATATCACTCAACAGTCTAAGACATTATCATTGAGCTATTTGGGCCACGACTAACACAATAATTTCGGATCACTGAATTCCAACTCATTCAAGGAATTTTATTATAGCTGTTCCAAGATCAGAGAGTTCTGAATTGAACTTTGTGTGTGATGTGCTGTTGTGAGTGTCCATACTAGCTATTATGAAGTAGGATATCTGTCTATGATGCTCTCTGATTTTCAATAATACTCCTCCTCTGAGGTGAATTTGTGATAATAACAGAGGAAATTTGGCATTAGACATAGGATATAAGGAAATTTAAATTAGTGAAATGAAAACACAAAGAAGTTGTTAGGAATCCAGAAGCTCGGGATTTGTGAGAAAAGAATGAATGGATGCACCTGCGCCATTCTAAACGATTTTGAGACATTTCATTCGAATTCTCTTACCATTGGTTACAATGATCACGTGGATCTCAACCAGTTAATGTGCACTTATTGAAATGGCTCAGTTCAGCCATCGATGACTTCATGAACTCATATCATGGTTTGGTTTGTCTGATGCTAACTTTCTTCCAACTTACTCTTACACCAGATAACATCGTCCATCGATGTAGGTGATCGTTAGGTATTCTTTGAACTCTACTCTTTTCATAAGTATACAACCACGATCCTACAGACCATCGAAGCCAAGATCTTCAGATCATATTGAAATCATAATATCTTTAAGTTGTTCAGTTGAAATCTTCCCTATGGTTTATATTCTGAATGTCAGTTGATTTGTGATATAAAGCACGATCATTATCATCAACATCATCATTTATATTGTTGAAAAGAACTAAATCAGGGCAATACCCTTACTCGATGATTCCTCATTTTCAATAATCTCTCTTGAAATTTCTCTCTTACTCTCCTTAAATTAGTTTTCACTCTTCCCTCTCATTTTCTTCATTTTCAATTATTTCAGTTGTGACACTGATGATCCATCGACAGCTTACGGTCCAATCACCACTACATCATATGATGATGAATCTGATCAATGTCAACCAACTTCTTATTATTATCATCATCATCACCATCATCCTCATCATCCATCGTCATCTGGAATTAATATTATGCCAAATTTCAATAATAGTAGTAATAAGAAATTGATCAGTGGATTCAATAATCCATTACCTCATCAAATAGTTGGATCAGATTCTAATCAAATGAGACGAAGAGTTTTACCAATTAATTTACCTACAAATACACGAGGTAAATTGTTTTAAGCACTTTGATTTTCAGTTAGTAAGAATAAAAGATTGTAATTGAGATTTGTATATATGTCTGTGTTTTCTACTAATAATGATTGAGTAGAATCGAGAGGGATTGGGTTACAAAGGATAATTTAGCATAGTTGTTCTAATCTTCTATTTAGATTGAAAGTTATTAGTCTTATGAATCGTAGATGCGCATTGTTGAGGAGTCTTACGATAGAACGAAACGGTCCTCTAATGCTTCCAGGTTTTCCATAGTGGTCTAGCTTAGATAGACTCGTGAATTCAACTTTTAAATATGCACTAACCTAAGTTATCAGATGTTATATCATTACAATGATGGAGGTAGTTAACAAGATCAAGAAAATAGAAGGCATAGACAATAAGTGTATAAAATTACTCTATTGTGATCGATTTTGAACCTTTTTTCAGCATCTATCATCGGTTATGAGTATTGAGTTTACTCTAACAAGTAAGTTTACATCATCTGACATGGTTGATACCAGTTGAACGTGATTTCATGAAATGTTTCGATATATTGATTGATTTGACTATTCTTAACTATTTTCCAAGTAACCCTTATGTTAGTAAGCATTGAATGTTGCTGTGTACAAATTCGGTGTAATTGATTATTATTATGATGAGGAAAGAGACCAGTTTACCTACTAAATAGTTATTTTGTCCACTGTCTATATTTTTATTCGATTTCATCATAGACATACTGATGGAAGTAACGTTCTCGTCGAATGAATTCTCTGGTATTGACCTCCTTCCAGGAGGTCCACTTATCGACTTAGAATACGCAGATGACATAGTCCTGTTTGGTGAAGACGCTGATAAAATGCAGTCTTTTGGTAGCACTAAGCAACAATGCCAGAATGTTTGGAATGCGTTTCTCCCCCTCTTAATGCAAGTTGTTGCTTCAGGACTGGCCTACGTCAACACACGAACTAAGGATAGGTAGTGAACTAGTCGAACGCGTCGACAACTTCACTTATCTTGGAAGTCTGACCACAGATTCGGAAAGCTCCGTTTAACTTTTGCTAACTTACGTCACCTATGGCGGAGGCGAGATATTCATCTTTCAATTTAGGGACGAGTATACTGTGCGGCAGTTCGTTCTGCTCTACTTTAAGGATACGAAATGTGACCGTTAAGAGTAGAAGATATTCTTAGGTTGCTAGTATTTGACTACAGATGCCTTAGAAATATTGCTCACATTTGCTGGGATCACCGGGTAAGTAATAGTGAGGTTGGATGCAGAGTGTTGGGGAATGATGGTAGATCAGTTGATGAAGTTATGAGTGTTCATCGACTGCCATGGTTGAGCCACGTGTTACGTATGTCTGAACACCGATTACCATGACGCGCAATGCTAACCGGTGTTGGGGATGGTTGGTAGGGGTGCCCGAACCAAGACGTGGCATCAGTGCTTGAAGTCACTAACTTCTAGTCTGAGCCATGTTGATAGATGCAGACTACTTGGTTGGTGTCCGCGTGACTATCGTAACCAGTGGTTAGAGACTCTGTATGACATGGCTCGGAATCGATCACAGTGGTGTAGGTGTATACACTCTCTATCTTCTTTTAAACTATGAGATTAAAATCGCTTCAAATCTTTCTTCCGACGAACTAATTCTTTCTTCGTGTATTGTATCGTTATTGCAATCTTTCTTTTATATATTACTACCATTGACTTAACTACTTTTATGAATCCGGTGTCTATCTTATTGTGCTAATGGAGTGTGGCAACTTGGACCGATGCACATATGTGCCTGGTCTTACATTGTAGCTGACTGACTAACTGACTGAAATTGCTATTTCAGTGAAAAAAAACACAATTTGAACACCTTCTTAATCGAATATGATGAACACCGAAGTGTATCTCTGATTGGTTATTCTACATTTTAACAAACAGTAGAAACATTGAGATATCTTCACAATAGGATTACATCCATATACTCATACACATTCATGCACACAGATAATTATCCCAACCATTGTTGGGGACGTTAGATCCCCAGAACTCACTTGGGACCTAATTTTCTAATTTTATTTAGAAAATTTGAATTGCTTTGTTTTCGCGCCAAAGGCGTTCTTGTCACCTTCATGTCGTATTTCCCACTGGGAAATATCTTAAATGCTATTGGTCCGTTGCTTCTTTTAGTATGCTATTTGGTAACTCTCTCCAAGGACGGTTTTGTACTGTAATATACGTTTTGAATTGTGTTTATTGTTATCGCTTGTTTCTGGCTGTTTGCAGAATATACTTCCCCATTCCAAGGTTGGATTTCTCCCTCTAGTTAGCGGAGCTGAGACGAATCATTAGCTAGCTTACTAGTCTTTGGTCACCGAGTCTTGTTTTCTCGTTCACAGATTAAATGAACTGATGATAGCTCCAACCCTAGCAACCATAAACAAAATGATGAAATTATTTATCACAAATTAATAATGTTCACATGCGATGATAAAACTAGGGGTAACCAAAACAAAATATATCATCAGTGTTCATGAAGTCATTGACTATTAGATTAATCTATGTGAGTAGATGGGTATTATCTGGTTGTAAAGTCCTCTGGATCATTTTAACCAATCATTATAAATTTTCCTTAAATTATGAAGTTTAAAATGTTCACAGTTGAAATCACGAATGTCATCTAAGCTATAGATCATCATGGAAAACCTGATTGTCACTGGAACTTTTATAAATTCACTCTTTCATATTATATATACTTAATGCTTTCTATTTCACATCTGAATTCATCTGATAACATATTAGAAACTTAAATCAATGAGAATATATGCGACATTCTCTATATTACTTATGACTGATTCACACTACTTATAAGTTTCTTTTTTCTTTTTTCTAGATTTACGAAAACAATCATCAACTAACAGTCGTATAAATAATAGTCGTCAATTGGATAGATTACATACAAGACAATTATCAGAAATCACTGGAGAAGAAAGTGTTGGATTACTTTCAGTTGCTGGCATGTCAGGTTTATCTAATCCGTAAGTAATTTATATAAGATTAGGACTTACAGACTTACGCCTGTTACTCCTAGGTGGAGCGTAGGCCGCCGACCAGCATTCTTTAACCCACTCTATCATTGGCCTTCCTTTGATGTTCTATCCTATTTTTGTTCATTCTTCTCATATCTGTCTCCATTTCTCGGCGTAATGTGTTCTTTGGTCTTCTTCTCCTTTGGCCTTGAGGATTCCAAGTAAGGGCTTGCCTTGTAACTCAGTTGAGTGATTTCCTCAATGTGTGTCTTATCCACTTCCAGCGCTTCTTCCTAATTTATTCCTCTTCTGGAATCTGGTTTGTTCTCTTCCACAGTAAGTTGTTGCTGATAGTGTCTGGCCAACGGATCCGAAGTATTTTGCGTAGACAACTGTTAATAAACACTTGTATCTTCTGGATGATGGCTTTCGTAGTTCTCCAGGTTTCCATCCCATACGGTAGAACTGTCTTGACATCTGTATTGAAAATTCTGACTTTGGTGTTGATTGACAGGCAGTTGTTTTGAGTTCCAGATGTTCTTCAGTTGTAAATACGCTGCTCTTGCTTTGCTGATCTGGGCATTTACATCTGCATCAGATCCACTGTGTTCATCAATGATGCTGCCCAAATATGTGAAGGTTTTTACATCTTTCAAATCTTCTCCGTCACTTGTGATTGAATTGGTGCATGTTGTGTTGTATCGGAGAATCTTGCTTATCCCTTTGTGTATATTGAAACCTACTGCTGCTGAGGCTGTTGTTACACTGGTCATCTTCTCCTGTATTTGTTACCGAGTGTACAATAATATAGATTAGAACAACACAGATATATATACGAACATTATTGTTTTTCAATTTAATCCTCATTAAATTTTATTCTAATAAACCTATTACTTACTTACTTACGCCTGTTACTCCCAATGGAGCATAGGCCGCCGACCAGCATTCTTCAACCCACTCTGTCCTGGGACTCCTTTTCTAATTCCATCCAACTCTTGTTCATCTTTTTCATGTCTATTTCCATTTCTCGGCGTAATGTGTTCTTTGGTCTCCCTCTTTTCCTTTGGCCTTGAGGATTAGTTGTATGAACATATGAAATTACATTAATCAGTATATGATAACCGTGGAATAGTTTACACAATTCAATGTACAAATCGATAGTATGATAACAAGTGTATTAGTTGTGATAAGAATAATTAAAGCATGAATTAGTGTTACATAATGAAATAACATTCACTGAAAATTACAAAAATTACGTAATTGGAAAGTGTTCAGATAGAAGGAATAGCGAAGTAATGAAAAACAAACGAATACAGAGTATGCGTAATAATCATGAACAAAATCGTTCATTAAAGCATAATTGAGCAAGAAAGAGATAAGGGTGTCATAAATGTCTTATGAATATAAAGATTTAGATTGTTAGCTCGAATCCCAATAGATTCTGCTATGTATAACAGACGAAACCGAATCCCATTAGAGAAGTTAGTAGGAATATGATAAATCACTTAAAATGACATATTTCCTTCTACTACATGATCGCTATCGATCAAGTATGGTAGAACAGAGCTGTATATTGTTTTAACGATACTCCTTCCTAACCACGATGGGAGCTGTTCACTAATTCATTGGCTCAGTTGTCTAGCAGTACGTCTGATATAGCTTCCTCCACATCAGAAACTGAATTTGTAGTTATACATGGAAGTGGCACAACCAGGTAACTTATTCTTCAGTTGATAAATCACTATAAATCGGTTGAAGAACGACAGACAGAGGTTAGCTGCGATGAACGTTCTCTTCATCGCTTTGGTCAGCCTATCCCGTAGTACATTACTAGCTATATCTCCGCTGGATTGTAGCTTCCGGAAGGAAGGCTTCTTACTAGCCATCGATATTGCTATTTTCCTGTTCCATTATATGCGAATGCTGTTTTCAGAAAACCTTGTGGATAGCTCATTTCAACCAACATATTATGAATAAACTCTAGTTCCTTGTTGATAATGTTGTCTGAACATATCTTCCTAATTCTACTTGTAAAACATCTAACTAGTTTCTGTAATAATGACCGGGTACAAAGCTAAAGAATTGTATGTACTGACTTGTCGAAGAACTATTCCTATACACACTTCTATTGATAGAATCATTTTCTTTTATATTTAATCAAACATCAAGGAAGTATAATTTGTCATCGAGTTCTTCTTCATACGTAAATCTGATTGTTGAGTGCATATCGTTTAATGGTCGTTTTGTCCTATTGTGGGACTCCTCGGCAGTGCGCATCTACGATCCCGCCCATGGGATTCGAACTCAGAACCTTCGGTTCCACGCGCGAATGCTTAACCTACTGGAACACTGAGCCGGCATTCAGTGGTGTTAATGTCTAACCTCAACCAATGCATGAAATTGCGCGACCATCTTTCATTGTACTGAGGTAAATACCTGTCTCTACTCGACACGGATTAACTCCACTGGCTAAGGTTCCGAGAATTCCGTCACGAAGCTAATCACTAATGAGCACATGGTAAATATCAGTATAGGGTTGTGGAGATTATAAGGTTTTTGATTGAGATCATGAACCGATTGATGTTAAACCACCATTGAAAACCTAAAAGCACTGTACAGCCGTTTCGTACTTATTTTTGTGCTATACTTAATATGTAAGAGCTAGAGTGATACTACCTGGATGGCTAAACCGAATGAAGTGAGACGACGTACTTGAAGTTACAAATCAATGATTAAGAAGGTTGAATATCTTATCCACGAAAGTAATATCAATTACTGGTGTAAACTGCAATCTATATCTAGATTAACTTATCGAATTCATGAAAGATGTAAGCATATCAACCATTTAGATCTCCATTAATTAACTGAATTGTGAAGATATGATACAAGTACGTGACTGTGTGTATGTCAGTGGTAAACTAAGGTATATCTATCGAAAAATATCAAATAAGCTGATCGGATACTACTTATTTTTAAATAGTTTCTCCATTGTTAAAAATCTATTTTATCCATTTTGTTTTTAATCTTTTCAATATAGAAATCCAATTGACATTTCTAATTCTACAATCCATGGTCAAGTCTATACTACTACTACTACTCCTGCTACTACTACTACTGCTGGAGTTCGATGGAATACATTTTCTACAAATGTTATTCATTCTTCAAATGGAATAAATTATCATGATGGTGATATTGATACTGGCGGCGGCGGCGGCAGTAGTGTTAATGTTGGTACTGTTGGATATCAGGGAAATTCTTCTTCTACTATGACTACACATCATCCAACTGAACCAATTGAAGAGAATGTGTACACTTCAGAATTTGTACTTGTTTAAATTTAATAATCTTATACGTCACGTTTAATTATACATAGTGATGGCCATAAGATTACTAATACATACACACACAGTTATATATATATATGTATATTTACTTATAAAAATGTCGCGCACAATTTACTGTTTACACATAGGTGTGTTTGTGTGTGTGTGTGAGCGAGTGAGTGAGTGTGTGTGTATGCGACACAGTGAACAAGATACAAACGGTAAAATGGATCAATTCGTAATGATGTAATTATTTACTTTTTTTTAATTATGATTTTTTTCTATTTATTTTTCTTTATGATAATAATGCGGGTGGGGGAGAGACGATTTTATTCACCATGATTGATTCTTTGTTTGTTTGTTTTCTTTTACAGTTGTTCTTTTCCAAATGTTGTTGAACATCGAGGTCTTTTGTTGTTGTTGTTGTTGAAAGAAAACTGAATTGGGCGTCGACAAGAATTGTTTCTTTTCTTACATTATTTTTTTTATTTCTATGTATATAACTTCTTTTATTCAGCTGACCCCTTCTTATGAAATACAATGTCGTTATGCACAAATTGTGTCCCCATTTCCTTCGTTTTTCCCCCTTCATTTGGATTATATCCTAGATCCTCCTTTCCCCCCTCTTTCTCTCTCTGTATATCTGAGTTTTTTTTCATTTGTTGGTTTACAAATGAAGTGAGACATGGGGATTATTTTTTCAGTTGAATTTCTGGAGAATTCAAGTTTATCAGTTGCCCTCCCCCCTCTGGTCTTCTAGTAATTGTTATGTAAATAGCAGATTTAGGCATACCAATCTATAGGGTCCCCTCTTTCTCTTTCGTACTCTTCTTATGTTTTTTATATGCATGTCTTTGTCTCATTAATATGAAATGTGTTGCTTTTTGTTGTTAGGGGGGGGGGTAATAGGGACGTTACCACCGTAATCATTTTTAATGTTATGAATTATTATTATTATTATTATATGCCCAAGAATATAGGCTTAATATTTGAATACAACGAATCAATGAATGTATTCGATCACTTCAATCGAACTTCTGTTTTGTTTCCATGATATTCTAATTAACAACGGTGACAATTGACGAAATTTCTTTCTAATGATCATACACATAGAAACACATTAATGTGTTCATTGTTAACGGTTATCTTTGGCTTTTCTGTGAATGTCTGTATGAATCGATTATTCTTTTTTGATAAATATTTGAAATCTAGTCATTTCTAAGTTTATCATGTTTTTTTTTATGTATGTAACTGTATCCTTGTCACACACACTCGTGTATGCACGCACGTGCGCGTAAATTGTATTCAAAGTTCCTTTGACGTTGGCCAGTTTAATTTGTGCCTCTCTTATGTATTTTGCTTACAAGTTTAATTTGTATTGCCTATTTTATTCTTGACTTTTATTTTCCTAATTACTCAACTATTACTATGTATTCTATCATTATCACTGTGTGTTGATTTTATCTTACATCTTTTTTGTGATAGACAATCAAAATAGCACAAAGTGATTGTGTGTGTGTGTCTGGTTATGAGTGTATCTAAGTGAATAAGATATGAACGAACTAGTCTCTTTTTTTATCTTTAAGAAACATCGGATGTGTGTGGGTGTGTGAGTGCGTGCAAATGCATGCGTATGTATTTGGAAATGACTTCTGACAATTTTAATCTAAGTGTTTCTCCATGGCTTTTACGTGGTGCTTGTTGACAACATAGAGAAATTATTGATTTCTTTTTATCTCCCTTTCTGAGATATCTATATATACCATATTGTTTGAGAAGACTTTGTCGATATAGTCTCTTTTTTATTTATTTAGAAAACAAAATGCTATTTAATAAATGTGTTCGAATTTATTCTTTACATCATAGATTAGTTGGATGCCGGCTCAATGGTCTAGTGGTTAAGTGCTCGCGCGCGAAGCCAGTAGGACCTGGGTTCGAGCCCCGCGTGGTGTGGGATCGTGGATGCGCACTGTTGAGGAGTCCCATACTAGGACGAAACGGCCGTCCAGTGCTTCCAGGTTTTCCATGGTGGTCTAGCTTCAATTGACTCATGATTTCAACTTGTGAAAAACTCTCCACAAAACCCATTCTGATAGTTGGTTAAAGTCAAATCAATTATTGTATAAGACTGACATAGATATCCATCAGAAGGGGTTTTGTGAAGATTGTAGTAATTTCAATGGTTAAGATCATGCATGAGTCAGTTGAAACTAGACCACCACTGGACGGCCATCCAGTACTTCCAGGTTTTCTATAGTGATCTAGCTTCAAATGACTCATGATCTTAACCATTGATATATATATATATATATATATATATATATATATATATATATATATATATATATATATATATATATATATATATATATATCCATGTTATATTCAAGTTAAGAATCATCGATCATTAAAGTGGCTAGATACACTATATAACTAGTATCTATGTAGATGTACATTAGAGATATGATTGAATAAAAGTTAAAAATGACAGTTGGATACAGATTTACTGGTCACAAAATTCGAAATAACTATAATATATAAGAGATTGAAGAAATTAGGTAATACAATTAAAGACCTTTTTTAATATTGATTTTTGGTATTATTCCATACCTTTTATATGATAATCTCAATTATGTTTTTGGAAAGTTCAATCGAATGAAAGTTGTATACTTTTAATACGAACCGAAGAATAGAATTTACTGTACATATAATTTATTTATTTGAACACTTAAGTACTGGTAAAAAAGGGCAGCGAAAATACATATGTGCCACACAAGTCACTGGATTTGTGTGTGGGCTATGACTCAATAGCTAAGTGGATAACATGATGGCGTTTGAAGCGAATGGTACTGAGTTCGAGTTCCAGAGTGAACATCAACTTTGAGGTGCGGGTGCATCCAGCGGACTAGTTCAAAATAGGACGAAAAGCACATGTTGAGTTCCACTACTAGCCATTAAGATACTGCCAGGGTGCTCAGATCGAAGCAGGTGGTTTTCTTAGGGGGCCACACTCGGATCCTTGAGCCCATGCGCGCCATTGGTCCGGGACCAAGGTTCCCCTAGGTGGATTCTCTATATCCACCAACCCGGTTGAAGCCGCCACCGAACATTCTCTTTTCGTCCTGAATTTCGTAAACAACAGTACTGCCACGAGAAGGAAATCCTCGTTTGTGGTCAAACTCACGGTCACTCGGAGTAGACCGACGAGCCCCAATAAGTTGTAAGGAGCATGAAAAAACCTAGTGCTTATAAACGGGACGTTTCGCGAGCTGTAAGCGACTTTACTCGTCATTTTCATGGCGTAATGCAATTGCCACCGATGCTCATCTATACTTTTCTGTGGAATGGTAGCTAGCCTTGAAACTGGCTCGGTTTGATACTTACTTGCAACATAAATTGCAACCAGCTTGCTAACATCAATCCGTTGGTGGCGGTCACTTCGTTGTCCACTGAAAAGTAAGGTAAGATTGGCGCAGACCAAGGCATGGTCAGAGTCCAGATAGGTACTCCATAAGGAGCGGCAGTCTTTTACACAACCACGCCAGCGGAAGCTGATCGCGATGTGATCAATCTGAGTCCAGGCTTGGGATGCAGAGGGAGGACGCCAGGTGGCACATCGGTTATGACTGTGCCGAAAGTTAGTGCTAGCCAGAAACAGGTTGTGATCTGTGCACAGTTGCAATAGACGGTCCCCGTTATCTGTCCTGCGACCAACCAGTCCCCATCGGCCACCTAAACGACTCTCTTCTGTGCCTAGACGCCCGACCTGAGCATTCAAGTCTCCGGCTAGTACTACAATATCTGTCGAACGCACTCTCTGAAGAAGAACAGTTAACTGGTGGTAGAATTCATCCTTGATTACATCCGGGCTGCAATCTGTCGGGACATAGGCGGAGATGACGAAAAGACATCGTTTCTCACGCCGATTTCTTCTCACTTTGATGGAACTCTAATCTAACAGCACATAAACGGCTGAGAATGGGGCGCGACAAATCAGTGCTGCCTCAGCATTAGCGCTTAGTGTGATACCATTACCAGCAAAACCAAACGAGGAAGCCACAGGGTCTCCGGATATGCGCACGTAAAACAAGTTTTTTGAAGCGAAATATGCAGAGCGAACTTGTAGTACTTCACCAGAGTCTTGAATACGGGTCTCGGATAGACAAAAAACGTCGATATTAAGACTTCTGTTGTTCGACTTGCGTTAGTGTTCGAACATTGAAGACAGCCAGTTTGAATGGTGCACGTGGTTTCAGAAAAACTGCTTCAGTACTCATATTCGGTGGTAACATACAATTTTCAACCGGACAGTGACTCGAGAACGTTTAGACAGAACCAAGTTTCCACCATGGGCGAGCTGCTGTATTATTCGAGAAATAAGGATACACAAAGTGGGAACAAAAGAGAGTGAATAAGCGACGTAGTAAATAATAATAATAATAATGCGAATCGTTTGACTGTGAATCGAAGCAAGAATAGTAGTTTCCATAAATATCGTCGTTTCATTCTATTTCTGTGTGGGCTGTGATACTTGCTGGGTGACCAGACCGAAGCAGGTGGTTTTCTTAGGGGGCCACTTCCCGAGCCTTCGACCTGAAGGTCTGATTCACAGGGCAGTGAATCATCGTGAGGAGATGCAGTTCCATGGTAGCCGGTGACCAATAATAGGTTCATACGCCACTTGTCCCCTCAGGATACTGGAGCCCACTTGCACTATTGGTTTGCGATCCGGTTAAAGTGCCGGACATTCGCTTTTCGTCCCCTCAATTTCGTAAACAATACGCCGACCGTGGGAAGGCAGTGAGTAGGACTTCTCTGGCAGAGGATGTATACGCGTGGCCATGTGAGAGCATTTCGAGAGAGAGGGAAGGCCACTCACTCCTGGCCATACCAGGGCATTTTGGTGGCAAAACCTGGGTGCACTGGACGGGACCTCTCAGAAGTGCGCATTCACGATCCCACCCGTGGGATCCGAACCCAGGGTCTTCAGTCTCGCGCTCGAATGCTCAACCTATTGGACCACCGAGCCAGTAATTTGATAGCAACTTGGTAATAGTAAATCGTGTAATAGTAGTCATTAGGTTAAACGAAAGCTTACAACAAACGCATTATGAATATACATATAATCAGGCTACTTAATGCTATGTTTGAAGAGATTATGAGTTCATCTAATCTCAGAACGGAACGAAGACTCCGTGACACAATGATAGATAAGCCAGCTATTCCGACGTGTCCCAGCCCCGCTAACTAGAGAGAGAATTCCAGGTTCAGAAGCGGGAAATGTATTCCAAAAGCACCCAGGAACATGAATAACAACAACAACAAGCACAAATCAAGCGTATATATACAGCAAAAAAAATTTCTTTAATCAGCGTTACAAAATAGCATATTAAAAGTGACAATGAACCAAGTGTTTAAGATCCTCCCAAGTGGGAAATATGACATGAAGGTAAAAATGAGTGCTTTTGGCTCTTACTTACTTACTCCTGTTACTCCTCGTGAAGGAGCATAGGGCGCTCACCAGCACTCTCCATCCAACCCTGTCCTGGGCAATCCTTTCCAGCTCCTTCCAGTTGTTATTCATCCTTTTCATATCTGCTTCTTTTATCCGACGTAATGTGTTCTTTGGTCTTCCACTTTTCCGCTCCCCTTCAGGATTCCAAGTTAGGGCTTGCCTCGTGATGCAGTTCGATGATTTCCGTAATGTATTACCTATCCATTTCCATCGTCTTTTCTTAATTTCTTCTTTATCTGGAAGCTGGTTTGTTCTCTCCCACAGAAGGCTGTTGCTGATGGTATCCGGCCAATGGATGTTGAGTATCCTGCGTAGACAGCTATTTATAAATACTTGTACTTTCTTGATGGTGGTTGTTATAGTTGTGCAAGTTTCAGCTCCATACAGTAGAACTGCCTTGACGTTCGTATTGAAGATTCTGACTTTGATATTGGTTGAAAGTTGTTTTGAGTTCCATATGTTCTTCAATTGTAGGAATGCTGTCCTTGCTTTGCCAATCCTTGCCTTTACGTCTGCATCTGAACCTCCTTGTTCATCGATTATACTTCTCAGGTATGTGAAGGACTCTACATCTTCCAGAGTTTCGCCATCAAGAGTGATTGGATTGCTGTTCTCCGCTTTGAATTTCAGGACCTTGGTTTTCCCCTTGTGTATGCTGAGACCTACTGATGCAGAAACTGCTGCTACACTGGCTGTCTTTGTCTGCATCTGTTCGTGTGTACGTGATAGGAGGGCTAGGTCATCTGCGAAGTCCAAATCGTCTAATTGATTTTGAGCTGTCCATTGTATTCCATGTTTTCCTTCAGATGTCCTCATTATCCAGTCGACCACCAGGAGAAAAAGGAAGGGAGAGAGTAAACAGCCTTGTCTTACTCCGGTCCTTACTTGGAATGCATCAGTCAGCTGTCCTCCATGCACGACTTTGCATTGTAGTCCGTCATATGAGTAGTGTAATGCCTCTGTAGTTTTCAAATTTGTTCAGATCTCCTTTCTTTGGAATCTTGATGAGGTGTCCTTCTTTCCAGTCCATCGGCACTTGTTCCTCCTCCCAAATCTTTTTGAATAGAAGGTAAAGCCTGTTTGTAGCTACTTCGATGTCTGACTTCAGTGCTTAAGCTGGCATGTTGTGGGGTCCTGCTGCTTTCACGCTCTTGATTTGTCTGACGGCCATTCTGATTTCTTCTTTCGTTGGTGAATTGACGTCTATAGGAAGATCTGCGTGTGCTGCTTTGATGTCCGGTGGATTCATTGAAGCCGGCCTATTCAGGAGTTCCTCGAAGTATTCTACCCATCTGTTCCACTGTTGTTGAATTTCAGTGATTGGCTTGCCTTCTTTGTCTTTGACCGGTCTCTCTGGTTTACTATATTTCCCTGCTAGTTCCTTCGTTGTATCGTAAAGCTGTTTCATATTTCCTTCTCTAGCAGCTTTTTCTGTCGTTGTTGCTAGTTCTTCCACATATTTCTTCTTGTCGGTTCTAATGCTCCTCTTCACTTGCTTGTTTGCTTCTGTGTATTCAGCTTGTAATTGGAATTTCTCTGCTCGTGTTCAACTGTTGTTAATTCCTGTCTTCTTGTTCTTCCTTTCTTTGATCTTGTCCAGAGTTTCTATAGAGATCCACTCCTTATGATGGTGTTTCTTTAGGCCCAGAACCTCTTGACACGTTGAAGTTAATGCTTCTTTGATGCCTTTCCAGTTGTCCTCCATAGTAGTTTCTTCTTTCTTCAGTAGATCCTGTAAGACGTGGAACCTGTTGTTGAGAGCTATCTTGAATTCATTGAGTTTGTCAGTATCTCGAAGGAAGGCTGTATTGAACCTTTGTAGTGCTGTTTGTCCACTTGTCCAGTTCTTTTTTAGCTTCAGTTTTAAATTGGCCACAACTAGGTGGTGATCTGAAGCTACGTCAGCGCCTCTCCTGGTTCTCACATCTTCCATTGTCCTTCGGAATTTTTTGTTGATGCAAATATGATCTATTTGGTTCTCTGTAGTGTGGTCCGGTGAGATCCATGTAGCCTTGTGTATACGCTTGTGTGGAAATATTGTGCCTCCTATGACCGATTTGTTGAATGAACACAGATTCACAAATCTTTCGCCATTTTCGTTTCTCTGTCCCAGTCCATGTCATCCCATAATATCTTCATATCCAGTGTTGTCTATTCCGACTTTGGCATTTAGATCTCCCATTAGAATGGTGAGGTCCTTTCTTGGGCATTTCTCTATGATTGACTGCAGCCGCTCGTAGAATTGATCTTTAATGTCGTCGTTGCTATCATTGGTGGGTGCATAACATTGGATAATATTCATTGTGATCCCCTCATTCTTTGTTTTGAATGATGCTTTGATGATTCTGGATCCGTGAGATTCCCATCCTAAAAGTGCATTTTGTGCTACTTTGGACAGCATAAGAGCGACTTCCTGAGTGTGTGGAGCATTGTCCTCTTCGTGACCGGAGTATGGCAGCATCTCCCCCGTAGCTAGCCTTTTCTGTCCAGCTTGGGTCCAGTGGGTTTCGCTGATTCCCAGTACTGCTAAGTTGTATTTCCTCATTTCGATTGCTATTTGACTGGTCTTCCCGGTCTCCCACATTGTTCAAACGTTCCATGTACCTACAAAAATTGTTGCTCTGGTTGTTAAAAAAGACATCGGCCTCGTGGCTTCCGAGGGAACTTGGCTTTCACCATGAAGTGTCATAATTCTTCTAAAAGAAGACCTTCTAACTCCCAGGGCAGAGTTAAAATGGTTTGAATTATTTTTTCTGGTAAGAGTTTTTTAGCGAGTCAGTTTTCTACGGGATGGGGACGCTAACCCCATGCCCAACCCTCCTCCTTTTCCCGGGCTTGGGACAGGCAGTAACTCTAGAAGAGCTACAGGCGGAGTTGCTTTTGGCGCGCAAACAAGAAATTCAAATTTATAAAATAGAATTACAAAAATAGCGTATTTCCCCAATTTGTTCTATGGATCTAACATCTTCAACACTTAAAAGTTATTTTGATTGAGACCATGAACCGACTGATGTTAGATTACCGTTGGAAACCTGGATGTAATGGATGACCATTTCGTCCTATTTCGGGACTCCTTAGAAGTTCGCATCCACGGTCCCGCTCACGGGATTTGAGCTCAGAACCTTCAGTTTCGCTCTCGAATGCTTGACCTCTAGACCACTGAGCTAACCAGCATCCACTTGTGTTTGTGTCCAATTTCAACCAATCCACGAAATTGTGCGACCATCTTTCATTTTACTGAGTTAGATACCTGTCTCTACTCGATATGGATTAGTTCCACTGGTCTCAATCAAAAACCTAATGATCTCCACAACCCTATACTGATATTTACCATGTGCTCACTAGTAACTAGCTTCGTGATGGAATTCTTGGAGTTCTAGTGAGAAGCCGTGACCAGTAGGAGAGTCCGATCTCCCTCTTGAAAGGCTCTCGCATGGCCATGCGTATACAGCCACTACCATGGAAATTCTACTCATTGCTTTCAAGTGATGGCGGTGTTGTTTACGAAATTGAGAGGACAAAAAGAGAATGTCTGATGGGGCCTAAACAGGGTTGGTGGACACGGTGGATCCACCTATTGTAGTTGGAAAACCTTCATTCCAAACCAATGGTGCACATGGTCTCCAGTATCCTGAAGGAATAATTGGTTACCGGCTACCATCAGACTGCATTTCCTCACATTGTTCAATTATCTTGTGGATTAGATCACTAGGTTAAAGGCTCGAAGATTGGCCCCCTAAAAAAACCACCTGCTTCGGTTTGAGCACCCGGGCAATATCCCAACCCTCACATAAATCGAATGATTTATATGGCACCTTTCATATATTATCCAATCACAATGAAAAATAGGTATAAAGCACATAAAGTATCACTAGAAAACCCCTTACTGAATAATATCAATCATTCATCTGAACAATACTTTTATGTCCCCCCCTCTCTCCTCTTTTTGAATCTGTTTTCACTTCTACATGTCTGTATCTCTTTTTATCAAATTATCCATTCAATTATATACTTTAAGATTAGTTTTCAGTGGATAGACACGTCAAAAAAGGGGTATGAATTGCCTTCTAATATTGAAGGAAAGTTTTTTTTTTAAGAAAAAAGAATCAATGACACACCTATGTATTGACACATATATTGATCGACTAATCAATATATAAAAGGAAAAAAAGCATAGTGTCCAGATCAATGTCATTGTTGTCATTTGTTGCCATTGTTCACCATTGTGGATACCTTTTCATTGATTGTAATACATGTAATCGGATTACATAACCATTATTATTATTCCAAACTATAATGAATACATTATGTCATATTCTATTTTATATAGTTTTATATCAAATTTTATGTATTACATGGATTGGAAAAGGTTAGTTAAATGTAGATTACAAAACTAAACTATATTTTGTATGTATGAATGTGCGTGTGTTTATGTATAAGCAGTGGAATCCCGTCAGCACGATCATGGCTGTACACTGATGAGGAGTTGCACAATAGGATGAAATGACTGTCCAAGTAGTTTCATATTTTCTATGATGGTCTTATTTCAATTAATTCATGAATTCAACTATTCAATCAAAAGTAGCATCGGATACATTTGATATTGTTTTGCTTGTATCTTCCCATTAAGGTTTAAAACTGCGATTGATCAGTCTGTTATTGGCATATGTGTATACTGTGCGTATGCCTCGATATTACCTTAATTCACAAGCTATGGCGTTCGAAGCTAAAATGGTACTGGGTTCGAGTCCCAGAGTGAACATCAACTCAAAGATGCAGGTACATCCGGCTGACGAGTTCCAAATAGGATGAAACGCGCGTCATGGATTCCACTGCTAGCCACTATCCGTCACTGCTTACAAGTAGCATTGGATTGTTGTGTTCATTCTTGTCTGAGAGGTTGAAGATGTGTGCAAATATGAAATGAGATATTCATTTATTATCAGTATGGGATTGTGGATATTGTTTAGTTTTCTTTTTAGTTATTGGGATCATCAAACGATTTATGTTAGATCACTATTGAAAACCTGGAATCAGTAAACAGACGTTTTGTGTTACCATGGGACTCCTCAGCATTGTATATCTTAGGATGAAACAGCCGTCCAGTACTTCCAGGTCTTCAATGATGGTCTAACATCAATCGATTCATGATCTTAATCAGAAATTCATATATCTCATGGTAAACATATAATCTGTAGAACATTCAGTTAGACTGTAATTAAATTCACTTGGTGTTGTTTTACTTGTATCTTCCCATTGTTATTTAGGATTGCAATTGATCCGTTTCTTGTTGGTATATGTGCACCCTGCGCGGATCGCTTCGATATAGCCTTAAGTCACAAGCTTTTTAAGCAAAGATGGATAGTGGCTAGCAGTAAAATCCAGTTTGACGCGTGCTTCATCCTTTTTGGTACTCGTCGTCTGGATGTACCTGCATCCTAGATTCTAGGTACTGGGTTCGAGTCCCAGAGTGAACATCAACTCTGTGATACAGGACGAAACACCCGTCAAACTGGATTCCACTGCTAGCTACTATCCATCTATGGTTAGACTACAATTGACTGTATTTTAAACTAAACTCATTATGTCTTATAGCAGTCCTTAACTAATTTATGATTTACTGCATAATTCTTCTATTGTTTAACTTATTCTTCTTTATGTATGATGATAAACACCTTCGTGTTGAGTTTGAAACCAAGATGGAGCAGAAGCTTGATACTGTTTAGCTGACATCTGTTTATGATGAATAACACTTTTAAAAATATATGAAGAATTCTTCACAAAACCTTCTCATGTAATAAGTTTTGTAGTTGATGAGGTGAATAAGGATTAGAAACAGTCTGTTGTTTGTTATTATGGAATTTATGATTAAGATGAAAGAGTATTTATCACTAACTATGACTTACGTTTACTTCAAATAATCAGCTTTCAACTCTGCATTCATCCTGTGGTGTTGTGCTACTGATATCGACAGATATAAGTAGTATGTATCATCAATAGAAAGTGAAATGCCTGACGGTAGAAGATTAAGAAGATCAAAGAAAAGAGAAAGAGAACAAAGAATGATTGATGTGGAAATGACGGAACAATGAAGTCTTAGACAGTTGATTGACATTTTACAAATGATCTATTTACAGTATGGATCTTAGAGTTTACTAAGAGATTCTGTTTGTTTGAATATAACTTGATTGACCCCCAATTCTGTTCTTGTTCACCACAATCCCATTCCATTTCTTAACTTATATACTACAGAAATATAAGATTATATGAAGTTCATTTTTATGATTATCATAACGAATTTCAGTTTTTTTCAATGGTTGAGATCATCAACCAATTGAAGCTAGACCATCATGAAAAAGCTGGAAGCAATAGAGGGCTGTTTTCCATGATGGTTTAGCTTCAATCGATTCATGATCTCAACCATTGAAATTACTATAATATTCACAAAACACCCTTCAGTCAATCAATTATAGCTATAATAGAACAATTTCTATTATAGAATTAATTTAAGGTATGCATTTTGCTATCATGACGAAGTTTACTACAATTGACTTGTTCGTAGCATGATATTGTGATACTTTTACCATCGACTGAGATGGTTGGGCCACGCGTTACGTATGCCCGAACAACAATTACCACGACGTGCAATGTTGACTGACTAGTGTTGCGGATGGTTGGAAGAAAGTTAGGGGCGGCCAAACCAAAACGTAGCATCAGTACTTGAAGTCACTAACTTCTAGTCTGAACCATGTTGGTAGATGCAGATTACTTGGTTGAGTTTCGCGTGACTATTTGTAACCAATGGTTCGAGACTCTGTGTGATATGGCTCAGAATCGATCACAATGGTGTACTTGTATACACTCTTTATCTTCCCTTAAACTAAGAGATTAAAATCGCTTCATATCTTTCTTTCTACATACTAAATCTTTCTTCCTGTACTATATCCTTATGTGCAATCTTTCTTTTATATATTGCCACGATTGAATTAACTACTTTTATGAATCTGGTGTTCATCTTGCTGTGTTAATGAGGTATGGCAACTTGAACCGATGAATATATGTGCCTTCTCGTACGTTGTAGCTGACTGACTGATTGACTGCATCCACGATTTCGCACCAAAGCGTCTCAAACTCACGACCTTCAGTCTCACACGTGAACACTTAACCTTTAAGCCACTGAGCCGGCAACCAACAGTATTAATAACTAACTTTAGTCACCTCATGAATTCAACTATTTCATTACTACAATCCACAACTCCTCCCCTTCATTCTGATAATGATTACAATTTTACAACATAGTTCAAATATTTACTTCAATTTCTTATTTTTATTTATACAATAGTTGATTCAGGTCATTCAGAGAAACGTTTATTAAAATATTTATTTGATCAAAAACGATGGGATGCCCACAATCCAATGGAACGTCCAGTTTCAGTAGATGGTAAACCTGTACAAGTTTTTCTTAAATGTTTCCTTAATCAAATCATGGATGTAGTAAGTGGTTAACTTCATTTCATTGAATATAACATAACTTTTTATTGAAGATTTAAGAATAGTAATATTCTTTAGATTCATACGGCATTTGTTTCCTTAGGATCCTGAAGCCCATGTGCACCATTAGTTTGGAATGAGAGTTTTCTAACTTAGATGTTGGTTGGAGGTAGTCAACAGGAAACCTTGGGCCCGTTTTTCGTACTTTTTGGCACTCGTCAGCAAGGTGTACCTGTAATCATGGGGGAACTGGTGCTCCCTGGCCGATTCGATCTCGTGTCACCCAGCTTCACAGTCAGAGACGTTACCACTGAGCTATCCGAGCTGTGACTAACCTCCTGTAGGACTGAGATGTAATCACAATTGATTGATCACTGGGTGGTGATCAATGTCATGCTTGTCCAGTCCTCATTTAATGCAGGTCAATACATAGTGCCCGCAGTGTTGAGTCACCTAGACTGGTGGCCACATTGCAACATGATCGATAGCATTCGATCTGCACTAATAAGGACTAGACAATCATGAAATTGGTCACAACCCTGTGATCAATCAATTGAGTTTTCTAACTCCCTAAGTGAATCCGCCGTGTCCACCAACCTGGTTAAAGCGCTGGACATTTTCTTTTCCTCCTGTTAGTTTCGTAAACAACTGTCTGGACACATGAAGGCAGTGAGTAGGACTTCCCTGATAATGGTTGTATGCACTTGGCCATATGAGAGGATTTGTAGAGAAAGAGCTAACTCTTCCCACTCTCAGTCCTACTAGAGCACTCTAGGTATAATATGTTCAGTGAATAATAAAAATCATTCAACAAAAGTCAGTGAATAAAACACAGGGATTTCATGATATTACTTACTTACTTACTTACGTCTGTTAATCCTAATAGAGCATAGGACGCCGACCAGCATTCTCCAACCCACTCTGTCCTGGGTCTTCTTTTCTAGTTCTATCCAATTCTTGTTCATTTTTCTCATGTCTATCTCCATTTCCCGACGTAATGTGTTCTTTGGTCTTCCTCTTTTCCTTTGGCCTTGAGGATTCCATGTGAGGGCTTGTCTTGTGATGCAGTTGGATGCTTTCCTCATTATATAACCTATCCACTTCCAGCGCTTCTTCCTGATTTCTTCCTCCACTGGAATCTGATTTGTTCTCTTCCACAGTTGGTATTTTATGGTATAAATACATGTATTTCTGAAATATCCCTATGATAGATTAAATGATCTCATTCTTGTCTTATCCCACCAAATTACATCAGTTTTAAAATCAATTAAGATAAAAATCATTGATTCTCCTTTATTGTTGTCATTTTTTACTAGGAATGAAATCTATTCATATCCATGATGAATCTATATTCAATATTGTTTATTTTCGAAATTATAAACACTTAATTGTTCTAGTCAGAGTAACCTTGACTTGGATGGTTAAATAAGTTGTGAATAAAGTAATAACTCAGAGGTGATATTGTATTATAAAGTTAGTGTGAATCACAGAGCTTCAGCTCAGTGAATAACTATAATACTTGTCATCATGAAACTTGAAAATTCTAGTGTGGAACTAGTGTATTTTCTCGGATACAAACTACTGCAGAATCCTAAGCTAGAAGAATATAGTTGTTCAGTTCCGATGTTGCATTCTGCAGTTTTTGACTCAGATATATACGTTTCCAATTATGCGAACCAGTAGATTAGAAAGACTGTAGGGTGTGATCTTTCACTCATCATTTGACCATGAGATGCTATATGAGCATAGGTCTGTGATATGCCTAGACTTGTCCAACCTATCATTCTCATTTTTAAAGCAAATCTCCAACTGATACCACTTCTTGATCCTAATAACACAAGTAATTACTAAATTACGCTTGTTACTCCCCGTAAGTCATAGGCCGCTGACCTGAGGTCTGCAATCTACTCTATCCTGCACTCTTCAAATATTTTGATGTCTCCTTCCGATTCTCAGTTTAATTTATTCTTTGGTCTTCTTTTATTCTTTTTGACATGAGGATTCCAATTTGTGGCTTGTTTCGTTATACAAATTGATCATATCCGAAATGCATGTCCTATCCACCTTCAAAGTTTTCTTTAATTTCCTCTTCAGTTGGAAGGTGGTTTTTGCTCTACCATAATATATTTTTACTGATGGTATCTGACCAACAAATCTGGGGTATCTTGTGTAAATAACGGTCTATAAATACTTATACATTTTTGATGATGATTGTAGTAGTTGTCTAAGTTTTAGCCCTGTACAGTAAAACGATCTTGAGGTCTGTATTGAGAATTGTGAATTTCCTGTCTCCTGACAGTTAATTTGAGTTTCAAATGTCTTCCCGTTGTAAAAACATAAGAAGGGGTTTTGTGGATATTATAGTAATTTTAATGGTTGAGACAAGTGGAGTTCAATCGGATTTGTTGTGAGATAGTAACTCATTGTAGACAGTCTTGTATATGTCGCTCAATTTGTTGGATTAGTTGAAGTTAGACATTAACACCGTTGGATGCCGGTTAGCTCAGTGGTCCAATGGTTGAGCGATCACGCGTGGTATTGATAGATCGTGGGTTCGAATCTCACGAGGCGGGATCGTGGATGCTCACTGCTGAGGAATCTCACAATAGGACGAAACGGTCATCCAATGGTTATAGGTTTTCCATGATGGTCTAGCTTCAAGTGACTCATGATCTCAACTATTTAGGTGGTAAAAATGCTGCTCTTGCTTTGTTAATCCGTCTCTTTACAACTGATCAGACCCCCCTTGTGCTGTCCAAGCACATAAAATTTTTCATCTCTTCCAAAGTTTCACCATCAAATGTAGTTTGATTAGTGCTCTATATGTTGTATTAATAACTAATTGAAATGTTAATTTACTTTTAATTTTTTCACTGATTTAAATCATGAGTCAGTTTAAGCTAGACCACCATGGAAAACATGGAAACACAGGACGGCCGTTTCGTCCTACCACAGGACTCCTCAGCAGTGCTCATTCATGATCCCGCACCCCACAACTTCGTGGATTGGTTGAAGTTAGACATTAACACCATTGGATGCCGGCTCATTGGTCTAGTTGGTTAAGCGCCTGGCGCGAGACTGGTAGATTCTGGGTTCGAATCTTTCGGGGTGCGGTGGGCTCGTGGATGTCCACTGTCGAGGAGTCCCACAATAGAATGAAACAGCCGTCTAGTGCTTCTAGGTTTTCCGTGGTGGTCTAGCTTCAATTGACTCATGATTCCAATCAGTGAAATTTCTAAAATCTCCACAAGCCCCTTCTGATTTTAATTTTTTATATAACCTTTAACTTACATTTTAGGATGAAAAAAATCAAGTTCTATCTACAATCATTTGGCTTGATTTAGTAAGTTCTTTCAATTGTGAATTACTATACAATAATGATCTATACTGGCTATACACTCCAGATTTTAATTGATGATATCATGGGAAACTATATTTTAGAAACTTACCATTATCCAAGTTAACAACAATATACGAACTCAGTAAAAACAAAACAGGATTTGTAGGATAGAATGAATTTTTTATTATATTTCATGACTTGTCATCAGCTTTAAAAAGCTTAACATCTTATAACTTAACAATTGATGAGGTTGAGGTTAATGTTTAAGTGTAGCCGAAGCTCACGATAAAAGTTCAAAGAGTGATAGTGGCTAGCAGTGGGATCCAGTTTGACGCGTGTTTTGTCTTATTTTGGACTCATCATTTGGATATATCTTCATCTCAGATTTGATGTTCACTCTGGAGATAACGAATTGTTTTTTAACAAACGTCAGATTTTCCACAACGTTTTATTCGTTATTAACAACGACAGTGGATAAAGCTGTAAGAGAAGGAAATATGAGACAACTATATGACAGAACGAAGAAACTGTCAGAGAACTATGATAAATCATAGAGACCGGTTAAGGACAAAAAACAAGACACTTACTGAGATTCAAGAACGGAGGAACAGATGGAATTAACATTTTGAAGAACCTTTGAATAGACCAGCTCCACTGAATCCACCGGACAATGAAGCAGAACACAGACCTTCATATAGATGTCATTCCACAACGATCGAAGAAATCAGGATGTCCATCAAACAAATCAAGAGTAGAAAAGCACTAGGACCTGACAATATACCAGCCGTAGGACTGAAGTCAGATAATGAAGTAACTGCAAAGATGCTTCACCTTCTATTCAGGTAGATTTGGAAAGAAGAAAACGTGTGGACAGACTGGAAAGAAGGACACGTCATCAAGATACCAAAGAAGGGAGATCTCAACAAATGTGAGAACTACAGAGGCAGCATACTACTATCGTTACCAGGGAAAATCTTAACCAGAGTGTTGCTGGACCGGATGGAAGACTCAGTGGACGCTCAACTTCGAGATCAACAGGCTGCACAGACCAAAGTGCGACTCTACGGATCATCGTCGAACAATCAATTGAGTGGGACTCGTCACTATACATCAAATCCATTGACTATGAGAAGGCGTTTAAGAGTTTGGATAGGAGGATCTAGTGGAAACTTCTTCGACACTATGGTGTAACTGAGATGATCGTCAACATCATCCAGAATTCGTACGTTGGATTACAGTGCAAATTCGTTCATGGAGGATAGCTGACAAATGCACTCCAAGTAAGGACCGAAGTCTGACAAGACTGTTTACTCTCCCCTTTCATCTTTCTTCTGGTGGTCGACCTTGACACCAGTGAGAGAACACGGAATACAATGAACAGCTCGGAATCAATTAGAAGATTTGAACTTCGCAGATGACCTAGCCCTCCTATCCCATACACACAAACAAATGCAGATGAAGACAACTAGTGTAGCAGCAACTTCAGAGTCTGTAAAAGGGAAAAAGCAAGATCCTCAAATACAACAGACAGAACACCAACGCAATCAAACTTGATGGAGAAAGTCTGGAAGAGGTGAGATCCTTCACGTATCTGGATAGCATCACCGATGAACAAGGAGGAACAGATGCAGACGAAAAAAAGAGGATTGGCAAAACAAGGACCGCATTTCTACAATCGAAGAATATATGGAACTCAAAACAACTGTCTGTCAACCAATACCAAAATCAGAATTTTCAATACGAACGTCAAGACAGTAATTTCTATTTTATGGAGCTGAAACTTTGAGAACTACTACTACAACCATTATGAAGAGGATACTAGTATTTATAAATAGTTGTCTACATAAGATACTCAATGCCCGTTGGTCACCTACCATCAGCAACAGCCTACTGTGGAAGACAACAAACCAGCTTCCAGTTGAAGAGGAAATGAGGAAAAGACGTTAGAAGTGGATAGGACATATATTGAGGAATCACCAAACTGCATCTCGAAACACGCATTAACATGGAATTGTGAAGGGAAACGAAAAAGAGGAAGACCAAAGTACAGAAACTAAAAAAATGTAGAAAGGATTGTCCAGGACAGGGCTGGATGGAGAGTGCTGGTGGTTGACCTATGCTCCTCTGTGAGGAGTAACAGGCGTAAGTGCGTAAGTAAGTCATTCGTCACTGATCAAACGACCAATTTTTAATATTAGTAAATATCTTACCAACTAAAAGAGTTTTGGCCCCTACAAACAAACAAACTGGGTTTTTTGAATAGTTAGTGTTTAACTGTAAACTAACCAATAAGACACTAAAGATTGATAATGCACTAAATTTCATTTTACTTTCTAAACTTTGTAATTATAACAAATTGAGGGGTATAGTTGAACTGCGCCTGTGAAGTCACAATAATTTCCGAAGCTATCTAGTATAAGAGCTTTCTACTTTCCTAATGTTGATATTTCGGCTTGCATTTGTTGCACAGAGGTCTACTCAAACGTTTGAGTCACCTATTTTCCGACTGTATGAATATTGTAATAAATCTTCATGTATTACATTTGTCTGAACTGAATATGAATCTCATCTGTGTGTAATAACATGTTATTACGAAAAACTCCTAACCTTTCGTGATGGTAAACGCTGGAGATCTCACGACGAAACACTACACCTGTCGGTATATTCTCTTCCTTGTCTAAACTTTCGTAAAAAGTAAGAGACGAATACATTGGAATTCATAAATTTCCATTGGGATGGAGGAAAACAAATCAATAAACTGACAAAGAACTTTCACCATCCAAAATGTCTTACAGATACTGACTATTAAAAAGATCATTCATAGAATGTAATCACAGTTTGAATGTATCTTAAACAAAAATTTACTGCAATATCGGAAAAATGATGCTAAGAATCCCTTAGGGTGAATAAACTTCTCATAATGAATTAAGCTATTATTATGATTAGCAAAGATGAATGGTTGCTCTGCAGTGGAATATAGGACGCGAGTTTCGTCCTTTTTTGGGCTCGTCAACTGAATGTATCTGGATCCCAGAGTTGGTGTTCACTCCCGAACCCAGTACCGTTCACTTCAAATGCCCTCGCGTAAATCCACTGAGTTAATGAGAAGATTCAAACAACCAATACAAGATTTACCACCATTATTATTATTGCTATCGCTATCAGTTTTCATTGGGATGTAAGGCATCATGACCTGATGCCTTAATATAAACACTTAGAAACAATTTCAATACGTTAATCAACAGTTTAAAGGGAAGATGATATGTTGGATTCGGCGGAGCAAAAATAATGACTGTTGTGTTCTACATTATCTAATTCTGATACTGATAAATAAACCTTTCATACATAACACGTTCAACTGGCTACTTAAATAAGAATGAAGCCTTTAATAATTAACTTAAACGGATTAATAACTAAATATGTATATTGACAAATGAGGGGTATCTTTCTTTCGAAAAGAAAGCTATATCTTGACCAATCGCTCACGCTTAACATTTTGCCGATGTCCGATTAGATCAATATATCATCCTTTCTTCTTGAGAGAACTTTTTTTTTTGGGGGGGGGGTTAACTGTAAGAATTAATGTTAACTCATATCAAACTGATCATACTAAATCTATTACTTTCCTATTTCAAAACTAAAATTCATTTTAGAAATGGTCAGATTATCATTTTCATTGGAATGCAAGTGACTATGAAAATATTCGACAGATAAATTTACCACCAGAGAGAATATGGAAACCAGATATTCTATTATATAATAGGTAGGTGAATAATTCTCTTTATTATCTTGTTCTTTCTGTTATCCTATATCTATCCTAATAAACGTATACTGTTTGATAATGTCATATTCATGCCAAATAATAGAGGGAATATTTAATATACTTCAAATACACATGCGTCACACAGGTCACTTGGTTTGTGTCTGGGCTGTGATACTGTTCGGATGCCGAAACCGAAGTGGGTGGTTTTCTTAGGGGGCTACACTCAGAGCCTTTGACCTGAAGGTCTGATCCATAAGGTAATGTGGCAACGTGAGGAGATACGGTTAGATGGTAGCTATTGACCAACGATTAGTTTATACGTCATGTTTTCCCTCAGGATCTTGGAGCTCATGCGCACCATTAGTTTGAAATCAGGGTTTTTCAGCTCTTCTAGGTGGATCCTGCATATTCACCAACCCGGTTAAAGCGACAGACATCCACTTTTTGTCCTCTCAGTTTCGTAAACAATAGTAATGCTACGAGAAGGTTGTGAGTAGGACTTCCCTTGATGTGGCTGTACACGCATGGCCATGTGAGAGGATTCGAAGAGGATGAGCTGGCTCTCTCCATCCTCGGCCATACTAGGGAATTTGGGGGCGTTTAAAATACTCAAACAGATAAGTTCTAGTATAATTCATTTAAGTATTCATTCCCCTGTTGGATTATAAATATCTTTGAAGTATGACTGACGTATATTGAGACTGTTGAATGAAAAAAATGTCAATCGATATGGTAATGTTTATATAACAACTAAGATAGTCGATTTAAGTGTTACGTGAGCCCAACTACTATCTACTTTGATACCTAATGTTGCATGGGGGAGAAATAATTTGAAATATTTTGTTTATACATTCAAAACAAGAATAGTTCATTAAATATTAGATGTGGTCTAGTGATGCACCGAAAGAAATTCCTCTTGAATTACTATGGTAACCATTGGGTAGGATTACTTTGTTTTGGATGATTTTGATGAAGTATTGTTTTCTGAGCTGAATGGTTTGGTCGTGGAGCTTTCATTATTCTCCTGAACGACATCATTAGCACTTTGGTTGGATAGCGTGAATTAATTTATATGTTGACCATGACGAGTTCGTCCAAGTTTTCTTTCGTCGCTAAATGAAAACAGATTCATATTACCAATGCCACTTCTAGTATATTTCACCTCTGTCTCATAATGTTTTTTGTTGTAGACACCGGTACTTACTCCAAAAACTCGACATCGTTGTACAGGAGATGATATATAACAATAATAGAGGTAACAAGATGCAGTTAAGATTATTGCTTAAATAGCATTAAATACAACGGGCCCCCAATGCCCTGGTACGGCAGAGAGTAGGGAGAGTCCGCCCTCCCTCTCCAGATGCTCTCACATGACCACGCGTATACAGCCTCTGCCAAGGAAGTCCTACTCACTGCCTTCTCGCACAACGGGTGTTGTTTACGAAAATGAGAGGACGAAAAGCGAATGCTCGGTGCTTTAGCCGGATCCCAAATCAATGGTGCACGTGGGCCCTAGTATCCTTAAGGAACAAATGAAGTATGAACCTATTGTTGGTCATCGGCTACCATGGGACTGCATCTCCTTACGATGCTCCACTGCCTTATGGATTAGACCTTCAGGTCGAAGGCTCGGGGTATGGTCTCCTGAGAAAACCACCTTTTTCAATTTGGGCACCCGGGCAGTATCACAGCCCTCACACATATCGAATGAGATTTGTGTGGCGCATATGTATTTGGTGCCTCCTTGTACCAATATCTATGTGTTAAAATAAATAAGAGTTATTACAATCAACTATCTACAGACTAAGTATAATATAACATATACCTTAGCTGCGTCTCTCAACAAAATTGGCATTAGAAAAGGTTAGAAAAGCTGTCCAATACACTTCAATGGTACGTGAATTAACATGTCATTATGTAATCAATTAAAATGTACATTAACAATTCATCATTATATCCATCTTGTAATTCAATTATTTTAGTGCTAGTGAAAAATTTGATCAAATTTTTCCAACGAAAGTGATTGTTAGAAATACTGGAAATATTCAATGGGTACCACCAGGTTTATTACATTCTATTTGTGATATTGAAGTGAATTGGTTCCCATTTGATTCACAGGTTAGTAATAACTATAACTATATATGTGTGTACGTGTATTTATCCATTTATATATTCATATTTAAGGAATTAGCCGTTTAGCTACTATGTTCATGTTATAACTTGTGACCGCCGATTAGAGGGCAGTGAATTATCAATCGGACCAAGGACGCGTAAAACATGTGTGAGCAACCTAGAGTCCAGATTGGCCCTGCTTTCCGCCTAGCCCAGCCAGTTATGTACAGAACACCAGTCTCAGCCTCTGCAACATGAATCATTATATTTCAAACATACTCTGTTTATATACCAATCAAGCAGATCACAACGTACCAATAAAATATGAAACAACATTTGTACAAGAATTAGCCAGATGTGGCTGTGAATGAGAGAGGTAGTAATTAATATATTGAGCATAACTCAGGAGCATCAAATCGTTTCATAATAGTTTATGGCTCAAAATAGACCTTATAATAAGAGGAATATGAATAGTTTAGGTACTTAATAATTATACAATAGAAAAATACGTTTGGTATTGGTCTATCAATAGATCCCAAAAGTTACCATTCATTAGGTTTCTCGGGACCTAACAGTTCATTAAAGAATTACTAGAAAGCAATGGTTTAATACTATGATCACTTTACATTTAATCAATCGATTAAAAACTCGAATTCTGCTCCGTAGTCTTCAATTTATACAGTTACACGTTATCACTAGTTATTACATAAGTAGTGTTACTTAAAACCTTAGATAATAGTAGAACAAAAGTTTATTTTCAGTTTAGGGGTTGTAGAGATTGTTAAGTTCTTGATTGAGATCATGAACCGATTGATGTAAGACCACCATTAAAAACCTGGAAGCACTTGACGGCCGTTTTGTCTTACTGTGGGACTCCCCAGCAGTGCGCGGGATTCGAACCCGCCCTATTGGGCAGAAACAGGTGTCTACCTCAGTACATGGAAGATGGTCGAGCAATTTCGTGGATTAGTTGAGGTTAGACAATAACACTATTGGATGCCGGCTTAGTGACCCAGCAGGTTAGGCGTTCTCACATGAGGCTGAGGGCCCTGGGTTCGAACCCCGCGAGCGGGGATTGTGAATGAGCACCAATGAGGAGTCCCACAATGGGAAGAAACGACCGTCCAGTGCTTCCAGGTTTTCAATGGTGGTCTAACATCAATCGGTTCATGATCTCAATCAAAAAGTTTATTTTTCTGTATGCCACGTTATACTACTATAATATGACAATAAGTGACTATACTACTAATCTGGATGGTCGATAAATGTGCTATACACTGATTGGGATCCCGCTATATCAGATACACGATACGTCAACAAAAAATAGGGACATAGATTATAGACTAAATAATACTTTATTCAGTGCAGTTGTGGAGATTGTTGGATCTCATTGAAATCATGAACCGATCAATGCTAGACCAACATTGGAAACTACAAGTAATCTACGCTCACTGACTCAAGAGTGCAAATCAATAATAGGAAAGAAATCTCATATTAAATAACTAATATGCTGACTGTCTATCAGTCCACACTCAACGGTCAGTCTCATCTTACTTACATTAGTCGTACGGTAGAACCAAGTATATAATCCACAGTATTGATTTTCAAACGTCTTATTTATTCATGGATCTCTGTGTTTAATTGAACAGTGGTATCAATAGATGATAACAAGGAATAGTTGTTCATTGATTAAAATTGAAGAAGAAATTCAAATATAAAATGATACCTCCTGTATTGGTATCCGCATTACCCAGCTTTATATCCTAACATGTCATTGGATAGTTTGAATAGATTGATGATAAGGTTCCGATATGTGAAACTTGATTATGTAGATTTCAGCATGACAGAGAGGATCAGTTTCATTAAGATTCCAAGTAAGACATGCTGATAAGTGTTAATCAGCACAAAAATTAGGTTCATATTTACTCTCTGACTATCCACCACACTCTAACATCAAATTATAGTTCACATAATAACAAGATAGAATGTTGGAGATATTACAAGTTGTTAAACAGAATTTGATCACTTCTAAGGACCAAATGAATAAAACATTGGTCACTGCTCAATATCCAATCAGTGTAAATCTATTGTGTTTCGTTACTTATTTGCACCTGTTACTCCTCACAGAGGAGCATAGGCCAACCACCAGCACTCTCCATTCAACTCTGTCCCGGGCAATCGTTTCCAGCTCTTTCCAATTGTTATTTATCCTTTTCGCGTATGCTTTCGATTCCCGACGCAGTGTGTTCTTTGACCTTCCCCTTTTCTGCTTCCCTCCACGATTCCGAGTTAGGGCTTGTCTCGTGCAGTTTGGTGATTTCCGTAATGTTAATCCTATCCAATTCTAACATCTTTTCCTAAATTTCTCTTCAATTGGAAGCTGGTTTATTCTCTCCCACAATAGCCTGTTGCTGATCGTATTCGGCCAACGGATGTTGAGTATATTATATAAACAACTATTAATAAATACTTGTTCTATTTTGATGATGGTTGTAGTAGTAGTTCTCAAAGTTTCAGCTCCGTACAATAGAATTCACTGTCTTGGTGTTCGTATTGAAGATTGTGATTTTGATATTGTTTGATAGATAGGTGTTTTGAATTCCATATATTCTTCGATTGTAGGAATGCTGTCCTTGTTTTGTCAATCCTCGCTTTTGAGTCTTCATCCGTTCTTCCTTGTTCATCGATGATGCTACTCAGATACATGAAGGATCTCACCTCATTCAGAGTTTCTCCATCAAGTATGATTGCGTTGGTGTTCTGCGTGTTGCGTTTGAGTAACTTGCTTTTTCCTACGTGTATTTTGAGACCTACTGATTCGGAGGTTGCTGCTACACTAGTTGTCTTCATCTGCATTTGTTCGTGTGTATTGGATAGGAATGCTATGTTATCTACAAAGTCCAAATTGTCTAATTGGTTCTAAGCTGTCCAATTATGTTTCGTAGGACCCGTTATTATATGAAAATTATTCAACATACATCAAAAATCTTTATTGATCACACTGAATCCACTGACTATGATACCATATTCGTAGCATGAAATTCTTGCATTCACAAACCATAAATCGAAACATTAGTGAATTGAATTAATGGTCATATGCATCCTTATATATATATCAATGAAACTATTAACTAACATGGTCACTGTCTAAGCAAAATAGATGACCATAACACATCACAACTAAGTAAATTCGACATTGATGATTAATTAAACTGTAAGGATATAGCAATCATAAATGAGGTCAAATGGTAGTTAACTATTAGGACTAAATGATCTGTTTAACAATTACACACACACACACAAAATGTGGACAAATTAATTTTCTTTCAATATACTTTTAGAAATTTCAGATTTTCTCTTTTTATCATGCATTTCTAACATCATTATCAGTCAGTCAGTCAGCTACAACGTACGAGCATGCGCATATATGCATCGGTCCGAGTTGACATACCGCATTAACACAACAAGATGAACACCGGATTCATAGAAGTAATCCAGCGATGGTGATAATATATAAAAGAAAGATTGAATATAAGAATATAATACAGGAGGAAAGAATTAGGTGGTGGAAAGAAAGATATGAAGCGATTTTAATCTCATAGTTTAAAGGAAGACAGTGAGTGTATACACATACACCATTGTGATCAATTCTGAGCCATATCACACAGAGTCTCAAACCATTGGTTACAAATAGTCACGCGAAACTCAACCAAGTAATCTGCATCTACCAACATGGATCAGACTAGAAGTTAGTGACTTCAAGTACTGATGCTACGTTTTGGTTTGGCCGCCCCTAACTTTCTTCCAACCATCCGCAACACTAGTCAGTCAACATTGCACGTCGTGGTAATTGTTGTTCGGGCATACGTAACGCGTGGCCCAACCATCTCAGTCGATGAAGATTCAGAACCTCATCAACTGATCTACCATCATCATTCCGGTGATCCCAGCAGATGTGAGCAATATTTCTAAGACATCTGTGATCAAATAATAGTAACTTAAGAGTATCATTTATCTTTAGTAGTCACGTTTCGTAGCCGTGAAGGAGAACAGAAGGAACTGCCTCACAGCATACTCGTCCTTCAATTGATAGGCGGATATCTCGCCTTCGCCATAATGACGTAAGTTGGCAAAAGCCAACGAAGAATAGATGAATGGTAACTAATAGGAACTAGAAGCAAAGATGGATAGTGGCTAACAGTGGAATCTAGAACGCATGCTTCGCCTTTGTTTATAATGCTTATGAGTTAAGACAATATCCAGGCAATAGGCACAGTACGCACATATCCCAATAAGGGACTGATGAGTTGCAGACCTAAACATTAATGGGAAGATTCATGTAAACATTACCATGTGAGTTTGATAGCACCTATTTATGGACTATTATTACATATATTCCTATTGGATAACTATCGAGTAACTATGTTATATGTATATTCATATTCCTTTTGTTATAAGCTTTCATTTGACCTATTGACTATTATTATACGATTTACTATTCCTGACTTATTCCCAATGTATTAGTTACAGTCTATCACAATCACAGCCACTTTTGGGCTTGCTGTTGTATAATGTTTATTTTTTATGTTATGGTATGATATGGTCTGGTTTGTTTGTAAATAAACCCAGTATGTCTAAAATATGTGATTTGTATGATAGAGGCTGATATTGGCGTTTTGGATTAAACCGGCTGGGTTAGTAGAGAAGCTCTTAGTCTCGATGAATCGATAAGAACTCAAGGCTGCTCGTACAGATTTATGTGTCATTAGTCTGATCGTATAAGTCGGTATCTCTAATTAGCAGCGGTATCACATGATATAATTAGTTGGGCATAAGAACATAACACTAAGATTATCAGTTGATAATCGTATTCAGCAGTGAAATTTTAAAATAGTTCTTACAATGCATGAATTGTGACTAGTTTTGAAACGTAGAACAGACATTTCGTTCTATCTAGGACTTGTCAACTAGATGTATATGGATAGCAATATTCAAATAAGCATCATACTTGTGAAATATGTTAGTAGCTATCTGAATTTACTAGTTGAGTGGATAAGGCACTTAAAGTTACAAGTATTGGGTTCGAGTCTCATTGTGAACATTAACATTGGAATAAAGGTAAACCTAGTTAAAAAGCGCTTATTATTATTATTAATATGATCATTGTCACTACCATCATGACTTTTATATCATCATTTAGAATTGTATCATGAAACTTGGAACATGGACTTATCAAGGAAATACAGTAGATTTAAAATTACAATGTGATAATGAAACTGAAGATGTAGATCAACCATGTCATTATATGAATGATGTTGATTTATCGACTTATTTAGCTCATAGTGAATGGGCTTTAGAAAGTAAGTCATCTATTTATTGAATCAATTTTATGTAGGATAATGTTTAATAAATAAATGAATTGTGTTAATAGACCATCAGTTTTGAATGAGGGTTTTCCAACTCTCCTAAATGAGTCCTCCGTGTCAACCAACCTGGTTAAAGCCTTCATCGAACATTCTCTTTTTGTCCTCTCGATTCCGTAAACAACTGTCTGGTCACGAGAAGGCAGTGAGTAGGAGTTCCCTGGTAGTGGTTGTATACGCATGGCCATGTGGGAGGATTTGTAGAGGGAGAGATAACTCTCCCCATCCTCGGCCATATCAGGGCACTTGGGGGCAGATTTTTTCATCCATTTTAAATAGTTGAAATGAAGACAATTACAAAAAATTAAAGAAATTAGTTTACTCAATCGTTTGATTGAGCTATATATAAATATGGTATATGCTACTTATGTTAACAGACATAAGTGTTATGTAACACCAGTCAGAAGTGGAATACCTGACAGTAGAAGATTGAATTGAAGAGAACAGAAAGGAGAACGAGGAGCATTTATGATAACAACTGGAATGAAAGAACGATGAAGAGACAAATGATGGAAGACTTGACGATTATGAATTCAATGTCTGGTTTTCAGACTGTACCGAGACGTTCTGTAATTTTACAATGAAAAAAATAAATTGGTTTCCCCCCAACTGAGTCCTCATTCACTATTTGGAATGATTTTCTGGAATATCCGGTTGTTGATATTTTCTAGCTGACAATTTCCAAATAAAACGAAATATACATCCTGAATACTACAGCTAGTCATATTCCATCTATTCTATACTAATCAAGACTTGTCTTCAAAAGTATGAAAGACTCATTGAAGATTCCTCAACTAGTCATTGTTAATGATCTAACCAAGTTTTATTATTTACATTATGTAATATACTCACAAAATGAATTTTCATTTGATTTCCATATTTCAATTGTTTTTCATTACAAAATCAAACAAACGACAACCCCCCCCCCACACACACACATTAGGTGCTTCCATTAAACGTAATATACAAACTTATGGTGGTGAAGATCAAACATACATTGATGTTACCATTTATGTTTATATGCAACGTCGTGCATTGTATTACATGTTCAATATTATCATACCATGTATGATAATGTCAATGATGGCATTACTTGTATTCACTTTACCACCTGAAGCCAATGAGAAAATTGTATTAGGTAAGATATAAAATGTTACCTAACTATTACTAATTATAAGTAAAAATAGTTTGTTATTTGTATTTGATTGATTAAAATAGTTAACTCCCTTTTATCATTGGTTCGGCTACTTTAAATATTGAATATTCACTTTATGTAGGTACGATGAATTTTCACAAGAATGAATCATTACACAACAAAATAAGATTGAAAATATTATTACCATTTTGTAGGTGACATGTTAATCGTTTTTGATTGAGATCACGAATCGATCATTAAAAACCTAGAAGCATTCGACGGTCATTTCGTCTCATTGTGTGACTCTTCAACATTGAACATCCACGATCCCACTCACGGGATTCGAACCTACGGCTTTCGGTTGTCCAGTGCTTTCAGGTTTTCAGTGGTGGTCTAACACCAATCGATTCATGATTTCAATCCAAAACAAAATAATCTCCACGACCCTATACTGATAATTACTATGTGCTCATCAGGGAATAACTTCTCGAGGGAATTCTCGGAATTCTAGTGAGAAGCCGTGACTAGTGGAGCTAATCCATGTCAGGTAGAAACATGTGTCTACCTAACTATAACGGAAGATGGTTGCGCAATTTCGTGGATTGGTTAAAGTTAGACATTAACACCTCTGAATCGCGGTTCAGTGATCTAGAGGTCGAGCGTTTGCTCGCGAGACCGAAGTTTCGAATCGATCTGATGCAGTATCGTTGTTGTGCACCGCCAAGGAATCCCACAACAGGAAGAAACGGCTGTCAAATGCTTTCAGGTTTTCAACGGCGAACTAACATCAACCGATTTGTGATCTCAATCAAAATCATGATAATTTCCGCAAACCCATACTAAACATGTTAATCGTGTTTGACAAAACAGTCGGTCACAAAAAATTTTAAATCTCTTTGATACAATAAATCAATCAATTAAATTTACATGTATGAAGGGTTATAGTAATAAGACGATATTTCTCAAAATCTTCCTCATAAAGTTCTCAAGTTCATGAATAGTAGTATCTTAAGAAGGAAAACAAATGATTTTATCGTTTACCCTACTGATTCTGTCACGATCTCACGCTTTCCAGTGCTTGAACTAGTTAGCTATGGAAGTAAGAAGATCAAGAATATGTACTAAGCTTTCTGATAAAGGCCGAAAGATTATTTATGCAATTTCTGAGTATACATATATGATACTGACATGATTATGCGAAGATAGATGAGTGGTGATATGGTCACTTCCATATGACTTTGAGATACCATATGAATTCTATAGAATCCCTCTATCTATCACTTCTACTTTGTTGAATTTAGATCTTTCTCTTCTGTTTCCGTTGAAATGAAAACATATAATATCCTCTCAACTGTAATTATATCTGCATAAGACTGATAAGTCCTGGGTTCGAATCTCGCAAGGTAGGATCGTGGATGCGCACTGCTGAGGAATCCCATACTAGGGCGAAACGGCCATCCAGTACTTCCAGGTTTTCTAGGATGGTCTACTTTCAATTGACCCATGATTTCAATCTGTGGCATTTTTTATTTGTCAAAGTTTTCATCTACGATTTTTATCTGGCAAAAGTTTGATTTGTTCCTTAGTTTTTATTTTATTTTCCAACAGGTGTTACCACTTTACTTTCATTGACAATGTTATTACAGTTGGTAGCTGATAAACTGCCACAAACATCATCAGGAAATCCTGTACTTGGTTAGTTTCTATGATTATTTAATAATTTATATAATGGCTATAATTATTTGAAGGCAATTTATTTTATAACAGTTGTGAGTATATGCAAAGATGGATAGTGGCCAGCAGTGGAATCCAGGATGGGCGTTCCATTGCAAGCCGCTATCCATCTTTCCATTTATATGCTTGTGAATTAAGATTGTATCGAGATAATACAACACAGTATACATATATGCCAATAAGATACTGATCAATTGCAGTTCTAAACATCAATAGGAAAATCCAAGCAAATAATACCAAGTGAAATTTTGAGTAAATTTCCAAACTATTGATTTTCTTAGTTAAAGAACAAGATTTGACTAAAGTATCATTAAAATGAGATGAGTTAGGACCTCGTGGTAGATTAATCTCGGTAATGTAAATTCAACATAAGATTTAACGTAGCCTCGGTCGTTCATTTGTAATATCCATGACTATGATACTGAGTGATAAGGCTTCAATAAATATAAATACCATTTGTTGATGAAACCAACTTTCTGGAAACTTAGACTTCAGTATCTTCTTGCAATCTGAATGTAGTCACTTAACATCAACAAGGAATTTGCTAAGGGTTAAGGATTGAACACTACGAACTTTCTGGATCTGAATAGTCACTGAAAAACAGGAAGCAGTTGACAGGTATTTAATTGAAATGTGAAGTTGTTCAGTAGTAATCAATCAAGACACTGTTAGGGTTTGAATCCTTCAGATGGTGAACATTCAAGTAAAATATTGTTAGTCGTCTATTTGATTATATCCATAGCTAAAAATCTTAGCAACTTAGTTCGTACACTTATTAAACAAACTATGTATTATGATAACAACCACATTAGGCTAGGGACAATTCAAAATAAAAATCACACTAACTATAAGCAAATATAGATATTGGCTATCAATGAAGTCCAGGACTCGTGTCTTGTTTGATTTAGGACTCGTCCGCCGGATCTACCTGCAATCCAGAGTTGATGTTCACTACGGGACTCAAACCCGTTGACTATCAGGAATCAGTAGCTAAGTGGATAACGTGATGGCGTTTGAAGTGAACAATATTGGGTTGAAGTTGCAGAGTGGACATCAACTCTGAGATTCAAACACATATAGTTGATGAGTGCCAAATAAGATGAAACACACGTTCTGGATTCCACTGCCAGTCACCATCTTTCTTTATAATGCAGGTGACTTGAGGCAATCCGCACAAGACGCATATATGCCAACAAGAGACTAATAAATTACACTTCTAAACATCCATAGGAAGTTCCGAACAAACAATACAAATGCATTATCATATTAATCCTAACTTTATTGACTAATATTTTCAAATATTCTTATTTTTCATCTTTTATTTCACATCAATCAAACTATTCGATTGTGAAAAGTTTTATATTTCACATGCACAATGATCCTTTGTTCACTTTCATTGGTATGCGCTGTGGTTTTGCTTAATTGTCATCATCATACAGGAGGTATTGTTTATGTACCATGGTGGGTAAGTTTATGGAGTTTTCGGATTCTTCAATAAAATATGTCTTAATAATCTCTGACTAAGGCATAAGCTACTATTTTTAAAGATGGTTAATCTGTTGACGTAGTAGGTAAGGAATCTTCATTAATTGAGGCGGTTAGGACAAAGATGACATATTCTCAACCACTGCCTATCTCGACAGGCAATAGTGTTTAGTATACGAGTGGGCTGGAAGAAAGCTAGAAGCGACCAAATCAAAATGTGTCGACGGCCTATAAAGTCATTCGCAATTAAACTGAGCCGTTATGAAATGTGAAGACTGCCTGGGCGAGGTCCGCGTGATCATCGTAAGTAATATCTGGATAATATGGGTCAGAATCGTTCTCAGTAGTGTAGATCTACTCACACTTTGTTCTTCTCTTAGAACCTGGGTCGCGAAATCTCATATCTTTTATTTCTCTGACATTCTTGATATTTTGTGCTGACCATACTACTCTTATTACTACTAATGGTACTGCAACTAAGTTTACTACTCTTGGATATGTGGTGATAATTTTATCTCTCTGTGCTAATGTAGTGTCAGGCTCTACATTGTGCAAAACTGATTGACTTTTTTCAATGTGGATTCACTTATCCTTGTTAGTTATTGGAAATTTCAGAGCAATGTACAGCTCGTTCCTGATAGCGTAGGACTTCCCTATGCAGTAAGCACCCACGACCACACCATGCATCGAATTCAGCACCTCCAGGTCCATCCTAAGATAAGCATCAAAATAATCACTTTAAAGTCTTTTCATTAATATTGTAGTAATGCTCATTAACGAGTTCGAGAGGCGTTCCTGAAGTTCCAGTGGGAAGGAATGACCAATGAAGTTCAACCGTGTTGAGATCGAAATTATAGTCACTAACTTCATTGGACGATCACATCACTTTGTTGCGTATAGATCAATTTTAGAAAGGTTTACCATCATGCACAAGCATAGTAGTTCAATGACTAAGCGCTCTCTGTGAAAAGTGAAGGTCTAGTCTTTAACTAATCAAAAGTAACCAGTTTACTCCTTGTTTCAAAACACACACACACAGTGATAAAACTGTGGATACTTATGAATTAACCATTGAATATATGAGTTTCTTAACTCACTATTTCAACAATTCACATACAGTTAAAGAAAATTCAAAATGATAATCAATTGACTCATAATCTTAACTATCATAATTACTATAATATCCACAAAAACCCCTTGTAATATTAATCAGCATATGCTCAATAGTGACTGACTTCAAGAGGTATATCCTGGAGTTCTTGTGAGAAGTCGTGACCAGTGGAGTTCAAGAGGATTTGTTGTGAGGTAGTAACTCACTGAAGACAATGGTAGATGTGTCACTCAATTTCGTGGACTATTTGAAGTTAAATATTAACATCGTTGGATATCGGTTAACTCAGTGATCTAGAGATTAAGTGTTCGAGCGCAAGACCGATAAGTCCTAGTTTTGTATCCTGTGAGGCAGGATGGTGGATGTGCACTACTGAGGAGTCCCACAATCTGATGAAACAGCCTTCCAGTGCTTCTAGGCTTTTCATGATGATCCACCATTAATTGATTTATGATCTCAGCCATTAAAATTACTATAAAAAAGACGTTGAACAATAAAAAAATGGATATGAAATATTGATCGCTTTTCATTAAAATTTATTTTTGTTGCTGTTGATTTTTCATTTAAAGTTTTCCCTAATAACTCATGAGCACATACAATTTGCATTCATAAACATTCAGTCTAAGCAAAACTGAGTCAGGAAGGTGGTCTAAACGTGCTAGGGTTGAAGCTATCACAAGTTCACTTAATCTGAGAACGGGGAAACAAGACTCGGCGACCAAAGACCAGTAAGCTAGCCATTGATGCGTCCCGGCACCGCTAACTACAGGGAGAAGTCCAAGCTTGGAATGAGGAAGTACATTCTACAAAACAGCCAGAAACAAGCGATAACAGCAAGCACAATTCAGAACTTATATATACAGTACAAAACCATCCTTGGAGAGAGTTACCAAATAGCATACTAAAAGACGTAACGGACCAATAGCATTTAAGATATTTCCCAGTGGGAAACACGATATGAAGGTGACAAGAGCGCCGTTGGCGTGAAAACAAACAAATTCAAATTTTCTAAATAAAATTAGAAAGTTAGGTCCTTTCTCAAGTGAGTTCTGGGGATCTAACGTCCTCAACAAAAGGTTTAACTATCCTACCTAGTGAAACCATAGGGCATAAAATTTAATTTTGCCAACTCATTGATTAGACAATCTCAGTTTATTCACAACTTTTATCGGTCATAATAATGGTGATAAAGATACTTACCGAACTCAGTAGTGTAGAGATGTAGAGAAAGGGGTGACTATATCCACAAACATAACATTATGAGATGACTGTTAGTCGGTCAGTCAATCAGTCAGCTACAATATAGGACATAGCACATATATGCATCAGTTCAAGTAGCCATGCTTCATTAACACAACAACATGAACACCAAATTCATAGAAATAGTTAATTCAGTGATGGTGGTGGTGGTGATGATGAAATATGAATTATTGATCTCTTTTCATTAAAATCCTTTTTCTATCTTCATTATTATTATTATTATTCATATAGATTGAAACATTAATTAATGTATGGTTAGCAAGTATTTTAAGGATTGATCATGATCTATCTGATCCTAACAATAATGATAATAATAATCACCATGGTGATAATGATAATAATAAAACGGAACAAAATTTGAAAAATTCTAAAGAAAAATTAATCCCTAGTGAAAATTCTTTTCAATTAGATCAATATGATTATGATAAAATCAATCATCATTTACACTTTAATCATTCATATAATAATAATAATAATGGTAATAGTAATGGTAATGGTAATAATAATGTAAAAAATGCTACCGTTTGGTCCAATATCATTGATATGAATTCAGAATTTCGTCCAACAATTGTCATTCATAAACCATTCAAACATGATAATAATCATAATCATAATAGTAATATAAAAAAATCTTTATTCATGAATCAAATCAAATTGAAATCTGAATTACAAAGTAGAATTCAACAAAATTATTTCATTGATTTGGATCCGGATTATGATCGTGATCGTTGTGATCAACATCGATTATCAACAGATGTATTAGGTAAACCATTGAATAATACGCCTTATCATACCACTACTAATACTAATACTATTACTCCTACTACTACAATACCAGAGGATAGAGGGAATAGTCGAACAAATGCAACTAGTCGGTTACAATATACATGCAAACGAAATTTAACTGAAAAGTCAAGTAAGTAGTATGGTGTGTGTTTTTTTCTTTGTGGAATGTTTCAACCTTTTCATTCATTAACTAAATAAGTTAGTAAGATATTTGTGTACAGCGTATGTTCTAGCACTAATGAACATCCTTTCAAATGGTTGTTTCTAATCAGTTCAGTAAAAATGAGAGTAAATAACTTACTACTTACTTACTTCTAATACTCCTGATGGAGCATACGCCAACGACCAGCATTCTCTAACCCACTCTATCCTGAGCGTTTATTTCTGAGCGTTCCATCTAATTGTCGTTCATTCTTCTCATGTCTATGTCCATTTCTCACCATAATGTATTCTTTAGTCTTCCTCTCCTCCTGTGACCTTGAAGATCCAGTATGAGGGCTTGCCCTGTGACACAGTTAGGTGGTTTCCTCAATGTGTGTCCTATCCAGTTCCAGCTCTTCTTCCTGATTTATTCCTCCGCTGGGATCTGGTTTATTCTCTCCCACAATAGGTTGTTACTGATAGTGTCCGGTCAACGGATCCGATGTATTTTGCATAGACAACTGTCAATAAACACTTGTATGTTTTGGATGATGGCTTTCGTAGTTCTCCAGGTTTCCACCCCATGCAGTGGAACTGTCTTGACATTTGTATTGAAAATTCTGACCTTGGTGTTGATTGACAGACAATTTTTTTGAGTTCCAGATGTTCTTCGATTGTAAATATACTGTTCTTGCTTTGCCGATCCGTGCCTTCACATCTGTGTCAGACCCATCGTGTTCATCAATGGTGCTGACTAAATATGTACACGTTTTTACATCCTCCAAATCCTCTCCGTCAAGTGTGATTTGATCGGTATATATTATGACGTCAGTGACTTCATACACTGATAGTGCATCTTGCTCTAGTCACTCTGAGGCTTCTTTCAACTTATCACTTGTAATAAGGTCACTAGTCTGATTAATTCAACATCTCGTACACTATGTATTGGTGTTAGGTGGATGGAGTTAGTGGATAATTAAACTCTCCCTAAAAGTAATTTCTAACTACTTTATACTCATCTGCAAAGTCTATTTGAATTCTTAAAGGAAGTGACATTTTCGATGCATAATTCCGACCGATATCATCCAGTTTCACAGTATAGAACATTTAAAACTGATCCAATTCAGTCACCAATACCTTATTATAAGACTAGGATATTTACAATTGATTGATCCCTGAATATTGACTAATATCATATTTGTTTAATGCTTTAATATTCATCAAATTCGATCAACGGTTAAACAAACCTATCGTTCTATTTTCTGATTACCTCAAAACGGATTAACGACTTTCAAGATCATTCTATATGAGTTAAGATGGATAGTGGCCAGCAGTGGAACCTAAGAGGCGCGTTTCGTCCTATTTGGGACTCATCAACTGGACGCACCTGTAGCACAGAGTTGATGCTCACTCTGGGACTCAAACCCATCAAACACCATCATGTTATTCACTTAGCTGCTGAATTCTGATAGCCACTTGCTTGTGCAATAGGATGAAGTTTAAATTGTTTACTTGAATCCTTCCATTGATATTTGAAACCGTAATTGATCAACTATGAGATATAGGTACATCCAATGAACGAGTCCAACATCGAATGAAACGCGTGTCAAACTGGATTTCACTGTTAGCTACTATCCATCTTTGTTCATAATGGTTGTGACCTAAGGCAATATTGAGAGACTATCCACACAAGATGCATATATGCCATTAAAAGAGACTGATCAATTATTGTCCTAAACAAGAATGGGAAGATTCAAGTCAAACAACAATATGAGTTGTTTAAATTTATTATTCCCTGATATTATATAAATTCAACTAATTTAATCGCATTGATAATCTCATTTCAGAATATTTCAATAAAACAATCCCAAGATTTCATTTATCATCATCATCTAATGAATCTCCACAAGATTCATCATTCTCTTCATCACCAACACCACTACCACCAGCGTCGTCGTCGTCGTCGGCGTCGTCATCATCATCATCATCATCAACAAATAAAGATACAGTATTTTCATCTCCAAATAAAATTACTGATCCAAGTAGTTCTAGTCCATTCAAACAGAATAATAATAATAATAATGATTCTATGAATTTTGATATAATTCTATTAAAATTAAAACATATTTCTAATGAATTACGTTTTATTACATCTGATATGCATAATAAAGATAAAGAAATAAAAACATCAAATCAATGGCGTTTAGCATGTCGTGTATTAGATCGTTTATGTTTATTAATATTTACTGCATTAAATTTATTTACTACATTAGGTATATTAACATCAGCACCAACTGTGATTAAAGCATTCACATCAAGAGGTGCACCATCACAACCAATGTAATATCTATGTATGTATCTAGGTATATATGTATGTATGTAAGTTGGTATATGTGTATACGTAAGTATGTTGTATGTTTGTAAGTTGGTGTGTATGCATGCATGCAAGTAAGTATGTAGGTGTGTATGTATGCATGCATGTAAGTATGTGAGTATGTATATATATGTGCATGTATGTGTGTATGTATATATATGTGTATGTATGTGTGTGTATGTATGTATGTATGTTGTGTGTATGTAAGCATGTATGTGTGTATGTAGTTAGTATGTAGGTATATATGCAGGTATGTATATGATAACTCATGTTGAGTACTCAACTTTTTGTTCCGTTTCCCAATTTTTACACTGTTTATGGATTATTCTAAGAAAACAAACTTATGTTGCTATTCTTTTCTCTCTTTCTCCTTCTCTCTCTCTCTTTCTGTGTGTGTGTGAGTATGTTACTAGGGGGTTTTAATGTTTACCATTGGAAATTGCTTTTGTTTTTCCCATTGATTTCATTATACGAATTGATTACATATTTAAATGTTAATATTTAATACATGTAAAGTGATATTACGAAATTGAATTACTTATAATGATGTTAATATTTAAATGAATGTTCTTTATTGTTATACAAGAAATTGTGTCTAAATTTAATTGAATACATTCACAATATTTTGGAGCTGAGTTGTGAAAGTATTGGACAGCTGTTTCATTCTGGGTTGGGACTTACATTGGTGAACAGTGGCATAATATCGTGAATTGGTTGAAGTTAGACATTAAAACCGCTAAATGCCGGGTACCCCAATGATCTACAGGTTAAGCATTCGCTTGAGAGATCGAAGATTCTGAATTCGAATTCCGCGTAAGGAACTGTGGATATCCACTACTGAGGAGTCCCATACTAGAATGAATTTACTAAAGGAAAGAAACCAATGAAATATAAGAAATTTCGTCTAAATTTGATCGAATAGTTTCACAGTATTTGGGAGCCGAGTTGATGTGAGACATGGAAGTGGAAGGATGTACTTGTAATATTTCAGCGAATGAATTTGAAGTAAACCTTTTTGTTATATATCATTTCGTTAAGAATTAAATGGTAGAAATACAACGGATGATCAATTTATGTTATTTAAGAATAGAACTGAACTGTCTTGTAGATAGTTTTGAGGATTTTACGAAAGCACTTGATAAGTCTTTTAATTGAACGCTAGATTCGGTTCCTAAGTTCTTTTGGTAACCCTCAGGCTAAATTTACGCAGTGATCTGGATACGAGAGAAAAGGTACAAGATATAGAAGAAAGGCTTTACTCCAAAGGTTGGCTTATGCATAGAAAATCTAGGGTATTTATAAAATTCTGGATGGTTTTGAGTCTCCGGTAATTTCTGGAACCCTACCAAACATAGTAGCAGTATAGGTAATGAGAAACGCAACATGTGACTTTTCACTTTTCTAGTTGTTTCTGGACAAACTTCTATTGAATGCTAATTGGAAAAGATGCTTTTCAATATTTTCAGAGCCTTTTTGGCTTTTTTTCAAAGAGTGTTCTGGATCTTCCGAACAGCACAGATTTAGTACAAGTAGTTTGGAACATATTCAAGCTATGTAAAAACAAGAATTGATTATTGGACATATATTTCATTTTATTTGAAATTCGTCAGTTAAATGTACTTTCTTCTAAACGTTGATACTCGAAATCAAACAAGAATTTAGTGCTTCAAATCCCAACTCATAACTTGTAGTGATCAAATAAGATGGTACATATACTAGATGAAGACTCATTATTTTCAATCCTGAATATTGACAAAAAGAAATTATAACGGTGAGTTGGATGATGTTGAGGAATGCTAAATGACCTTGGACTATTCATCTGCTTAGTAGGTTAAATGAAGATTATAAACCATTATGAAGAATAAAGATTATAAATTACATTTGATGTTTACGTTTAAGAATTAGATTTAGGGTTTTTATCAATAAATGACATCAGTTATCGTTGGGGACGTTAGATCCACAGTCTGATGTGCCCAAGAACCACATTACCACCATCTCAGACGAAATCTCAGAAGCTGCCAGCGCACGGTGTTCGCTCGTGACTACAAAGCAAATCATGGTCCTTGGACCGAAGCACATGTGGTTAAAAGACTAGGCCAAGTTATGTACGAGGTAAAAGTGGGGAGAGACACGTGAACTAGACACCGAAACCAACTACGGAAGCGGATGGCCTCAGACCACCCATCAACAGAAGTAAATCTTCCCCTTGACATATTGCTTGATACCTTCAACTTACCAGCAGCCCCACCACGAGAAAAAGTTCAACAGCAAGCTGATCCCCGTCCCAGAAGGTGGCCTCTCCGACAGCGGCGAGCAACAGTCAAGATGCAAGTCAACCCCAGAAAAGTACGCTGTTACAAAGGGGAGGTGTGCTGGAGACGTTAGATCCCCAGAACTCACTTGGGAAAGGACCTAATTTTCTAATTTTATTTAGAAAATTTGAATTCGTTTTTGCGCCAAAGGCACTCTTCTTACCTTCATGTCGTGTTTACCACTGGGAAATATCTTAAATGTTATTGGTCCGTTACGTCTTTTAGTATGCTATTTGGTAACTCTCTCCAAGGATGGTTTTGTACTGTATATGTATACGTTTTGAATTATGTTTGTTGTTATAGCTCGTTTCTGGCTGTTTGCAGAATATACTTCCTCAATTGAAGCTTGGACTTCTCCCTGTAGTTAGCGGTGCTGGGACGCATCAAATAGCTAGCTTACTGGTCTTTGGTCACCTAGTCTTGTTTTCTCGTTCGCAGATTAAATGAACTCGTGATAACTTCATCTCTAGCAGTTATAATTCCAATAAATTTCGCGCTAGAATCAAAGACCTGATAATTTGAATGTGATTGGTTCGTCTATAAATTATAGTGTCGTAGCTCCCATTACCGTTTTAAGCTTATAATAATAATGTTTAAGACAGTGAATCATTCAAATTGAACGTTACTTCAATGTTATAATCTTCATCAAGTCTAAAGTAAATAGTCTTATAAATGACTAAATGGATTAAGTAGACAGTTTTGAGCATAATAGAAACTTAATGGATCATTGATAAATAGAATTGAACTTCATGTTACGTAATTCGTCTTGTTTTTAGTGACTGATTTATTGAGTGAGTATACTTGGATTTCAGTGTTGATAATCACATTGAAACTTTCATACAATGAATGATTACTTTTTAGTTGCCATAATTCTATACATCTCTCGATGTATCGTCTTAATTCACAAGGTGCCTAGATATTCTTCTGTAGAATTTGAAATGGAACTTTATGAATATATTAATGATGAGAATGTTTAAATAACCATAATAAAGTTGTATTAAACCTGTAGAATAGTTGGTGGACATCATAACTCATTAGTCTTTATGATAGGGAGTGAAACAGTCGAACACGTCGACAACTTCACTTATCTTAGAAGTCTGATCAGCCCTAATGGGTTGGTGTCTGGTGAAATTTGTGCACAGATTCGAAAAGCTCGTTTGGCTTTTGTCAAATTACGTCACCTATGGCGAAGGCGAGATATCTGTCTATCAGTAAAAGGACGAGTATACTGTGCGGTAGTCCGTTCTGTTTTAATTCACGTCGGCGAAACATAGCCCTTAAGAGTAGAAGACACTCGTAAGCTACTAGTATTTGACCACAGATGTTTTAGAAATATTGCTCACATCTGCTGAGATCACCGAGTAAGTAATAGTGAGGTTAGACGCAGGGTGTTAGGGAATGATGATAGATCAGTTGATGAGGTAATGAATCTTCATCGACTGAGATAGTTGAACCATGTGTTACGTATGCTTGAACACCGATTACCACGAGGTGCAGTGCTAACTGGTGTTGGGGATGATTGGAAAAACGTTAGGGGCGGTCAAACCAAAACATGGCATCAATGCTTGAAGTCACTAACTTCTAGTCTGAACCATGTTAGTAGATGCAGATTACTTGGTTGGGATACGCGTGACTATCATAACCAATGGTTGTAGACTATGTATGACATAGCTCAGAATTCATCACAATGGTGTAGTTGTATACACTCTTTGTCTTCCCTCAATCTAAGAGATTAAAATCGCTTCATATCTTTCTTCCGACGAACTAATTCTTTCTTCCTGTACTATATCCTTATACACAATCTTCCTTTTATATATTATTTCTACACAAAGTAAACACTGAAGATCTACAGAATGATAATAAAAACTCTATAATTTAACCATCTATCTCAGAGACCTAATCATCATCATCATCATCATCATCATCATCATCATCATCATCATCATCATCATCATCATCATCATCATCATCATCATCATCATCATCATCATCATCATCATCATCATCATCATCATCATCATCATCATCATCATCATCATCATCATCATCATCATCATCATCATCATCATCATCATCATCATCATCATCATCATCATCATCATCATCATCATCATCATCATCATCATCATCATCATCATCATCATCATCATCATCATCATCATCATCATCATCATCATCATCATCATCATCATCATCATCATCATCATCATCATCATCATCATCATCATCATCATCATCATCATCATCATCATCATCATCATCATCATCATCATCATCATCATCATCATCATCATCATCATCATCATCATCATCATCATCATCATCATCATCATCATCATCATCATCATCATCATCATCATCATCATCATCATCATCATCATCATCATCATCATCATCATCATCATCATCATCATCATCATCATCATCATCATCATCATCATCATCATCATCATCATCATCATCATCATCATCATCATCATCATCATCATCATCATCATCATCATCATCATCATCATCATCATCATCATCATCATCATCATCATCATCATCATCATCATCATCATCATCATCATCATCATCATCATCATCATCATCATCATCATCATCATCATCATCATCATCATCATCATCATCATCATCATCATCATCATCATCATCATCATCATCATCATCATCATCATCATCATCATCATCATCATCATCATCATCATCATCATCATCATCATCATCATCATCATCATCATCATCATCATCATCATCATCATCATCATCATCATCATCATCATCATCATCATCATCATCATCATCATCATCATCATCATCATCATCATCATCATCATCATCATCATCATCATCATCATCATCATCATCATCATCATCATCATCATCATCATCATCATCATCATCATCATCATCATCATCATCATCATCATCATCATCATCATCATCATCATCATCATCATCATCATCATCATCATCATCATCATCATCATCATCATCATCATCATCATCATCATCATCATCATCATCATCATCATCATCATCATCATCATCATCATCATCATCATCATCATCATCATCATCATCATCATCATCATCATCATCATCATCATCATCATCATCATCATCATCATCATCATCATCATCATCATCATCATCATCATCATCATCATCATCATCATCATCATCATCATCATCATCATCATCATCATCATCATCATCATCATCATCATCATCATCATCATCATCATCATCATCATCATCATCATCATCATCATCATCATCATCATCATCATCATCATCATCATCATCATCATCATCATCATCATCATCATCATCATCATCATCATCATCATCATCATCATCATCATCATCATCATCATCATCATCATCATCATCATCATCATCATCATCATCATCATCATCATCATCATCATCATCATCATCATCATCATCATCATCATCATCATCATCATCATCATCATCATCATCATCATCATCATCATCATCATCATCATCATCATCATCATCATCATCATCATCATCATCATCATCATCATCATCATCATCATCATCATCATCATCATCATCATCATCATCATCATCATCATCATCATCATCATCATCATCATCATCATCATCATCATCATCATCATCATCATCATCATCATCATCATCATCATCATCATCATCATCATCATCATCATCATCATCATCATCATCATCATCATCATCATCATCATCATCATCATCATCATCATCATCATCATCATCATCATCATCATCATCATCATCATCATCATCATCATCATCATCATCATCATCATCATCATCATCATCATCATCATCATCATCATCATCATCATCATCATCATCATCATCATCATCATCATCATCATCATCATCATCATCATCATCATCATCATCATCATCATCATCATCATCATCATCATCATCATCATCATCATCATCATCATCATCATCATCATCATCATCATCATCATCATCATCATCATCATCATCATCATCATCATCATCATCATCATCATCATCATCATCATCATCATCATCATCATCATCATCATCATCATCATCATCATCATCATCATCATCATCATCATCATCATCATCATCATCATCATCATCATCATCATCATCATCATCATCATCATCATCATCATCATCATCATCATCATCATCATCATCATCATCATCATCATCATCATCATCATCATCATCATCATCATCATCATCATCATCATCATCATCATCATCATCATCATCATCATCATCATCATCATCATCATCATCATCATCATCATCATCATCATCATCATCATCATCATCATCATCATCATCATCATCATCATCATCATCATCATCATCATCATCATCATCATCATCATCATCATCATCATCATCATCATCATCATAAAAGAGAACAATTGATTGAAAGAATATCACGAAATTATTCTTTTATTAAATTATAATTTCCTAAAAAAAAGAAGCTCAAATCTAAAGAAGTACACTATTGGAAGTAACATTTCAAACTCGTTAAAATCACAAAGATAAAGTGTGTGTGTGTGTGTGTATGTACGAGAGTGACAGAAAGAGAGAGGGGGGGAGAACAACACTAATTTACATATTGATCATTGAATATGTCATTCAAGTTTACAATATCTACATACAATAAACAAAAAGACAGATCATATAAAGAAAAAAAACAATTACTCCAAATTCTAAACGTTTTCATTGTATCCATAGCAACTGAATAGTTCACCATGATCAATTACATGAATATGAAATGGGAAATAATGAAGATTAAAAAGTAAAAAATATCTAATCTATATTATACTTTGATTTTATATCACTAGATCAGTCTATTTCAATAAGACATTTATATGAAAAAGAAGAAGAAGAAGAAGGAGAAGAAGAAGAAGAAGAAGAAGAAGAAATAATCAATAATCATTCCTTCTACAAAATAATTCAATGAAATGATTATTGATATTTTCTGCTTACAAATCATAAATCGATCTAATATTGTTTCTAAGTTATCAATCACGATCTAATATTGATCAATTCATGATCTTAATCTTTTTCTCAACATATGTATTAAGATTACAGATTTAAAGTATAGTGTTATGTATATATGTATATCATAACCGGATAATGTTCATTAAAGAACATTTATCAGCTAATTGTATTTTTATTTTCAACATTCAATTAAGGCTATTTTGGTGTTTGAATACAAAATAAAAAAAACAAAAGAAGTAAAAGAAAAGAAAGAATTTTAAACAAACTATTCATATCAATACATAGTAACAGGAACAATTTGATCATCCCATTCCATCCCATCCCACCTCCACCCTCAACCTTCACCTCCACCCTCACTCCCCACAACAACAACAACAATAAAAGAAGTAACAATAAAAAAAAAATCAATGAAATAAATTATGGCATAAAAGAAGCAATTAAATTTGGTGCTGAACATAATATAGCAAATGTAACAACAATATTACATACACTAAATATAACTAAACAAAATCGATCAATAACACGAGCAGCAAATTTCCATTCTAAACTAATTAATGATTCTATTTCATTATCACGTAATTTTTTTGTAATAAAATGTAATTCATTAATAATTATTTGTAAATCTGATTTATATAAATTTAATAAATCTATTGAAATTGTTAATGGATTTGATTCCATTTGTGGATTAAATGATACATTATTCTTTGATAAATCACTTAAATCATCAGAGTATACATCTTGAACTTGTTCTATTGTTGATGTTGATGTTAATGGTACTGATTCTTTGAATAGAAGAAACAGAGAGAAAGAGAGGAAATACAACAACAAAAATGAATGATTATTGATATGTAGATGGGAATAGGACAAGTTAATGATTAGTAACACTGGTATTCAGATAGATCCAGTTGACGTGTTCCAAATAGGACAAAATGCACGTCAAACTGGATTCTGTTATATCCTAGTGAAGATTAGATTACGAGTAACTTCTGTTGAGACCTATTAATTGACTAATATTATCTATACATTCTTATGGTATAGACTATTCAATAATTAGATTATGTATATTTATATTCCCCTTGTTATAAGCTTTATTTTGACCCATAATTTATTATTGTATGATTCACGGTCCTTCAGTTATTCCCAGTTTATTGACTACTGCCTCCCACGTTCATAGCCACGTTTTGGCTTTATTGTGTACAAATGTTATTTCCTATTTTATGATACGTTGTGGTCTGTCTGATTGATATATAAACCCAGTATGTCTGAAATAAATGATTCGATTCACATAATGGAAGCTGGTTTTTGGTGTTCTGGACTCAAGTGGGCGGGCTAGGAGGAAATAGGACCAATAAGGACGTTAGCCTGCTCATACCGGTTGAACGTCATTGGTTTTGTCATAGTGCGAAGTTTTGTATAGGTCTTATTTTGATTAGTGGATAAATCACGTGATAAAAGCCGGACATAAACTCATAACAGATTCTACTATTCATCTTTACATTTATATGCTTGTGAATGAAGGCAATATCTAAACAATATGCATAGGATGCACACATGTCAATAAAAGACTGATTAATTATAGTTCTTAACATCAATGAAAAGATTCAAGTAAACAGTACCAAGTGAATATAAAACTTCACTCTATTGCACAAATAAGTAACTGTCTTGACTCTGTAGCCAAGTGGATAACGTGATCGCGTTTGAATTGAACAATATTGCGTTCAAGTTGCAGAGTGAACATCAACTTTGAGATTCAAACACATCCAGTTGACGAATCCCAAATAGGACGAAACGCGCGAATCTTGTATTTCATTACTAACCACTATTCGTCTTTACATATAAAACAGGATATGAAGATTTCAGAAAAAAGTATCAAATGAACGACAATCTCATATTTGTCTTATCGTTTTAACTTACTTGAATTAAAATTACCTACAGAATTGTATAGTCGATAAGGAGATTGTACTGTTAATGATGGATTTGTTACTGTTACTGATGATAACAAATCAGTATTCATTTTTAATTTAGTATTATTATTCAATATTGTTTGTTTTTCATTCATATTTATGAAGATATTACTATTATTAGTATTATTAGTAGTATTAGTAGTAGTATTGCCAAAACGTGCTGTTGCACGAAAATCATCATCTAAATCAATAACATTTGCTATGGCATTTTTCGGTGTACGTTCATTGACTGTATTCTGTAATTGATAATCAATATTATTCATTGATTGATTGATCATTGGTAATGTGGTTGTTTTCAAATTTCCATTAATACATATTGGTGAATTAGTAAATAAATGTTTTTTCATATAGATAGGATTAATATTACTATTCATCATGTTAGTAGTATCATAATTCCAACCAACAAATGTTTTAGCTCCAATATGTCCTTCTTCATCATCATTATCTTCTTCTTCTCCTCCTTCTTGTTGTTGTTGTTCTCCTTTCCCTCCTCCTTTGATAAGTATTTCATTTTGTGACTTTTTTGTATTGGGATAATTCTCCATGAAATTATCACTAATAGATGATGAAATATCTTCAACTTCAATAATTTGTGAACGTTTCGGAGGTTCCATACACATTAATTTAGCTAGATATGTATTGACAATATTCCTAATCTGAATTAATTCAATAAACAAAATTATGATGGTCAGTCAATAGAAGGGTTTTAACAAAAAGGTTAAGCGTTCACACACGAGACCGAAGGTCCTACGTTCGAATCCCGCAAACAGGATTGTGGATGCGCATTGTTCAAGAGTTTTATACTAGGACAAAACAACCGTCCAATGCTTCCAGGTTTTCAATGGTTGTCTAACATCGATCGATTCATGATCTCAATCATACAACTTAACAATCTCCACAACCTCATGATAGTTAAATTAATTAGATGTGATGAAATGTTATGTTGACAGCCACTTAATATCATCTACTGTTCAATATGGTTACAACTAACCTTCATCGATTGATAAAATACTGAGCTGATTAGGATGACTGAATTAATCCACAAATTCGTTGTGCATGCGCAATGCTGAGGAGTTCCACAATGGGACGAAAGGGCCATCCAATGCTTCCAGGTTTTCTATGGTGGTCTAGCTTCAACTGACTCATGATTTTAACGAATAAAATCACTATAATATCCACAAAACCTATTTTCTGGTTACAATCATCATGTGCACACTAGTGACTGGCTTCAAGATGTATTTCCTGGAGTTCTAGTGAGACGTAGCAACCATTGGAGTTCAACGGGGTCTGTTGTGAGATAGTAACTCATTGAAGACAATGGTGGATATGTCGCTCAATTTTATGCATCAGTTGAAATTAGATATTAACACCATCGGATGCCGGCTCAATGGTTTAAAAGTTAAGCGTTTGCATGCGAGACTGATAGGTTCTGGGTTTGAATCTCGCAAGGAGAGATCGTGCATGTGCTGAGGAGTCCCACACTAAAACGAAACGACCATTCAGGGCTTTCAGGTTTTTCATGATGGTCTAGCTTTATTTGACTTATGATCTTAACTACTGAAAAATATATTTGTTGAGAGACCTAGACATTTCCTTGAAAAGGTATTTAGAAGTGAGTGAAATTCTGAAAAGATTTCCATCAAATAAGGAAGTCAATATTCAACGAAAAACAACTGAATCTTTAAGATGCCTGTTGAATACATTCCAAAAGTTATTTCTATATCATTAAATTAAAGTTGACACTAACGGTAATTTGTAAGGTACTAAAGATTATTTGTAGATTACTAATTGAGTGTTCGTTAGCCTACTATGATCGCTAGTTATGTACATCACTATAAAAATCTGACCGATCCCATCACTTTGGATCACTTTGATCATGATCACATCTCTTTATTCTACTCTTAATTATTGTAGTCTTATATTCTTCAATTAGTCTAATAAATACATGAAGTGTAATCGTTAATTCTAATTCCCCACTCTTAATCATCGTTTGGTGAAGTTTTGTTCTCTGAGCTGGATAGTTTAGTCGTGAAAAACTTTTATTATTCCTCTGAACAAAATCATCAGCACTTTTACCTGAAGTGTATGTTGATAATGGTATTCATAAGAATGATGAAAGCTCCACGATTAAACTATCTACCTCAGAGAACAAAACTCCATGAAGATCATCCATTTGAACTACAAATCATCTTTATCAACTCTTAATCATCATTCCTAAAGATCAATTTTATGCTCTTATATTCTATTTCCTTGCCACTATACAAAATGGTCTTATGAAAGGTGGTATATGAGAAGTTGTAAAGATGAATGTAGTAATTCAAGAGTTGGACTACTTTTCAAGTTATTAGTATTGATTTACAATAATAATAAGAATAATAATAAGAAAAATAGTTAAGTAAAACTTACCCAAGCTGGAACAGCAATACAATCAGCTGATCTATGATGATAATTTAACACGAGTACAGTAAATACAATAGATAATGAACACATAAACATTGTACATGAAAAGTAGATACCTATTAAAAGTGATTTGATTCAACAAACAAAAAAAAGAGAAGAGAAAATAATTAAACTAAAAACCAGTTACTAATGAATTTATTTATTTATTAACACATAGATATTGGTACAAGGAGGCACCAAATACATATGCGCTACATAAATCATCCGATTTGTGTGAGGGCTGTGATACTACCCGGGTGCCCAAAACGAAGCAGTTGGTTTTCCTAGGGGGGCCACACCCCGAGCCTTTGACCTAAAGGTCTGACCCACAAGATAATGGAGCATCTTGAGGAGATGCAGTCCCATGGTAACCGGTGATCAACAATTGGTTCATACGCCATTCGTTCCCACAGGATACTGGAGCCCATGTGCACCATTGGTTTGGAATCCGGTTAAAGCGCCGGACATTCGCTTTTCATCCTCTCAATTTCGTAAACAACACCCGTGGTGCGAAATGGCAGTGAGTGGGACTTCCCTGGAAGAGACTGTATGGGCGTGGCCGTGTGAGGACATTTCGAGAGGGAGGGCGGGCCCACCTCACTCTCGGCCATACCAGGGTATTTGAGGGTAGTTACAAATGAACAATAAGAAGATTTCTGAAATATTTGTCATAAATTGATTCGAGTTAGAAATGTGTATAGTTAAGCAAGTACTGTTTAACCTGAAGGCTTTTTTAGTTCGATTCCGCTAGTACGATTGTATAGGGAGATTGTTGATGTTGATTTTCATCCTAAAACAAAGCAGCTATTCAGTGAACCTAAGGTTTTAGAGATAATATAACTGAGTTCAGTCAGTGTGAAATACAACTTATAGAGTTAAATGTTTGTTTATTCAATGAATTCGATAAAAAGTTAACATTGAAAAGTACTTTTTGGCTTCTTTGTTTCAAAAAAGAAGCTCTGGTACAGATGAGGATGGGGAGAGTTCAAACTCCCTCTCTAAATACTCTCACGTGGCCACTCGTATACAGCCACTGTCAGAGAAGTCGTTCTCACTCCATTTTCACAATGAAAATTGAATATCTGGAGCTTTAACCAGGTTGGTGGATACGGAGGATTTACCCAGGGAAGTTGAAAAACCCTAATTCCAAACTAATAGTGCACATGGACTCCAGCATACTAAAGATACAAATAGAGTATGAACTTATTCTTGGTTACTGGCTACCATCACACTGATTCCCCTAAAAGTTGCTCCACTGTTTTGTAAGTTACACCTGTAAGTCTAAAGCTCGGGTTGTAACCCCTTACGAAAACCACCTCCATCAGTTTGGGCAGTATCCCATCTTTCATACAAATTGAATGATGAAGTGTGATGCCTCCTTCTACCAATGTTTATGTGTTCAAATAAGTAAATAATCTGGTATATTTTAATAATTGAGATCATGAGTCAATTGAAGCTAGATCACCATTGAAAACCTGTAAGCACTAGACAGCCGTTTCGTCCTAGCATGGGACTCCTCATCAGCGCGCATCCAAGATCCCTCCTCGCAGGATTCAAACCCAGGACCTATCAGTCTCGCAACAGGCGCTTAACCACTAGACCACTATTGAAATTCCTGCAATCTTCACAAAACTCTTTCTGATACTAATTTGGTATATATTTGCTATTTATAAGTAATCTATAATAAGTAGTATGATATTATCAGTTGATTTAACAAATAGGGAATAAATTGTAAGAATAAATGTACATACCAATTAATGGTATAGCTTCAGATGTTTGTGGAAGTTTATCGGCAACAAGTTGTAAAAACATTGTTAATGATAAAAGAATTGTTACACCTAGAAAAAGAAAATAAGAAAAGAAGGTAAACAATATCGATTCAAATAGTTTTCTTCACCAAAAAAAGGCACCATTGTAACCACTTTTGATTACCATAACTGTCTATCAAACAATATTCAAGTCAGAACATTCAATACAAATGTCAACATAGTGAGTTCTATTGTTAGTTCATCATGAACTGACATCAGCTATAATGCCAGAAATCGATTTAACCAAATGGATGAAAGACTGTCGTGCCAAAATTCGAGATTTGTTATCTTATACCTGATTGTTTCGTCCATAAATTATAGTCTCGCCATTTTATTTGTTATAGTTACCCAATTATCACATTTTGTATTAAATCCCTTGTGAACCGATCGTACGTTAGCATGAAGTACTGAAGTTCATGCTGTGACCTTGAAATCCCTCGACGCTTCTGATTGGCTCGTTCATCAATTAGAGTCTCACCCATTAATTAATTTATTGATCAGGTCATTGGCACTGAGCCAAAATTTAAATGAGAAAGTTAATGATACTATTCTATTGTGATTAGATCAAATTAGGTGAATCAGATTTGAACCTGGATATTAGTGGATCATATTTGAATGATTTAACAACTAAATCATCATTATTTCATTATTTATCAATATTGTCTATTCTAATCAATCTATTTTATCAATTTTAATATGATGATTAAACTACAGAGGTTCAATAAAGCCTTTCTTTGAGATACTGACAAACTCAATGAATTCAAGATAGCTCTCAACAACAGGTTCCAAGTCTTACAGGATTTACTGAAGGAAGAAGAAACTACTATAGCGAACAACTGGAAAGGTATTAAAGAAGCATTAACTTCAACGTGTGAAGAGATTTTGGGTCTAAAGAAGCACCATCATAAGGAATGGATCTCTATAGAAACTCTGGACAAGATCAAAGAAAGGAAGAACAAGAAGACAGGAATTAACAACAGTTGAACACGAGTAGAGAAAGTTCAAGCACAAGCTGAATACATAGAAGTAAACAAGCAAGTGTTGAAGAGCATTAGAGCGACCTATGCTCCTCCATGAGGAGTAACAATCGTAAGTAAGATTAAACTACAAAAAAAAGTCTTAACATAAAATCATATTTTTACTTACCTAATGATATTTTTTCACCTGCATCTGGTGGTAACATAAATACCATTAATGCCATACCAGATATTAATAAACAAGGCACAATAAGATTAAATACATAATAAAGTGCACGTCGTTGTAGTGTAATTGCAATTTTTACATCAACAAAATCATAATCACAACATTCATATCGTTGTGCATAACGTCGAACTGAAGAACCTGTTGTTGTTGTTGTTATTGTTTCAACCAGTAAAATGTGTCAAACAAAAAGAATAAATTACAATTAACTTGTTATATAATGAATGAAGTACTTTAGAATCATTAAGTGTAGACTGATTGTAACTGTATTGAATCAATTGTTTACTTACTTACTTACTTACTTACTTACTTACTTACTTACTTACTTACTTACTTACTTACTTACTTACTTACTTACTTACTTACTTACTTACTTACTTACTTACTTACTTACTTACTTACTTACTTACTTACTTACTTACTTACTTACTTACTTACTTACTTACTTACTTACTTACTTACTTACTTACTTACTTACTTACTTACTTACTTACTTACTTACTTACTTACTTACTTACTTACTTACTTACTTACTTACTTACTTACTTACTTACTTACTTACTTACTTACTTACTTACTTACTTACTTACTTACTTACTTACTTACTTACTTACTTACTTACTTACTTACTTACTTACTTACTTACTTACTTACTTACTTACTTACTTACTTACTTACTTACTTACTTACTTACTTACTTACTTACTTACTTACTTACTTACTTACTTACTTACTTACTTACTTACTTACTTACTTACTTACTTACTTACTTACTTACTTACTTACTTACTTACTTACTTACTTACTTACTTACTTACTTACTTACTTACTTACTTACTTACTTACTTACTTACTTACTTACTTACTTACTTACTTACTTAATTACTTACTTACTTACTTAATTACTTACTTACTTACTTATTTACTTACTTACTTATTTACTTACTTACTTACTTACTTACTTACTTACTTACTTACGCCTGTTACCCCTCATAGAGTGACATATGGTACATAACAGCACTCTCCATTCAACTCTATCCTTTTCAGTTGTTTCCAATTGGTATTGATCCTTGTGATATCTACTTTCAATTCCTGACGTGGAGTGTTCTTCGACTTTCCTCTTTTCCATTTCCCTTCAGGATTTCAAGTTAGGGTTTGCCTTGATATGTAGCAAGTATATTGATCAAGTATGCAGTCTAGTCGCAGAATAGTCTAGATCATCTGTCATGTTATCGTATTATAATATTATGACAGAATGTTATATATTTATATATTAATTCTTCTAAACAATCTTGTGATTTGAATAGTAAATCAATGTTGATACTAAAGATGTGTGATTTGTCTTGTTAAAAACTCAATTGAAGGTCCAAATTTCAGAGTTCGTCATTGACAAATACTTATGAAAAGGCATAGCTCGGTGTTATGGTCTTACAGTTTAATTTAATTACAATCTCAAGCTTTTCAACGTTTAATCAATAATAACCATGAAAGGTGTAAAAACCTTTACATATCTCGTCAGCATCAGTGAAGAACACGTTGGATCTGATACAGATGCGAAGGGAGCGGATCGGCAAAGCAAGAGCAGCATATTTACAATTGAAGAACATCTGGAACTCAAAACGACTGTCTGTTAGCCAGCACTAAAGTTAGGATTTTCAATACTAATGTCAAGACAGTTCTACTGTATGGCGTGAAAACCTGGCGAACTACAAAAGCCATCATACAGAATATACAAGTGTTTATTAACAGTTGTCTATGCAAAACACTTCTGATCTGTTTGGCCAGACACTATCAGTAACAACCTACTGTGCGAGAGAACAAACCACATTCCAGAGGAGGAAAAAATCAGGAAGAAGCGCTGGAAGTGGATAGGTCACACATTGAGGAAAGCACTCAAGGCAAGCCCTCATTTGGAATCCTCAAGCGCAATAGAATAGAGGAAGACCAGAGAAGACAGATATGAGAAGAATGAACAAAAATTGTATAGAACTAGAAAAGAAGGCCGAGGACAGAGTGGGTAAGAGAATGCTGATCGGTGGCCTATGCTTCATTAGGATTAACAGACGTAAGTAATTAGGTAAGTTAGTAACCAATTCTATACATTATTAAACAATAGCCTTGCTACTGGTTTGGTTCAACCACAACATACACACAAGTGGGTTATTTTTAATAAATAAAAATAAACTGTATCTCCTTACCACTAAGATGAAATTCTCCATTACGTGAATATTCAGATAAATCAACCGTTCCAACTTGTGTACAATCAGGTTGTGATGCGTTGATACATTGTAATTGAAAATTAATTTGATCACCATAATATGTCCAACTTCCAAATTTTAATATACAACTCTTCAATGAAAAAAAAATTCAAAAGTTAATTTTAATAATTTTAATTGGGCTACTGAATTCAACTAAGTAGCACAGCTTATTTGAAACAATTCTTCAATTTGGATGGATAATGGTCAGCAGCATTTCGTCCTATTTGGGATTCGTCAGCTCGGTATAATTGAATCTCAGAGTTCATATGTTACCCTACGACTCCAACCCACTACCACACTCTTCAAATGCCATCGCCTTATTTATTGAGCTACTGATCTCAAATAGCCACTAGGTTGTGTAATGAGGTGAAGTTTTAATTCATTTATGTATGGTTTGTTTGAAGCTCCCTACACATGCCAATAAAAGATTGATCGATTTCAGTCCTAAACATCAGTGGAAAGATTCAAACGAACAATACAAAAATGGATTCCTCAATCTAATTAATAGCATTATGTTAATAACACTAGTGACGTTCTCCAAGATGTATCTCCTGGAGTTCTAGTGAGAAGCCGTGACCAGTGGAGTTCAACCGGGTCTGTTGTGATAACGGTGGACGGTGGCGCAACTTAATGGACTGTTTGAAGTTATACATTAACACTGTTTAATGCTAATTAGCTCAGTGGTCTAGAGGTTAAGCGTTCGCACCCGAGACTGATAGATCCTGGGTTCAAATCTCGCGAGTGGGGTCATGAATTCGCACTGCTGAAGAGTCCCATAGGAGGATGAGACGGCCGTTCAGTGTCTCCAGGTTTCCCATGGTGGTCTGTATTTAAGCAACTCATGAATCCGGTTATTAAAATATCATATTTGTAAAAGATACTACTCACGAACGGAATAATGATAAACATTTTGGTCGACGGAGAGAATTAGGAACCAGATTCCTTCTACTATGTATTCCTAAAATTTCTTACCAATCAACCAAATTAAGACTCAAATTTATTGAAATTTTGTCTAGATTGGTAAAAACTGAATTTGATTTAGTCTCAGTCTTAGACTTCACAGTAATGGATCACATGACTTCATTAAATAATGAACCCAGAGACTTCAAGTTTTGCTAATTTGAAAGTTTCTTCTAAATCATAGAACTAAAGTCAATCTTTTCATATTTACTATTCTAAAATATTGGAGAGATCCAGAAAATTGCTCTAAAAAAAGGCTCTGAAAACGCTAAGATCGCATGATTACCTATACTATTACTACTATGTTTAGTAACGTTCCAGAACTTTTTGAAAGTAAAAGATTATCTAAAATACCATAAATACCCCTAGATATTCTGTGCATAAACGAACCTTTAGAGTAAAGCGTTTCTTCTCTCGTGTTCACGTTGTTATGTAGATTTAACCAAAGGGTTACTAGAAGAGTATAAGTACCAAATCTAACATTCAATTAGCAAGACTTATCATGATGTGAAACAGAATCCGAAGAAATGCTTTTCTCATATTAAACTGTTTATTAGATAAATTGGACAGAATCTAAATATGTAATACTGAATTGAATTGTATGATTTTTTGTTAAGGCCCATTTATTTAATCGTCATTTAGATCGAACGATGTTGTCTGAACAAGCTCTCCACTTTATTGGCCTGTAGATCTGACTGCGATTTGATCGCATGAATGTTTTTTATCACCTATCCTCATCTATAATCATCGACTTAAGTCGTGTTAGTCAATAACAGAATTAAATAAGTCAAATAAAGAGGACGGACATGTGAATATATATAAGTTTGTGTATAAAGCGAATGGAATAGAGAGAAGAGAAACGACGCAGAGTGGAGATGGCGGGTAAGCTAACTCCCATTTAACCAAACGTTAATCAATATTTATAGTTACACAAGAGTAAGTTACAGATATGTGATGAGTAATGGGATAAGAAATGTACACACACTAACGCGCTCATATAAAAACAGTCAAGATTGATAAGTGAATAAATAACAAGATCAGAATGTGACTTGTGTAGAATGAATAGAATGAGCTGTCCGAAAGCTAGAATAAGGTGTATGAGCTTCACATCATAACCGACAATACAGATTCACTCTACTGGAACATTGTAATTTACCTTGACTATTCTTTAAATTCTCTTAGTGGTTTGTAATTCACTTGGTTAAATACGATTATTCTTATTCTTATTATTACAGTTAAAACCATACAGAGAATCATACAGAGAAGTTTGTTTAAGTTATCACAATGATAAGATATTCAACACTTTATTCACTTCAATTTGACAATTTCCTACTTTCAATGATCGTTTTAGCTTATGGTTAAGCATATAACTAACTTGATTGTTATTCATATGATGTAATGAAAGGTTTATATAAATAATACAAGAATCTTTTGAAACTATGGAACAATCCCAAGCTCCCAATTTTGGGGAAAATTTGACACATTTTGGGGAAATTTAGGGGAAATGGCACAAAAACCCCAAAATTTCCCCAAAGTTCTCTAAACGTTGGTGAAGGTCATTTGACTTCGGGAGTTTCCTTAAAATACTCCAAAATTTTCCCAAAAATGGACGCTCGGGATGTCAAAGATATATCTAATCCATCTATACTCTACAATAACTTTCACTACTAGACTGAACTATGAATGTTCGAACTCTTTAAGAGATACAATAACATTGAGAACATTATCTGTCAGATATGGATGAGTTTTATTGATCACTATTTCTATCATGATTATATAAACCTTGAATTCTTAATTTAGTCATACGTAGTGAACGTAATGAATGAAACAAATGAAGAAGTTTAAATGGTTAATAAGTAATCAGTTAGTATTTATCTTATAGACCTGACTCATGAATTCAACTATTAAAATGACTAAATTCTCCACAAAAAAGCCCATTCGGATCATAATTATCATGTGCACACTAGTAACTGACTTCAAGATGATTTCCTGGAGTTCTGGTGAGAAACCGTGACCAGTGGAGTTTAATATGTGTCGAGTAGAGACAGATATCTATTTCAAACAATGGATGAATGGTCGTGCAGCTATTTATGGATCAATGAAAGTTAGACATTAATACCGTCGAGTGTCGGCCAGCTCAATGGTCTAGAGGTTGAGCGAAGGTCCTGTATTCGAATCCTGTGCGCGAGACTATGGGTGAACTCTACTGAGAAGTACCATACTATGAAGAAACGACCGTCCAGTGATTTCAGGTTCTTTTTGGTGATCTAGCTTTAATCATTTCATGAATTTAACTATTAAAACTATTGCCGTTTACCTGTTCATCGAATGGAAACCATAAAATGTCTATATTACATGTAGATTTAAACAATCCCGGTGGCATCCATTGAACAGTACCATCATGTTTTATTATTGTATTTGTTGGAAATGTACGATCGAATTTCTCATCCGCACTAAATTTTAACAAAAAAGCCACATACAAAAAACAACTGTATTTGAAGTAACAAGACGATAATATTCTAGATTGCATAACTTCTATCATTCATAAATCTTTCAGTTTTTAACACTTGAATTCATCATGTTTGAACTGACGAAGCTTTCGTGTTAGATCTTAATCAATGACACTTTCATCACATCGAATACACAGAATAGAGCGGTATTTGTGGTTTGATAAACCTGAAAGTGAAGGAAGATCAATATTGATGATCTAACCGACCTAGTAACTTACTTACTTGCATAATTCATGGGATAACTGATTAAAAAATCGGTCTCATATGAATCATGAAGAAAACAAATTGTGTAATATTTTTTTAGTACGTGTATTCACATCTGTGGAATGGTACTATTGATGTATATGGATACTTTCATGTCATTGATGTCACGCTCTTAGTTAGACGATATTGGTACTCTGTTCGTTAGTTACGAGTGCTTATTGTCGATGTTGTCAGCTAACGTTTACTTGTTTATTTATCAATGTATTTGTCATATCCCGATTAGAATAATGAATGGTAACTTATGGGACCCAGTTATGAACCAATACGATAAATATATTTTTTTATTGTATAATTGTTATGTGACTAAACTATTCATGCTCATTTTCCTCTTATCATAAGCCTCATTTTGACCCATAGATGATTATTATACGATATGCCGTTCTTGAGTTATGCCCTGTTTATTAATTACAGTCTCCCACATTCACAGCCACTTCTGGCTTGATCATGTACAAATGTGTATTTTCTATTTTATGGTACGACATGATCTGTTTTGTTTGTATATTATTACTCCAGGGAAGTTCGATTCACTGCCTTCTTGCACCACGGGTGTTGTCTACAAAATTGAGAGGATGAAAAAAGCGAATGTCCGGTGGAGGCTTTAACCGGGTTGGCGGACACGGAGAGTCCATCTAGATGAGTTGGAAAACCCTGATTCCAAACTAATGGTGCACATAGGCTCCAGTTTCCTGAGGGAACGAATGGTGTATGAACCAATCGTTGGTCAATGGCTATCATGAGACCGTATCTCCTTACGTTGCCCCACTACCTTATGGATCAGACCTTTAGGTCGAAGGCTCCGGGTGTGGCCTCCTAAGAAAATTACCTGCTTCATTCTGAACACATGGGCAGTATCACAGCCCACACACAGATCAAATGACTTGTGTGGTGCATATGTATTCTGTGCCGCTGAATTCCACTACTAACCACTATTCATCTTTATTTTCCTTTATAATTTTAAACATTTTAACCATAATGTAACTCATTCAGTAATTGATTAGCTTGTTACTATCTTTTAGTTGAACTGCTAATTATTACTCTACTTTAAATTTAGCGCTAACATTTTCAAAACCTCAATTATACCCTCTTAACCTGATATAAACATGAAACATCTATTCAATAAAAATTACATAATCATATACTGGAAACAAAATCATAATAAGATGAATCAATATTCATTATTCATTCATTTACCAATTATACAATAGAATATCTGGTCTCCATACAGCAGTATATGGTAAGTTTAAAGTAGTTATATTACCAAACTCTTTAGGATTCCATAAAAAATGATAATCATTCCATATCTAGATTTAAAATATATAAAAAAAAACAAAAAGAAATACATCACATGATATGAAACTGTAATATTCATTGGAATAATTGTTGCCATGTGTATTAACATTACACACTAGAGAGGGTTATGTAATCATCTTCACTTCGATTTACTATTACTAACGCGTTACTAATTTACTTATTTAAAGTTTAAAGATGAATACTGGTTAAGAAGGGTGTACATACATCAACCAAGGAAGTTCAGAGTCGGAAGTCAATGTAGGAGGAATGATAGGAATTGAAGAGAGAGGTTGATTATGAATACAATGGTCTTGAGTGCTGTCAGAGGTATGAGGGCGGTTATCACCTCCTGGTTGCCTAAACTGTAAAAAGGTTCTTCTGAAGGCACCTAAAAAGGAAATTGGATTAGAGGTGGTCTCAGTGACCTGAGAGCGTCACTGCAGTGCCCAAGGGATAACTGCTTGATGTCGGTCACATACAACCTTTTTGTGGGTAATTTCCGCATTAGCTCCGTATTTGTTGAGACCTTACCGCCGGAGACGGACAAAGTGTAAACAACAATACCAAGTGGAAGCACTAGATGGCCGTTTCTTTCTCATATTGAATTCCTTAACAATGTGTATCCATGAAATGGTCATCTAATGTCTCCAAGTTTTCCATAGTAGATAGTCTAAATTCAATTGACTTATGAATTCAACTATTAAATTATTATAAAACATTTCTCTGCTAATTTATAATTGGCATGATTCCAATTAATTAAAACAATGATTAAATGATCTCATTCTAATTTTTTTAAATGCTCCCCCCTCCATAAACTTCTCCCCCTTACCCCCATTCTCTCCCCTCGCTTAGACAAAATTGACAGTTTAATAAATAACTATTCTATTTTATTTAAATTATTATTTTGTTTTAAAGTTGAACTTTTTCCAGTAAATAAACGTCATAACAACATACAATATAATAAATATGATGAATATTTTGACCTTAAATTAAAAAAAAATAATTACTGGGTCGCATAGAGGGAAGGTGATGGTGGTGGTGGTGTGGGATATTTAGTATAAGAAAGATATAAATATGATCAGAAAGGGGGAGGAGTTATTGGAAAGCCTATAGCAGGTAAAAGAAAGAAGAAAAAAGACGGGGGGGAATTAATAATTACTTGTAAAAGAAAAAAAAAGTGAAACTTATCATTTTGTTTTGTTATTAACTGTTAATGATATGTTTTTATTGAACTTAAATGACAAAAGTGAAATGATAAAAGAGAGAAAAAAACAGAAGAAAAAAGAAAATCACTAATTAACTAATTTGTTCTTTCAATAATTGAATTTATGAGTCAATTGAAGTTAGATCATCATGGAAAACCTGGAAGTAATAGATGACTGTTTCGTCCTAGTATGGGACTCCTCAGCAGTGCGCATCCACGATCCCCCAGTGAGATTCTTTGTTTAAATGTGATGAATTGGATGATGATGATGATGATGTTGATTGAATAACCTTTCAAACGAATTATTGTTTTTTTCTTCCTTCTGTTGACTTTGTTCTTTATAAGCCAGGATAATAAAGAGACTAAAAGTGGAATAGAGAGATGAGTGTGTCATCTGAATTGGGACTTGTTAGTTAGATAAACAGGGCATTCTAGACATATTGATGTTTTGTTTGGTACTCGAACCCAGTACCGTTCGCCTCAAATGACATCACGTTATCCACTTATCTACTGAGTCTTGATATATAATTGCTTGTGCAATAGAATAAAGTTTAATTGATTTGTACAGGTTGTTTGAATCTTTCCAAATGAAATGATTACTTATTCTAATCAGTTTGCTTTAAAATAGTCACTTATTTCTTCAAAAATTAATTCTCCCTTTGAGTAATAAATCTTAATTAAGGTGTTTATTTTAAAGAGTAAGTAACCAATGACTTGTAGTTAACTTACTATCATGTGGCTTAAATAGATATTACTCAATTACTTACGCCTGTTACCTCCGTCCATTGAGGAACATATACTGCTTACCAGCATTCTCTATCCAACTCTGTCCTGGAAAATCCTATCCACTTGCTATTCATTCTTTTTCATGTTTTCTTCTAATTCTCAGCGCAATGTATTCTTTGGTCTTCTTCTTTTCCTTTTCCATTTAGGATTCTATGTTAGTGCTTGTTTTGTGGTACAGTTTGATGATTTCCTCAATGTGTGTCCTATCCACTTCTAACGCCTCTTTCTAATTTTCTCCTCAGTTGGAAGTTGGTTTATTCTCTCCCACAGTTGGTCATTGTTTATGGTATCCTGTGAACGAATATTGAGTATTTTGTGTAGACAACTATTTATAAATAATAGTACCTTCTTCATGATAGTTGTAATAGTAGTTCTCAAAGTTTCAGCTCCGTACAATAGAATTCACTGTCTTAACGTTCGTATTGAAGATTGTGATTTTGATATTGGTTGACAAACAGTTGTTTTGAGTTCCATATATTCTTCGATTGTAGGACAGCGGTCCTTGCTTTGCGGATTCTCGCTTTCGAGTCTGTATTTGTTCCTCCCTGTTCATCGATGATGCTACCCAGATACGTGAAAGATTTCAACTCTTCCAGAGTTTCTCCATCAAGTGTGATTGGGTTGGTGTTCTGTGTGTTGTATTTGAGGATCTTGCTTTTTCCCTTTTACTGATGCAGAGGTTGCTGCTACACTGGTTTTCTTCATCTGCATTTGTTCGTATGTATTGGATAGGATGGCCTGGTCGTCTGCGAACGCCAAATCTTCTAATTGATTCCGAGCTGTTCATTGTATTCCTTGTTTTCTCTCTGGTGTCAAGGTCTTCATAATCCAGTTGATTACCAGAAGAAAGAAGAAGAGGTAGAGAAAACAGTCTTGTCAGATTCCGGTCCTTACTTGGAATGTATCCGTCAGCTGTCCTCCATGCCCTACTTTGCAGTGTAGTCCATCATATGAGTTCCCGATGATACTGACGATGTTCTCAAGTACACGATAGTTTGAGTTATTGACTAATTAGTTGAAAATGTATTTTGTACTTGAAATTTTTTAATATTTAACCTGTTACAAGATCTGAATAATTCTGTTGGGATAAAATAGTGGTTAGAGATAGTTTAGAAGAAACCCTGGACCTAGGTTTCGTGCTATTTTGGCACCCGTCATCTATCTGTACCCGTAATCTTGAGGGGACTGGTGCTCCCCGGCGGACTCGATCCCGTTTCATCCAGCTTCATAGTTAGGGATGTTATCACTGAGCTATCCAAGCCGCAACTGATCTCCTGTAAGACTGACATGTATTTACAATTGATTGATCACTGAAGTAGTGATCACTGTCATATATATCATATCCTTCTTAGTACAGATCAAATCTTATCGATCAGGGTTACCTGTTGACTATCTTCAACCATTATCTTATCTCAGCATAGTCCATACAATATTGAGTTACCTAGACTGGTCGCCAAAATGCAACTTAATCAATAAAATTCAATCTACCCTGAGAAAGACCTAACATTGATCACTACTCACTCAATAATCAATCAATTATAATTTTATTATCAGAATGTGCGCGAGCACATAACCATTAAACCACTGAGCCGGCATCAAACGGTGTTAATGTCCAACTTCAACCAATCCACGAAGTTGGGCCACCGTACACCATTGTCTTCAGTGAGTTCTAATCTCACAACAGACCTGGTTGAACTCCACTAGTAACGACTTCTCATACCAGGACGAAACGGCCGTCCAGTGTTTTCAGGTTTTCCATGGTGCCCTAGATTCAATTGACTAATGATTTCAACTTGTGAAATTATAATTTTATTGTTTCTGGATCATTGATTTAATTATTTTAATGAATCAGATCAAATCACAAACTAATTAAATTTTATAAATCAAATCACAAGTCAAGTGTTATTAATTAATAATTAAATAATGAAGGTAATTCCTTAGAAAGTAAGCTAATAGTCATTGCTTAATGAGATTCATTCAATATATAGATATAGATAGTTAGATATTGAGTTCAATTCATTCAATCATGTTAGATCATAAAATTACAAAATCAATCATTAATTCAATTGATTGATCGATTAATTGAATTAATTGATTGATTGATTGATTGAATCAATTAAAATTTCTTGATTAAGATTTTGTTTTGTTTTTTCTTTTCTTCTCTAGGTTGATTTGTTTCGTTTTCCTTTTTCTTTTTTCTCTTTTTTCTTTTTCTCTTTTCTTTTTCTTTTTTCTCTTTTTCTCTTTTTCTTCTTCCTCTTAAATGATTCCATAAATTAGTTGATCAGTAAACAATGATACTTTTATGTATAGTTTTATTATTATTATTATTTATGTATTGAGTAAATTAAATGGAGAAAACAAAGAAAAAGAGAAGAAAGTTGAATTGTTATTGTTATCATTGATAGTTTAAAGTGAGAAATAAATAAAGGGGGGTTTTATGAAGAGATTGTAGTAATCTTTAATAGATGAATTCATGAGTTAATTACAGCTAGTTCGTTATAGAGGTTGTGACTAGTGAAGCTAATCCGTGTCGGGTAGAGACAATGAAAGATGGTCGCGCAACTTCGTCGATTGGTTGATGTTAGACAGTAACACCATTGGATACCGGCTCAGTGGTCCAGTAGGTTAAGCGTTCACGTGCGAGACTGAAGGCCCTGGGTTCGAATCTCTCGAGCGAGATTGTGAATGCGCACCGCTGAGAAGTCCTACAATATGAAGAAACGACCGTTCGGTGCTTCCAGGTTTCCAACGGCGGTCTGAAATAAATCGGTTCATGATCTCAATCAAGAACATTGTAGAAAACCTGAAAACATTAGATGGCTTTTTTGTCCTAGTGTGGGACTTTAACTGTGCATATTTACGATCCTGCTTCGAGGGTTTCGAACCGAGGACCTGAGCCTACATCTAACGGTGTTAATGTACAACTTCAACTAATCCACGAATTTGCGCCACCGTTCACTATTGTCTTCAGTGAATTCGAATCTTGCAGGGCTGGATCATGGATGCGTACTGTTGCGA